GAGAAGTTTGTTAAAAAATTGTAGTCCACTTGTTTAGCTGATTGATACTAGGCTACTACCAATAGTGAATGAATGATAAAGGGCAGTAGCATCATGTCTCTTTGTCAATCTTCATTCAGGATTAGGAAGAAAGACAACTTGACTAAGGTGAGGACCAATCAGACCATCATCTATAGAGTACTGCAGCCCTCAAAGAAGTTGACTATGCTTGGAGATAGGACAGTATAAAAGGATAGAATAGAACTCTCAATCCTTCAACCATATGCCCATGAACATGTACATACATAGTCAAGGGCATACAAACTACATGTCAACCAGACCACAAATCAACTATATGCACATGAACATATGCACATACAAACTACATGTCAGAAAACCAGGCCACAAACCTTTGTAGTGTCAAAAGGCAGACACTACAAGCTAACAAACACTACAAACTTTGCAGTCTTCAAAAGCGGACACTACTAACTTTTATAGTCTTAAAAAGCAAACACTACAGACTTCTGTAATGAAAAAAGCGGACACTACAGATTTTTGTAATGAAAAAGCGGACACTACGGACTTTTGTAATGGACACTACTAACTTCTGTAATGAAAAAAGTGGATTGTCAATAACAGTAATCAAGGGTATCAGTAAACTTTGTAGTCTATGTCCGACTTTTTGTAGTCTATTAGTAAACTTTGTAGTCCAAGTCCAACTTCTGTAGTCTTTTGTAGTCTATCAGTAAACTTGTAGTCCATGTAGTCCATAACTGACTTTTGTAGTCTACCTGCAATCTTTTGTAATATGTCAGTGTCAATTACCTGTTAGAGTATGCACCTTCCTTTTTTGGTCATTTTTCCCATGATACAAGAATTGTAGCCCTTTCTCTTAGCTTTCTAAATGTGTTAAAATCATTTTGTTTGGTGTTGTTCTCATGGAGAAAAATGCAAAAAGGTCAAAAAAAGCCGGCGATGAGAAAAAGACTTTATGTTATATCTCCACAATGGGAGCACTTTAGAACATAATTCCAACAGATTCAGGAAGCTACAGTGCAGGGCTACAATTTTCGCTTTTTGACCATTTTTGGAAATAGGTCATGTGACCACCCTCCTGATGACCAAAAATCACAATGATATAGCCCAAGCAGCTAATGAAATTTCCAAAGATATTGCTCAAGTAGCTAATGAAAATCGCAATGATATTGCCCAGGAGGCAAATGAAATTTCCAAAGAAATTGCCCAAGTAGCCAATGAAAATCGCAATAATATTGCCCAACTACGCTAATGAATATCGTAATGATATTGCCCAGGTGCCTAATGAAATTTCCAATGATATTGCCCAAGTAGCTAATGAAAATCACAATGATATTGCCCAGGTGCCTAATGAGATTCCCAATGATATTGCCCATGTGCCTAATGAAATTTCCAATGATATTGCCCAAGAGGCTAATGAAATTTCCAATGATATTGCCCAAGAGGCTAATGAAATTTCCAATGATAATTCCCAAATAGCTAATGAATATCACAATGATATTGCCCAGTTAGGTAATGAAAATCGCAATGATATTGCCCACATGCCTAATGAAATTTCCAATGATAATTCCCAAATAGCTAATGAATATCGCAATGATATTGCCCACATGCCTAATGAAAATTGCAATGATATTGCCCACATGCCTAATGAAATTTCCAATGATAATTCCCAAATAGCTAATGAAAATCGCAATGATATTGCCCAGGTGCCTAATGAAATTCCCAATCATATTGCCCAAGAGGCTAATGAAAATCGCAATCATATTGCCCACATGCCTAATGAAATTTCCAATGATAATTCCCAAATAGCTAATGAATATCGCAATGATATTGCCCACATGCCTAATGAAAATTGCAATGATATTGCCCACATGCCTAATGAAATTTCCAATGATAATTCCCAAATAGCTAATGAAAATCGCAATGATATTGCCCAGGTGCCTAATGAAATTCCCAATCATATTGCCCAAGAGGCTAATGAAAATCGCAATGATATTGCCAAGGTGGCTAATGAAATTTCCAATGATAATTCCCAAATAGTTAATGAAAATCGCAATGATATCAGTCAAGTAGCTAATGAAATTTCCTATGATATTGCCCAACTAAGCTAATGAAAATGGCAATGACATTGCTCAGGTGCCTAATGAAATTCCCAATGATATTGCCCAAGTGGCTAATGAAATTTCCAAATAGCTAATGAAAATTGCAATGATATCAGTCAAGTAGCTAATGAAATTTCCAATGATATTGACAAGGTACATAATGAGATGGAGGTCTAAGGCCTTGCCTACAATTAATGAAAAAAAGCGCAGGCTTTATGATAATGAAAAGACATGGCAACTGGAATGATTCCCTATCATAAAGACTGTGGACTTAGACACAATGACCTCTAGGCAGTTACCTTATTTATATGATAAAAGTGGTAGCCAGTAGTGCAACCCAAATGCTCCAAAGCACAAGATCAGGAATCTGATCGAGGACCTTCTCGATCAGAACACATTTATGTATAAGGTTCAATGCCATATTTCCCTTTGCCGTCAATTCTCAGACATCCCCCAAGGACACAAAGGAGCGCAAAGGTCTTTACTGCCACCCTGTCTTTCAAGCTATCATCAACAAGATGTGGTTCCGAAACAAGATGGACGAAGGTGTCATCCACCCCGAGTTCTCCGAGGATGACATGCTCTCGAAAATTACAATGACTCTTGTCATTACTGTCGTACTTCAGTCATCCTTTCATGTGGATCATCCCTTCTAACTTGTATCTACAGGTGGAGAATTGCATTGATGAATGGCAAACAGGCAAGCATAACGATGTTCAGTTCACGGCGACAGCCTACAAGCACAAGTTCAACGCACACCTCAAACAAATCATCGAGTTCGACAAGAAGACCCAGAAGTCCGACATTGTCCCTCGCCTTCTCAAACACATGCTCAAGATGGCAAGGTAAGTCATACCTATAGTCTTGAATGTCCCCTTTGCTTACGTCGTTGTAGGAAACACGCAAAGGTTGTTGATGCACCAGATGCAGTGGCACTGCAGCTCACTGAGGATGATGTCGAGGCTGCTAAGAAGGAGTGGGAAAGCATGGTGTTTTCTGATGAGGATTAGTTTACATTGTCCGTTGTCTTTGTAGCCTATTGTGCCCAATACAACGCTTTGCTATGATATGTTACAAGTCCTATCGGTCCTATCAACACAACCAACTACTGACCTACCGTGATCTACAGCTGGATATGTATTTGTTGTGCTTGGCTATCAAACCTATATATCGGGGGGGAACCTATCAACCTACATGACCTATGTATGCTTTGTAGACCTAGGTAGGTCTTGACTGTTTTCCTGATGTTGTGCAACATCCCTACAGTCCAAAGCAGGAAACTTGCACATCCTCAGTTCCATAAGGCCAAAACATATAGTCTACATGGTTTCCAAACCATTAGGCAGGTCCACACCAGTCTCAGAAATTTATTAGTAAAAATGTGGTTGTGTGATCAGCATTTGATTTTGACCAAGTAGCATGCCTCTTCAAGAGAAAAAAAAATAGACAACTATTCAGATAGTATTTAAAGGTTCAGTTCAGTCCGGTTTTTTGCCCTAAAAACGCGCAACCGTGGACCGCAACCGGCCCAGGACCGACCCAGATATTGAGTGAACCGAACCGAACCACCTAGGACCGGTCTTTTGCGGTCCATGATACCGGTTCAGACCGATCCAGACCGGTTTTTTTGCGTATAATTTATTATACCAATATAAACCATTTGTATCTCAACCATTATTACTCTGAAAAATAAACGGGTTATATAAAATATTAAAGCATATAAATACCCGTCATTCTACCAATTTTCAAGAGATTTAACGAAGATTTGACATAGCTATGACTGAAACCAAATTACATCTCCTAGAGACTCAGGTAAAATATGGATTTGGTTCTATCTTTCTCAATTCTTAACCATTTTTGATGAAACAAAAACCCAATAAAAGGCAATAAACGTGGTTACAAGGCTATGTAACGCACGTGACCGTTTAACCGGTTGCAACCGATTAAAACCGGTCTTTGAACGGTTTTAAAAGATTTTCGAAATGAGGCAACCGGCAACCGGACCAACCCCAAATTGGGGAAACTGCAACCGAAAAAAAGACCAGACCATGGTCCGGTTCAGTTTGGGCCACCGGTTTTTTGCGGTCCTATGGACTGAACCTTTAAACACTATATTCAGATCCAATCAAGGTAGTGTAATAAAGTCATTTTCAGAAAGAACATTGAAGTTGGTGGTATTATTTCGTCGCCTGAGGAGGAGGAGGAATGGTGTGAACAAAAGTGACCACCATGACGTTGTCACACAAGCCTACCTACTGATCAAATTGCACCAGATGTAGTAGAGAGGTCCTGTGTTCATGTTTTGTTCACTTTTTTTGCCTCCGACTTTAAACTCTGTGGACCGCCGGACTGGACCTCTCTACACATCTGCAGAGATTATTTTATTCCATCGATCACCATACAAATGTTTTCAGTTAAGTCTGAGCCTCAGAGCCCCTCCATGACAACCGGCCCAAATTCTTCCAGCAGACTATATTCTTTGGATGGATGAGGAGGAGAACCCAGTGATGGGGTGTGTATGCATATTTTTATGATACTGTGGTGACAGGTTGAGTGGTAAACCTGATAGAAGCCGCAAGGTGAAGCAACATCACCTTGTTACTGTGCGTTGAATGCACTCTATTTACAAGTTTATCGATGCCAATCCACTTGTGCCCAGTATACTATCGTCTTTATGCAACTGATGGCGTGATGGAGTCGTTCAATCCCATCTACTCCAACGACCTGGTTATCAGCCGCATTTTGCCAAAGTCCCTCACTCCCCCTCATACTGCTTTATCACTAAAGAGATATCTCTGCAAGATAGAAGGCTTGGCAGAACCAAACACAAGTTTATTCGAGTTGCTGTCAAGTGATGTCGCCATAGCAGGTTCCACACGTCTCAAGTTGCAAGATCATCTTGGCATAGGAGCAACATCTAGCGAGCCAATGGTTTTGGTGGTTGGGGTTGCTGAGGCTGAGAAATGATCATATACGCCATGGCAGGTGACCAATAAGTTGATTGAAAACCCTGACTCACACGAGATGTGCTACAGTATGTCTGATATTTGTGTCATCGTTCTGGATTCTCAGATAATCTAGTATATTATCACGTATACGGTGAAGAGGGCAAGGTGAACTTGAGAGCGCCCTTTGACAAAAGGGATATTAGCTTGGGTTGCATAGACACATTATCTATTACGCCGCCGCGCACTGTGGCCTCTCTAAAGTCTCGCATCGTGAACGTCGAAGGCACTTCAAATCAAGAAATTCAATTGTTTGAGGACACCAATGGTGAAGTCCTGATGAACGACGCTGACCATCTACCTCTCTTTTCAGAGACCTTCTCAGGCTGCCTTGAAGCTGACCCATTGGCGGTCGTCTATGTTTCAAAAACGCCAAGTTCGAGATCAACCATGACAAAGGCGATTCGAGCAAAATACGATTGCAGTGAGTAAAAATGTCCATTACTCTCTGGTCATTTTCTCAAGCGTGTCATCTAAGCACCTTATGAAAACATGTCCAGATGGCACGCATACAGTGAGGGCGAGATTCTTCACACTGACAGAGTCAAGACAATGAGCTCATATACCTACTCTGATGGCAGTTGATTGAGTATTCTCTTCTCCTTCTTCTCCTCCTTCCCTCTATCAATATCCCCTCAAAGATGTCACCACTTACATGGCCGTAAACTCCTGTGGAAGGGAGGCCCGTAAGTGATCCATATCTCAATGTCCATTTGACACTTATCAAATAATAATCTGTGACTAGTTGTGATGGCAGGTAGGCAGGATTTTCTTTTCATATCTTGAACTTGTGCTGGTCATCTAATCACGCTGCGCATCCATCTGACAGGTGAATTCACTTTCTGCTAACTCTGCAGCCAATCTCCCCCCCATCCAATAGTCATTAGTAACTGTATGGCATCAGCAAGCCGTAGCAAGGAAGAGAGCCCATTAAATGATACCAGTAAGATCCCTGTTCCATCCTCCTTTAGGTAGCAAAGTCTTGCCACTTTCAATTCGGCTGCAAACCTGTATTGTCAAAGAGAGTCAAGGGGGTAGCAGGATGTGGATTCTGCACCAAGGAGGGGGGGTGTCCAGCCAAAGGCCAAAAAAAAAAGTGACACCCCATCAATTTTCAAATTTTGAAGGGCAGCGACATTCCATGCATCTGAAGCTGACATGGACGATCCAAACCAAGAGTACTACTATCTACGTTGACACACCCTACACTCCCCACACCGCCCCAGGCCAAGCACCTCTTGCTTCTCTGAATCAGTTACACCAGTCAGATGCTTCGGATTCTTACTCAGCCTGTATATGTGTCCAGACACCTGGGTTGTTATTCTTTCGGATATTCTGCACATACTGTTATTATTTAAATTGACCCTTTGGAAATTCCGCATTTTCACACAACATTTGTCCAGACACCTGGGTTGCCTTTTTTTCAGATATTCTGCACATGCCATTAATATTCTGCAAATGCCATTAATATTTAAATTGATGCTTTGAGACTTCATCTGTCCGGACACCTGATGTTTTCGGATATTCTGCACATGCCATCAATATTTGAATTGATGCTTCGGGACTTCTGCATTGTTACACAACATGTGTCTGGACACCTGGGTTGTTATTTTCTTGGATATTCTGCACATGCCGTTAATATTTAAATTGACACTTTGGGACTTCCGCATTGTTACACAACATGTGTTCAGACACCTGGGTTGTTATTTTCTCAGATATTCTGCATATGCCATTAATGTTTAAATTGACCAAGGGGGTAGCGGGACATGGATCCCGAACCAAAGGTTGGGGGGGGGGGTGCCTGGCCGAAGGCCGAAAAAAAAAGTGACACCCATCAATCGTTCTAGTAGATGTCCTAGACTCCTAGCTGTTGTAGATACTTACTTGGCCATAGTAGACAGCGAGAAGCAATTTTGAACCCCCCAACATCTGGCAAAGAAATCACAGTAATGAATTTAACAAAAACATAGACCATGGGTACTATTGCTAATTGAGGTTGAAATAAGAGTCAAATTACGGCCAACAGCTTCATTGTGCAGAGTGTAATACTGATGTGCATGTTGGTACCAGTGGGATGAGTAACTTGAACGTGCATCGAGACTTGAAAACATGCTGTGAAACCGGTTGTCTGTGCACAACTTCTAGATGAGTCCGAGGTTGCGGGACTACGGGGGTGAGCCATCGAGGTACTCGAGAGAGAGAGAGAGAGGTGACTCCGGATATTGGAGTCGAGTGTGGAGTTCCCTGTGATCCTGGGACAGGAGTGCAGTCACCCAGCACGGGGCTCTGGTATCCCAGAGGGGAGATGATAGGTTGCCTAGCCGAACTAATCGTGTGTGACCCAATCCACATGTAAAGGTAGTAGTGGTTTCAAGTGAAGTTGTATTTGTTTGTATGTGATGTACTATATATGAGTTGACAAACAAAGGTAATTAGGGTGCTACTATGTCACGCAAGATGGAGGTTGTATTGTACGTTCTCACAAAGCCCCCCCGTGAGATTGGAGCACCGACGAAAAAGAAAGAAGGAGGTGTGCAAGATGCTGTCAGCGTCGGCCCTGTCTTCGGTGTTTCCGTTCCTCGTCGCGTCTTTGGTAACCTTGTATCTTGTGTCCGCTGCGGCGACCTCTCTTAGTCTTCTTGTAGCCTAGCTCGCCTTCCTCGTCCACCTCGCTGTCCGAGTCCCCCTGTGCAGGTACAGGTTCTCCCGTGACTGAGGGTTGGCTTGACGTCGTAGTGTCCCTCGTCGTTTGATCCCTGTAAGCATGAAAGTCCGCTGGGAATGATCCTGTAGTGCGGTCAACATCCATGTAGTCATCCACGTTCAAACGATCCGCCAATGTCAGTCTAGTGGGGTCTGACAGGCGGTCGGATAGATTTAGGGGCGTGGTCGGATCGCTTAACCTTGCTGACAGGTGATCGGTCATACGTGACATGAGAGTTGGAGATGAGGCGGCAGGGGGAGGGGTCACGGGTCGTGTTTCCCTTTCGGCGGCTATTCTCAAGGCCAGTGACGAGGATGAGCTGTTCGAGGTTCTCGTTGTGCTTGGGATCATAGGGGTGGGCAGGGCTGCAGCCACGGGCCATGGCAGCAGGGCGCTAGGGGTGGGCGTTGCAGATGGAAGAGGGAAGGGAATCACCGTCGTGTTGCCTTGCAGGAGGACTGGGCTCAAGGTGTTGCCCGAGGGGGACCACATGAACGCTATATTCGCACCAAAGGGCAGCAGGGTATTAGGCGATATCCCTAGGCTGGCTGGCATGCCTGGGAACACGGGCAGAGGGGGAACTGACAAAGGCTCGGGGTGCACTGATGCCGCAGGGCGAGGGGGGCTCCTTTCTCTTGGGACTGATGGTCGAGTCGCAGGCTCTTGAGATGAGTTACGTTTATGAAATGCGGGTGACCTGGATCTTCTGTCGGGGGAACAATAGCGCGAGCGAGGCAAGGGCGAGAGCTGATGCCGTCTCCTGGGGTACGTGGGTCGTGCTGGAGATCTACGGCGTGAAATGGAGGGGGATCGTCTACTTGAACGATAGCGATCCCTGGAGGGGGATCTTCGACGTGTCTCGCGCGAAGGGGGGTGATCTCTTCGGTTCAGCCTGCGCGTGGATGTCCCTGCGACGGGTAATGCCGGTGAAGGAGTTACGACGACCTGACTCCTGTTGCTTTCTGTTGTTTCCGGCCATTGGTGAGTGTTCCGCATAAGGGCTTTGACGTAGTCATCGTAGTTGGCGTAGGCGACTAGTAGCTCGAAAGTACTTTCTCGCCGGTGATGCATGTAGGCCCTCATTCGTCGTGCTTGTTCCACCGAAGCCATTTCAAACCAGAAACTGTGGCCCCTCTCTGTATTTACCCTGAACAGGCGCCTCACTGTAAAATTAAGCCTGCTCGCAACATCCGTTACTAAGGTCCGTACTGTTGAGAAGCTCTCTGAATCAGGAGTTCCGTAAAGCATCAAGTATGAGCTGGCGAACTCTAGGGGGTCTTCTGTGGCTGGATCGCTCATCCCGATGTCTGTGTCCGTAACTGGGGCAGAGATTTGAGGGCCCATGGGTTCGGGGACGTCGCCTAGAGAGACTTCATCATCGGATCGCGCGTGGTTGGATACAGAAGGGGGAAGAGTAGGGGGTAAGGTAGTTGTCTCTGTCCTGTAGGGTTCCATCCTCGTGTTCGCGCCTAAGGCAGCGGGTTCTGATACTAGGGTTTGAGCAGCGGGGTTGACTGTCGCGCTCTCCCTGATTTCAGTGAGGGTTTTTTCTGGATCTTGCACAGGTAGGACATAGCCCTTGTACTCGGGATAATTGTCGCCATCGCTGTCGTTGTCGTCGTCTGAAGGAGGGGGAGGACGTTTACTCCGGTCCAGGAAGGGGAGGTCTTCTGGTTTTGGATTGGGAGCTTTTCTACCAACATCTGTAGCCTTGGGTTCCAGGGAATGGTATAGCCAATGGGGTCATTGCATTCGCTTTCCTCCGAAGTTTAGGTAGATTCCGGCGGGGCATGGTTGTCCAAAGACCTCAATCTCTGATATGCAACCTTCAGGTGCCTTCAGCGGCCTCAGAAAGTGTATATGCCAATGTTTTTCCCTATCGTACCTAGAGTGAACGTGATGATCAATGACGTGCTTTGAACCCACTTCCTGAAACGTTCCTTTGGGGTCATGTTTTTCTACGAACTTGATCCATTTCTTGCGTTCTAGGGAAGAGGCTCCTGGTCGACTCTGTTCGGCCTTCTTCACTGGAGGGGGTCTGACCCACGACACTCTGTCCCGAGCGATGAGGATGATGTCCAGCGGGGGAGGCTCGTAGTTGGTTACTTGCATCTCGCTCGATCCTTTCGCTGACACGCTTCTAATTTTGTCCTGATGGTCCGGCCACATCCAGCCAGGGTAGTGGAAGGAAGTCATGTCTGACAGGAGTACATCTCCATTTATCAGTGCTCGCGAGTCGTACTCGTTGATACTCCAGTGTATGGCGGAGGCGTAGGTGCCCGCCGCGAAGTCTATCATCGTTTCCAAAGCTGTGAGTTGAACGCACTCAGGATGCGAGATTTCTCTTACGACGAAGCAGGGGACACCCTCCTTCAGGTACCAGCGGGCTAGTCGTTCATCTGTCCCATTCAACCATACGCCAAGGTAACGGTCGTCTGCCATACCTACTATGGCGTTAGGATCGGGCATCCAGAAAGGCGAGGCCTGTAGGCGCGAGACATAGTCCACGAATGCACGTTTGTCTTTGATCCCTCTTTGTGCGTCCGTGATCCAGTCTACAGCAGACGAGAATCGCTTGATATGCCAAAGAGTGTCCAGGTATTCCGAGGAAGGGGCCACTGGCCGTATTGCTGGACTCCACAGAGCTCTATGTGTCTGCTCCATGGAGAAGCGATCAGAGTACACTTTATATAGGGCTTCCATTCTCTTCTCGACTTCCTGATTCACGCGAATTAATTTGTCGATGTAGTTGCTATGAACGCTGCCGGTGTCAAAGGCGGGAGCATTGTCGCTTCTCCAACAGTTCGTGATGGGCTCGTGTTCGGGGCTTTCGCGTGGTTGACCCGCAGCGGATACAGTTATGAAGGCTCTCCACTCCTTGCCTGGGAAGCTGAGTTGCGGATTTCTAGTGGGGTCGAATGGTCCCATGTGGCCGTCATAGCGTCGTTCGAACTCTCGGAAGGAGCTAACTGCGAGGTTTAGGTTTGAAGGTCGTTTCCCTGGGCAAAACGTGTTTTGTAACGAATTGGGGGACGTTAATCGAAGGTTAGGGTTTATGTCATGACTTATCGGGCTTCTAGAACAGCAATTTCATTGAGTCGAGGTAGTCCCGCTTTAGTTGAGCCGAGTTACGTAGATCATACTCAGAGACCCATGAATCGTCCGCGGGTCCGTAGTCCTTCCATCTAACTAGAAACATTCGTCGATTGGCTTTTTTCTTTCCCACTAGACGGTGACCTAGGATTGCTTCCACTTCGTATTCTTCTGAGGCCCGTAGTTCTCGGGTTGAAGGTAGTTCCGTACATTCTCCAAAGCTATCGGGGGATGGGACGTATTTCTTGAGATGGTCCAGGTTGAAGACCGGATGCATGGAGTAGGTGTTGGGTAGTCGTAGTCTGTACACCATAGGATTAATTTTTTCAACGACTTCGAACAGACCTATCATTCTTTGAACGAGCTTTTTGCCAGTTCCTGCGACATCTACGAGCTCGAGAGAGTGGGGGTTCACTAAGGCGTAGTCCCCTACTTTTAGTTCTTCTACCGGTCGTCTCTTCTTATCGTAGGCCTTCGCTTGTCGATCTTGGGCTAGAGCTATGGCGTCCTTGGCCATGTTACGATGTATTTCTATGGCCTCTACAAAGTCTTCTGCCGATTGGCTGGGCAGGAAGGGTCGCAGCGCGGGATCTACTTCTGGTATTATCGCGCTAGTGGAGGTTCGAGGGTTGTATCCCATAAGTAGGAAGTTTGGAGAGTATCTTGTTGAGGAATGTACGCTGCTATTATACGAGTAGGCTAGAACGCTGAGCCAACTCGACCAGCTCTCCTTATCTGAGGAGACGTAAGCGCGTAGCATTTGCTCGATGGTAGCATTTAAAATCTCCGTCTGCCCGTCAGTCTGCGGATGATGAGCTGAGGAAAGAGCCATTACGCTCCCGTAGTTGGCTACGACGGATTTCCAGAAGGTGGTAGCCCAGCGTCTATCTCTGTCCGAGATTATAACTTCTGGGAGGCCATATACGTTAACTACCCTCTCCACGAATAGCTTGGCGAACCCTTCTTGCGATAGGGTAGTATGCGTGGGTATTATGATGGCGAACTTGGTGAGTTTATCGACTATCACTAGTATAGCCGTGTAGCCCTGTTCTCCGGAGGGAGGCAATCCAGTGATCATGTCCAGTGATACTGTGGCGAATGGACGTAGGGGTATGTGTGCTAGTCTTAACACGCCCATTTTGGCCCGATGATCTGACTTGATCTTCTGGCATACGTCACAGGAGTTAGTGTACGTTTCGGCATCTTTGCTCATGGAAGGCCAGAAGAATAGCTCTTGGAGTCGCGCTATGAAGCAGTGTGGTCCGGCGTGAGCACTCTCGTAAGGGGACTCGTGTATCCAGCGGAGCACATAGTTAACTTTAGTTTTGGGTACACAAAGTCATGTTCTCCAACCCGCGTCGATGAAGTAGAGTAAATCGTCTTGACCTCTTTGGAAATGGCTCGCTGAGATAATGGTCTTCTCGTTAGGTTGGACTTTGATGTAGCGGGGAGCGAAGAACTTGTCTTCTTCATAACCTTTAGAGAATTCCTTATGAATGACGGAGTCAACAGATATAAGTAGTTGCGTCCGAGTTGACCATTCTTCGTCTGGAGTGGTGTCAGAGGGTTTAATTCCAGCGGGGTACGTCCAGTGGTTGGAGTTTAGGAAGGGGAGTACTTCCCCTTGCTCGTCTGAAGTGTCCGACGTGTCGTTTCTAGTATTCTCTGTAGTTGTTTCCGCGGATTCGTGCTCAGATTCGGCAGCGAGTTGTCGACGGGTACGGACGGGGGAGACATGTTTGTCTATGGCGTCTTCCCACCAGAATGCACTGAAAGCGGCTTTTGGAGCAGCAGCTCTGAATATACGATCCTCAGCTTTCTGAGCTATATTATGTTTTCTGTTGTCCTGTTCGATGGGTACGACGTCGTCGCTGAGTGGGGAGTCATGTGGGGGTATTTGTATTAGACGAGAGAGAGGGTCGACGTTGGAGTGTATGCGACCAGCTCTATGTACTATCGTGAGTCCCGGATAGGCAGCAAATACTGCCCCCCAGGCTGCTAGTCGTCGGTTAGCGTTTTCATAAACTCGCGCCCATACCAGGGCTGCGTGATCCGTAACCAAAGTGATCTCTTTGCCTTCAATGAAAGGTTGGAATTTGACGAGAGCTTCCTTAGCAGCTAGAGCTTCTCGTTCGGTGGCGCTGTAGTTCCTTTCAGCTGACTTGAAGGTGCGGCTCCAGTAGGCTATCACTCTTTCCACGTGAACTGTGGTTTCGTCTAGCGTAGCCCCCCATTCGTCCTGTTGCTTGACTTCGTGCTTCTCTTTATGCAGTTTTACTATGAGCTGCGGTACTTCTTTACCTGCTTCCCAAGCAGATTCTAGTCTCGCGTAACAAGGTGTGCCTTTGAGGTCCTTTACTTGGATCGTTTGGACCTGCTGTAAGCTCGCACCTAGTGCTAGGTCCGAGGCGTCCGTATATAGTCTGTACGCTTGGTTAGCCACGGGGTGACCCAGCACTGGAGCGTTCACTAGGGCTTCCTTGGCCTGTTCGTAAGCGGTCTCCTGTTCCGCGCGCCACTGCCATTTGACGCCCTTTTTAAGTAAGTCGAACAGTGGTGCTGCGATCATGGAGTAGAATGGTATGTACGTCGAAAAGTACACGACCATCCCTAGAAATTTCTGTAAGTCAGATACTGACGTAGGACGAGCGAGATCCATTATAGCTTGAACTTTCTCCTTGTGGGTGGACAATCCCAGGCGCGAGACCTTCTGTCCCAGCAGTAGTATGGAGGAGTACCCTATGAAGCACTTGGCTGGTGATAGAGTTATCCTGGAGGCGGCTATGGCTCCAAGTACTCTGTCCAGGTGTTCTAGATGATCCTCCCAGCTCTTGGAATAGACTACTATATCATCGATATGGACCAGAGCAAATAGCCACAGGAACGGAGCTAGTACTCCCTGCATTATTCTCTGAAATATAGAGGGTCCATTCCTTAAACCGAATGGCATTCTTTTGAACTGCCACAGCCCCAGATGGCATCTGAAAGCCGTTTTTTCCTTCGCGTCGTCCGCCATTTCGAGCTGTGTGAATCCTGCTAGGGCGTCGAAAGAGGACAGTACTTGGGCTCCAGAGAGGGCCTGTATAATCTCTGATTGTCGCGGAATGGGGAATTCGTCCGGTATGGTTTTAGCGTTCAGCTTTCGATAGTCTATGACAAGGCGCGGTTTGCCATTACGATAAGAGATCACGACTGGGAAGCCCCAGGGGCTAACCAACGGTTCGATGACTTCGGCTTCGAACCACGTTTTCATTTGCTTGTCGATGACTTCTCTTTTCGCTGGTGAAGCGCCGTACATTGGTTCCGATATAGGCTGAGTATCTGGAAGCAGCGGGATTCCTACTCACGCTTCGATACGTCCTAGATGGCCGTTTACTCCAAAGGCTGCAGCATTTCTGCGCAATACTTTGGTTAGACGTCCTTGATATTCTAACGGGATGTCGGGTCCTAGATTGACTAGTTTATCTACATCTCCTACTAGAGGGTCTTTGGGTACAGCGGTAGTTTTAGGGCCCCAGGAGGAGTTGTCATCGAGACAGTCGTCGTGGCCAGGGGTATCCGCAGCTGGATTCTTCGTGGTGGCCAGATCTTGGGCTTTCAGGGTTCCTACTATGGTTTTCTTAAAGACTTCTGCTGATGCCACCATTTTGTTATAGCAATCCTCGTCCTTAGGCTTGTCTAGGGTAGCTTCGGGGTCCATCAAGTATCCTACTACTTCTCCTGTCCTAATGTATCGAGGATGAGGGCTGGTGTTAGCTATTGGTATGTAGGGGCACTTGGCGGATATCCACGTAGTAGGGGCGGCCATTATATTCTGATTGTCCGTTCCTATGATGACTTTCTCCACTATCCAGTCTTCGCGCCCTTCAAAGGCTGCGCTGACGGCAACGTTACGGACGCTGTATGGCTGTATTAGGACATCTTCATAGGACAGGACTTCTGCTTGCTTCTTCGCGCTTCCTTTGTTCTTAGCACGTGCTACGGCTTTTCTCCTAATGAAAGATTTGGCAGTATGGGCTACGCGTATTTCGAAGCCTAAATCCACGTTAAGGGCAGAGGCTGCGGATATGACGTGCCCTGATCTTCCTACCAGTACTTCGCACTGTCCCGAGGCGTGTCTGGTCACGCTCAATTCGTAGGTGGTTTGGAAGTCTTCTCCGAGCAGGAGGGGCACGTTCATGTTCCTTACGACATACGCTTCGAGTTCAAAGCTTATGATCGAACCATCTTGCGCTGTAGCGTAGAGTTCGGTCTTAATGTAGCCTAGGACCTTTGCACCTCCGGTCAGGTGGTAAAGCTTCATCCTCATTCCTTCCCTCAGTCGAGGGGAGTCCGTCATGGATTTCCAGAATTCTTCAGAAATGAGGGTGATGTCAGCCCCCGAGTCTAGTCATGCCTTGACGTCGTCAGAGTCTAGCTCGTGGATCTTAGCCCGCATATGTAGGGCCTTAGTTCCTAATGAGCCCATTCCTTCTGGTAGTGATCGTCCTTTAATAGCGGGAAATACCTTCCCCGACTCATAGATATGCTTGATCGGTCTATTCTGGATTCCTTTGGTTCTTTCAGTGATCGTGTCCGGATTCCTTGATTTCCCTTTATTCTTTCTCTTGTTGCGATGCATGGGGTATACCTTATGTAAGCTGGCTTCTGGGAGTGCTTCGTATTGAGGGGCATGGTTGTAAGTCTCTGTAATGGGAGTTTCGCGCTTTGTAGCGGCGAGTACTCCTCTTACGTTGCCTTTTGAGCTGTGTATTTCACGGGCGAAGGTCTTAAGTAGGTTCTCACTCTCGTAAGCGGAAATAGAGGTCTTAGTTTCAGCCAGCATAACTAGGTACAGTCTATCCGCTTCCTCCTCTTCACTAGGATCCCAGTCTACGTGAATTTGATGAGCGTTCCTGAGGACATTCCATTTTCTGGAGGGGGCTCTTCTTTGACTGAGTAGTTCAGGCATAGCTGAGGTTGTTGGGCATAGCTCGTATGGGGTGGGAGAGATGGTCTAACGGGAGCGGTTGGTGCATCGTTTGGTCTGGAAAGGTTGACTGAACTACTCGTTGATCGTGTATACGATACTAAGGTTATGGATGATGAGGAATCGTCATCCGTGTCGCTACCTTCGAAAGCAGCGGATGCGCGCGCTAACGAAGGTTCAGAGAGGTCGTCCTTGATGTTGTTACCCTTGGAAGCAGCGGGGGTGCGTGCTAACGAGGGTCTTGTTGGGTTGTCGGTTGACGTTCCGTCCATTCGAGGCCTTGAGGGAGCGGGAAGTCTGGAGATTGTCGTTAGTCGACAGATTGCATTGATGGTACTCACCTGTTGCGTTTCCTCCGTAGTTAGGCACTCAGGGACTTCACGTTGGTGAAGTCCGCGGTGCCCCCACCATTGTGAAACCGGTTGTCCGTGCACGACTTCTAGATGAGTCCGAGGTTGCGGGACCACGGGGGTGAGCCATCGAGGTACTCGAGAGAGAGAGAGAGAGGTGACTCCGGATATCGGAGTCGAGTGTGGAGTTCCCTGTGATCCTGGGACAGGAGTGCAGTCACCCAGCACGGGGCTCTGGTATCCCGGAGGGGAGACGATAGGTCGCCTAGCCGAACTAATCGTGTGTGACCCGATCCACATGTAAAGGTAGTAGTGGTTTCAAGTGAAGTTGTATTTGTTTGTATGCGATGTACTATATACGAGTTGACAAACAAAGGTAATTAGGGTGCTACTATGTCACGCAAGATGGAGGTTGTATTCTACGTTCTTACACATGCAGAGAGAACAAGGCCGCCAACATGTGACCCCCACAAAAGAAAGAGAAGTCCTCAGCTTTTTTAACCAGAAAACCATACAACAAAATACCCCTCGGGTCTCATGGCAGGGGAAAAGGAAGAGAGAACTGTGGTTGGGTGGTGATGTGCAAAGCGCGAGGTTGCAAAACAGGCTGTGTGCGTGCGCTGTGAGATTTGTCAAATGTTTTCGCGTTTTATGTAGAAAGAAATTCTGAAAACATAAGCATGGGAAAAACATACTCTATTAGGAAGGTTGGGGTAGGGGGCTGTCAAGCAGGACTCTGAAAAAAAAATAATGAGTGTTGGTCTCTTTTCCACATTCTGCCACCCCCTTGAAATTGACAGTTCGGGACTTCTGCGTGTTCATGCAACATCTGTCCGGGCACCTGGTTGTTATTTTTTCGGATATTCCACGCATGCCATTAATATTTAAATTGACGCTTCTGGACTTCTGCATCTTTGTGCAACATCTGTCCAGACACCTGGGTTCTTACTTTTTCGGATATTCCACACATGCTGTTAATATTTAAATTGACACTTTGGGACTTCCGCATTTTCACGCAACATGTGTCTGGACACCTAGGTTGTTATTTATTTGGATATTCCGCACATGCTGTGGAAATTTAAATTGATGCTTGGGGACTTCTGCACTTTCATGGAACATTTGTCTGGACACCTCAGTTGTCCCTTTTTCGGATATTTCGCAGATCCCGTGGATATTTAAATTCATTCCCCAGCATCCAGGGAATACACTACAAATTCAAGAAAATCTCCGGAAATGCAATATCCAGGAATTCCACAAATTTGCTCCCAACCACAATATCCAGAAAATATCCAGGCGAAACATTGGGCCCAACAATCAACCATAGACTGTCACAGAAGATGGCCCTAACATAGGCACCTTAAGCTACTTCATGCACAGTTGGGCCCAACTTATGCCATTAGGCACAGAAAATATGTTGGCCACAACATTAGCCAATAACCTATTCCCCTGATCATTGGGCCAAACATACAGCCATCATGGGCCTGCAAGATTGGGCCCAACTACCACCCTTAGGCTAATTCCAGCCATGAAATACCACCATAATTGGGCCAAATGATTGGTTTGTGGTGCTTTGTTTGGGCTGATCATTGGGCCCAACATTCAACCTTAAATGTCATTATGGCATTGGCCCCACATATTGTCTTATAATGTGCATGGCCATTGGGCCCATTTGTGTACCACTATGAGCTATAGGACAATTGCCAGTTTCTATTGTTATGGTTCAATAGTGCACCTGCTGAATGCCCTGACTTATCGGGAGGGATAGGCTTCAAGGAAGACTTCTTGGTACGCTTTTTGCCCTTATTTTTGCGATTTTTCTTTGATTTCTTGTGCCTTTTCTTATAGCCTTCGTCGCTATCATCAGACATGTCAGAGTCTGAAGAACTCTCAACACTGGAGTCCAAGCTGTTGGAATCAGGTGTGGAAGTGTCTGAGTCACTGAGAGGGTTCATTATGGTTGGCGAGCAAGGTCAGGTCTGTTCGAAGCCCGATAGAGCCTGATCCAAGAAATTTTGACAGGTGCTTGGGTCCTTGTCACTGCTTCCAATGTATTCACAATACTTATACCATTTAAGTGTCACATTCTTCGGGTAGGGCTTAGCAATAGAATTTGAACAGTGGAAGTGGGGAAACGGGAAAACTGGGTGATTATTCGACTGAGCACGTGTGCTGGGAGCACACTCATCAGTAGGCCAGAAAGTACAATTGCAATGGTTGCGCATGAGTTTGGGCGTGCAAGATCAGCAGCAAGGAGCATCAAAACTTTTCAACCAATTAGTTTTCTTTGTATGTTTGTCAATCTCGCAGCAATACACAGCTGGTGTTACGGATGAAATTGCAAAGCCGACTATCGATTTTGTGAGTGACGGAAAGTGATCGAGACGTGAACATCAATATTGAGCAAGAGTTGTCCTTGGCGAATCAAATCCCCGAGAGGGGAGAGAAAGACAAGGCCAACAGTGTATCTTTGATTTTTGTAATTAGATCCAGACAGGTAGTCACGTCATGACACTAACCCTGCCTGGATACTAGTAGATGGCTGACCAGGCTGAAGTACTGACCAGGGGACGTTCTGTGGGTGGCAATCCTCCTACAAGTGGCATCCTCGAGCAGCTGACTCTGGGGCTTGCGGTTTGAAGTGCAAAGGGGTAAGTCCACTCGAACATTTGAGCGCTGTATGATTTTATTATTACTGATTACGTGAATATCCTTGGCCTCAACTTGAACCAATGGTCGGAGACCCAACGCTTGAGTACTTGAGTAGCGGCACTAAAAACCTCTGTTTAGCATATGCAAACGCCGAAAAGTACAAGTACTCAGTGATTGTCTGCCCAATACAGGGAATAAATTGTTCATATTAAAAAGAATTATACTAAATTATGAGGATGTCACAGCCTTTGATACGTGGACCCCAGCGATAAAAATATAACTTCTTATAACTTCTGGACGTCAAAATAGACCTGACCCTGCTCGCCAACCATAGTCCATGCTCGAGTTGTCTGAAGATTCAGAACTGTAACTCGAGTCGGAACTCTCAGAGTCCGAATCCTCGGAACTAGAATCCCAGCTAATGTGAGTCTTACGGCCTTCATGATTCTGAATCTTAAATTCTTTAGCTTCCTTAAAGGCGGCTCCCAAATAACTCTTGGGATTAATCTGTGCACTTGGTTTAAAATTGTGTGTGAAATGTTTAGCATTTTTTCCGATGCTATCTTCAACCTTGCTAGGTCTGTCCTGACGCCCTCCAGCTGCTTTGCTGATCTCTTTTTCGTCAGGACTAACGGCTTGCGCATTGGTACGTTGTTCAGCATTATGATTTGCTTTAAAATTCTCTAACATTGACGCCTGTGCCTCAATGTCAAGGTCAGTATCCGAGATACCGACATTTCCCCAGTTCCGGGGATCCACTCCCTTTCCTTTGGAGATACCTTCTCCGTGGGAGTGCGTCTTCTTCTGTACGTGGTCTTCATGTTTCGAGATTAATTCCTTTTGTTTCCTGGTCAGATTCTCGCATGCAAGTTGCACGACTTTAACTTGATTCATATTCAATTCAGACATTCTCTTAGGGGTATCAACACTGCGGGAACGACGACTACCAGGTGTCGCCCACATAGTTGAGTACATTTCTTTATCAACAAACGGATTATCTGCATTAACATCATTCCCAAATTCTAAATTAGTCTCCCCCAAGCCGACGACACGGACATCGGAGGGTTCCGTCTCGAGGCGTGGAGCCTCCGCAACGGTGTGTCCAAGACTAGCCGAGAACAAACTAGAAGGCGAGACGTTAGCAATTTGAGAAGGGTTTACAGGCGCACCAGAAATGTCCGTGACAGGACCGGTGGATGCGACCGCAGACGGGCAGATACGAAGGTTATAACGAGACATAGTGAGAGTGGCGTTCGTCGGTCGTAGGAGTAGCCCGTTGATCAGACCAGTTGTGATCCACGCGAGTCGACGAGCGAAGCGGTTTAGAGTAAGCGAGTTAAGATATGAGGTTCAGTCAAAAATATGTGGCGTTAGCGTGATTGGGTCACAGTAACGACACACGGAAAAATGGTAGAGTCTCAAATTCAGATAGACTGGGTAAGAGTATCTTTGTTCAAAACTGAGTAGTTACAATTTACAAACAAGAGGGGCTCTTTAAATACCATTGCCAAGTAAATAAGGGATGATGTAAAGTGGGGGGACCTTTGGGATACCAATACAAAAGAATCAGGTGCCAGACTGAGAATGATGAATCGATGATGAAGGAATTCGAGGGTGTTGATAGGAATGAAAATGGGAGAAGTGGTTGTGATGTCACATGACGGCTACAGTAAGAGCTTGAACATGTTCACATTCAACGTTCAACATTCCACGTCGACGTACCTTTCCATTCGCTCAACTACCCTCCCATTCGCTTCGACAATTCCAGGTACGTTGGCACCTAGTCAGCTTCACCTTGCTAACCATTTCCTCTTTCATTCCGCCCTACCTCTCTACAACAGCCACCAGGTGACAACCCAACGATGCCGCCAACGACAAACACGACAGACAACGACCACCCACGACCGCCTCACCACCACGACCGGCCAAAAATCAAAGAAGACTGCCCACGACCGCCCACAAACGAAGACGATCACCCACAGATGAAGCCGCCCGCCCAAACAACGACGAAGGCCCCAACCGACACAGGCGACCACAAGCCCAGGTGAACAAGCTCACCTCAAGCTCAGCTGCCCCCCCCACTGACGTCTCCAATACAGAATCCAGGTGCCACGTCGCTGTCAGCGACGTGGCAACTAAATGACGAACCAAATTTGTCGTTCGTCATCGTTCTTTAACGAAGGGACAACAATGGAACGACAATGTCGACGACACAGGACGACGAAGCCGCGACGAGGAGGATATGGGGCGACGATGACACAGCACAACAACGGAACGACAACGTGGAGGCGTCGTTTGTTTCACTGTGCCAAGCTAGCTTCGTTGAGGTGAGTCCCAGAGCCTGCACCGCCTCTGTCTTTCCCCTCACCATCTAACTCAACGATGAGTTATGTCGGCAACAAAGACGCCCCAAGCAATTGACTACGGCAGCGTGACATCTCTACCACGTCAAGCCGAAGGTGAGTCTCCTGCCGTTTGCATTCTCAATCTTTTACTTATGTGTCTATTCCAGCCTGCTCGTGGTTATACAACCTCAGTCATGCAACTTCCCCCAAAAATTGTCAAGCGAATGGAGCAACAGATTGTCGATGGCGTGGACCAGATTGTTGAGGTGTGGATGTTGGCGGGCATATTCACCGGTGGTAGTCTTTTTACATAGCTTTATCTGCACCCCTGTAATAGCGTACAATTTGAAAATAAATTCATTTTGAAACTGTCTAAAATTGCCTGAAAAATGTTTGCTCAACCGAAATAAGATGGCAATGCCTGACACCAGACGGCAATGCCTTAGAGTGTCTTTCACTTGAGACAGGGTCCAAAAAATATTCAGGACAAATTAGGACATATGCACCTCCATAATTGTTGCCATTTGTAAAATAAGGAAGCTGGTGTGCATCCCGAAAACATCAATTGTTAAAATTACAAAATGAAGAACAATAAGAACATCGAGCACATTCAATTTACATATTTAAACAATTTCTTTGTGAAATAATCTTGGTAGCCATGGCAACACCACTCAGCTGAAGAATATGTTGAAGAATAAAATAATGGAAATGACCACTCAATGTGCTCGATGTTCTTATTGTTCGTCAGTTTGAAATTTTGATAATCAATATTTTTGAGATGCACAGCAGCTTTATTATTCAACAAGTGTCGACAATTATGGAGGTACCTTTGACTAGATCACACATTGGACCCTGCCTCAAGTGTTTCGTCTTAACTGCCTTGCCCAAGGTATTTGTGCCTTGTACCGAAAGGTACATCGCTTTAATAAGATCCATCAAATCTGTCTGATTTCGTCTTATGTGCCTGGCACAAGACAGATCAGACAGATCAGACAACGTGTCATTTTCCTGATGTACCCCTCCGATATCTGAATAGCTATTATGTGAACGTACCATAATTAGCATGCAGGGCTATACACCTGACCTGCTATAAGTATACTGTACAACTGCCTCGGGAAGTGTGTTGCGAGTCAGCTGGCAGAGGCGTGGCTGGGATTCGTGAGGATTCGTGCTTTGTACGATCCATAAGCGGCAGGTGTATAGTCCTGCATGCTAATTATAGTACGTTCACAGGATGGCTATTCAGATATCGGAGGTAGTCCGAAGCCTCTGGGAGATTTTCACTGCTCCACATGGTGCTCAGAGAAGATGAACCCATTTCGAGCGATACGGGCGCTTAATTGGCGCCCTGCTATCTTGCCTGCTATATACTGTACCACTGCCCCGGGAAGTGTGTTGCAACTCAGCTGACAGAGGCGTGGCTGGGATTCGTGCTTTGTAATATGTATGATCCATAAGCGGCGCCAAATAAGCGCTCGTATCGCTCGCAGAAGGGTAGAGAGGGTCCAAGGGGAAGGAAAAAAGCCGGAAACAACCAAACACGCGATAGTGCCTATTGGGCGTGTAGCTATTGTAAAGAGCTACCTGCTGCGAAGCGAAGCGTGTCTTCTATGGTGCACCAGACTTATTCGCCGCTATCAAATAAAGTACGTTTCTCGTCTGACAAGCAATTGGTGTTCACCAAAAATATTTCACGAGCGGTCGTTGCCTGTGACAAAGAATTATAAATCGTGCCTACAGTGTGTTGCATAAATAAGTTCAGGTGGACGTTTTTAAAAAGCTATTTGTTCATGTTGATGCGTGCCCAAAGAGAGTAATTCCGTGACGAGTGTCACCCATAATCATCACGATAGTCACGGCGCAGCCACAACCAATTACTCGCAAACAACACTTTGTGAATTCTCCACCTGAACTTATTTATGCAAGACCCTGTAAGGATTACAGCTACGCCGAGATTTACCCAGCATCAAAGCGATGAGATTACAGCTAAACTCATATTGATAGACCCACTTCGCGAATATAGCGTCTAGCCGCTTTGTTTATGTTGGTGCCTGCACAAACAGGCTTTACCAAACTCGGAACCTGCTTATTCCAGGAAAATGTGCGATTTCACTGGGCTTGAGACAGGCAGACATGAATACAAATTAATATTTGATGTCAGAAATAATGTGTCGACAGTTTCCGATGGCTACGATAGAGGGAAACTAGCAGGACGCGAGTTGACCAATTTTTAAGGTTGAACTTCCTCGGATTTATGACCACGTTTAGTTAGTTCTATTTGTTCGTATAAACAAGGTGGCTGAGCGCTGCATTTGCAAAGTGGGTCTATCGATGTGAGTTAGCTGTAAAGTAGCTCTCACTCATTCATTGATTCCGTGGGAACGAAGTGTGCAGAGGCTTTGTGTGGGGTGCGTGTAGCGTGTACTAGTGCATGCGTGTGAGTATCTCTCAGTAATTCATTTGATTGTGGGGGGTTTATACTATACACAGATGTAGATTGAAGCATGCATGCGTGTGGCGTGTATAAGTCGCGCAGAGCGCGCATACCATGTGCGTGAAGCGGAGGAATTGGGCCGAAGCACTGGTAAACGGATATATAAACGACGGGTACGGGGCGTATAAACTCATCGACCTACACTTCCGACTCTCCTCGAGTAAGTTATAGATCTTATTTGTTCAGGGAGTATTTCTCTCATCTATTCATTTAGCGCACACCGCATCGAGTCACCATCCATTTACATCGCATTCACGCACATTCACGACCACAATATGCCACTATTTTCAAAACGGGTCTCGGATACATGTACCGTGGCTGTGGAGGTGGGGGAGCTCCACATCACAGTCCATTTCAAGTTGGACGACCAAGTGCGCAGAATCTACGTGCATCCAGACAACATCGTTTTAAAGACCGGCAAGAAGCCCTGGGCCGAGAGGGTTGGTGATGAGTATACGTTCAACCAGAACGCATACAAGGCTCGTGAATCGATCAGGTTGTTGTGCCAGGCACTTCAAGTTGGCAAGGCAGACCGAGCCAGTTGGCAACAGTTGACTGTGGATCAGGTTATGGCGTCGATGTGTGAGGAGATAGAGATGTCGATTACTCTGTGGACGAGGATTAAGAAATGGGTCAATGGTGTGGTATCGGAGCTGGTGAGACGCACGAGACTTGCTGTGGGTTACCATAGTACCGCTGGGGGCATAGCATGGATTGGAGAGGCATAAATCAGACGTATTATAATAGTGAATGTGATATTTATAAAAGTTGTGGAATATTGTGCAAGTAAATACTAAAGTTTAAGTAGGGCAGGAGCCGTGCAACCCTACACTTCGGAATGACTGCCTGCCAGTGAGCAAAGCCTTAAGGGATTAGGTAAGGGACGAAGGAATCGATCACGTGTCACGTCGCTGAATCCTCACCGTTCAACAAGTATTATTATGATCCCGTGTTATATGAACCCACAATGACCCCTTTTCCGCTGCAACACTTACTCCAGCAACCATGCCATTAATCAAGTGCACTTTTCCAGGATGCTTGCGGCCTGGCGTCCGAAGACAGGGCTCTTGCAGCCTTTGCAACAGTCATCTATGCGCTAAACATCTTGGTCAGGAGTTTCACCATTGCCCGCTGCGTCCGTGACGGTCTTTCACATTCCTGTCAAAAGGCACACCTCACCATTCACAGGTGAACGAACGAGAATACATGCGCGAGGTCTTGGATGGGTCATTGTAGATATAGATGTGGACTGAAAGCATCCGTTGGGCATTGGATGCGTATCGACGTCGACTCTGCTACGCTGCGCATTCCGAATCGTCTCGTCCTCCCACTCGTCACCCTCACTTTCTAATCCCCCAGATGCACTCTAAACTCCCCCTTCAACTCCTCGAGCGACGGGCCTCTGAATTTCGCGTTATGTTTGGTGGTGAACACGGTTACGACGGACGCGTAGTCGCCTTCGAAGAGGACGACGTCGGGAGACTCGATCAAGTCGGGTTTGGAGCTGGGATGGGACGCGCTTTCAACTAAAACGATTGGCCCCACTCGAAACATCCATCTCCACGTCCATCACTCATCCTTGTCACGTTCATGGCATGCATTCCCCCCATGAAACCCAATCCAATCCATCGTCAATAGCGTACGTCGAATAGTTGTAGTCGATTAGCTAGAAAGAAGGGTAAGCCGTCAACATTTAATGAAAAAGCCGCGTCGTTACTCACAAGAGCATAACGACACTTTGTTCCAAACGAGATTGGGTCGTCGTGTTCACGGGTATTCAGTAATGAGAATAACCTAGCGAAGTCTATGTGATGTTCACGTCAATCGGATATAGAGAAAACACATACCATACACTTCCTCTGTACACCACCCTCCACCTGCCTTTTCTCAACGACCGAGTTTCGATATTGTCGACGTTTAGCTGATAGAGCACAGCACAATCACGGTAAGCGCCTCACGAAACGGCTTAATCCATTATCAAAGACTTACCAGGTGATATCCTACGTCACGTCCGCCATCGTACTGTGTTGGAAGTGCCGATGTCGAAGGGTTCGTATACGGCAGCCCCAATCGATTGGGTGACGATGTTCGCAACTATCGACGTGGTGGTAGAAGGTAAGGTCAGTCACAGTCGTTACGCGTTACTCTGTGCTCACTGTTTCCCATAGCCACAACACACTTCTGAAGCCAGGTGATTTGGCTTCTATCGGAATTCGTCTACATTGACTTACATTCTGTAGGTCATCATACCATCGTAAACGAGGTCGACGCTGCAAGAAACTGTTCAGTGAGTGCTTCAAATGCGGAAGGACGCTAAACAAACGTTCTAGAATCTCATCGACGCCCGAGGGCGACCGTTACGCGGGAGACGCGACAAAGGAGCTTGAACACAAGGAGAGGTCAGTGAATATTGTGTAATCGAGGAGAAGTGAACGACACTTACATACCTTTTTGCAGAACCAACACATACTATATTCACAACATTCCTCGGAGCGCATATCCCGCTCATCGTGTCCAGCCAAGACGTTCCACTTCGCGCACAAGCAGGGCAGATGAATTTACGATGGGAAACCTGAGAGGCACGAGCGGCGTGGTAAATAAGGGAGATGCAGAATTCGTGTTTACAGAAACTTACCGCCGTCACAACAAGCCTGCAGAAAAAAGGATATCGGCGAAGGTGAGTGAACGTTGTCCGTCACGAAAACGATGTTAACGTACCTGGTTGTCGTCTAGCTTTGCTTAAAATCGGGCGTCGAAGGAAGGTCTGAAAAAGAAGCAACGTCAAAATCAGCGACGACGGATGACGAGTAGACGGCTTACCAGCGAATGACGACGACGAATAAGAGGTCGACGATGACGAGAGGGGAGTGGGGATCGACAACGAAAGGAGGAGAGAGGGAGGTAGGAAAGCGTATGTAAGTGGGTGCTGATGAAAAAAATATTGTACTAACCGCCCTGGCTTTATAGCGTTTCTCGCTTGGCAGTAGGTAGCCGGGTTGTGACTGACGTGACGTAGAAAACTCACGGAAGCAGGGTCTCGGTTCGTGCAGGGTTCGGATCCATAGGAATCGGGGACGGAGGAAACGATCTTTCGTGTACATAAGTTTCCATCTCTTTGGTTTCTTTTCAATTCACTCCTGCTTCGTTAAATGTGCTTGTTAATTAGGTAGTACTCGAAATAAACGCAAAACATCTGTGAGAGAAGTACCGATTAATACACACAGTTAGATTGATATACCTTCATTATCCAGGAATCGCTCCCGTTTGCAAAAGGCGCAGGACGCTTCAAAAAAAAAATACAAGCCAAGTCGTTTCAAATCAAAGTACGTACATTCATCAGACCCTTGATTGATTTTTTTCTGACAGCTGAATGTTCAGAACGCCGTTTTTCAATTCGGAATCGGGAGCGGAGAAGGACGAGACGTTCGGCGTCCATTTACACCCGGAGGAATTTGAGCGCTTTGGTACCTCCTACGCAAGTAAGTGTATTGTTATTTCACGACATCAATAAGGAACCCTCATACTTCCTTTATCACAGAAACAGGAAAGTGTATTATACTAATTGAAGAGTGTGTGCAGCGTAAGCGCTTTGGTGCGCACGCACACCCGCTCACAAATTTCTTGCACCAGAACTTCCGAACTAAAAGTGCAGGGACATCGGAGATACTACCCGAATAGAACCCTGACACGTCAAGATGGAATTTCCGTGTGTGCGGTTCAAGCGCGATGAAGAATCGGGCGAGGAGGAGCATATCCTTCTCATTGTTAAGAATGTACGTCCGCTGTGCCCCGTCAACGTTTCGAATCAGTAATATCATTTAGGAATTCGTCAAAGACATCCTGGATTTTACTGTACACATCTTGGATACGGCGGGTGGCGGAATATGGGCAATGGTACGAGATACGGGAAACAACGCGCTCGCTACAATCTTTCACTAACGGGAATTACAGGTATCCAGGCACGCAAATGGAAGTATTCGAAAGAAGACCCTGAAGTGTAAAAGTGTCAGTTTTGCCAGTGCGTTTCAAGCGCGATGGATCTGGAATTGGGGGAGGAGGAGAAGGCCGTCATTCTTTCTCCGAACGTATGTACATCTGCACACTCGACTGCACTCATTCATTATTGATAAGTGTTGAATGGATTTAGTGATATATATCTGGGTTTTACTTGGACAAAAATGACGAATGAAGGTCCAAGGAGTTACAGAGTGGTACGGAATATTGGTATGATGCGCATTACACGCTAACATCTTCCGCGGGCAAAAAATTCTGGACATTCAGGTACAGACTTGGCGTGGTTCTGAAGAGGACCCTGACACGTAGAATGGTCAGCTTTACGATGGCGTTTCAAGCGCAATGGTGAATTCAGAATCGGGAGAGGAGGAAGTCCTCCTCGCTTTGTATGTTGTCGCTCCACTGTGCTTGTTCATTGCTATGAGGTCTCTACCACATGTAGAAATAGATATTCGAGTTGTAGCTTGATAGAGACTGTTCGCTATGAATAAAGCAAGGTAGAGAATTATATGAAATACAGTGGATCATGGGCGCGGCGAGCCGCGCTTGTATCTTCCGCTCACAAAAGTTCTGGAAGTTCAGGCACAGGGTTGGCAGGGTTCCGAAGAAGACCCTGATGCATGGAATGATTCGTTTTGAGAATATGTTTCAAGCGTAATGGGGGGATCAGAATCGGGGGAGGAGGAGATCATCCTCACAATGGATATCTGCACGTCCGCACACTCCACTGCACTCGTTCATCGCTATTACATGTCGAAGACACTAAGGAATATGTTTACAAGTTGTAAATGGGTATAAATTGTATACTATGAAGAGGGGAAGGTAGGTAATTGCACGGAATGGAGGGCACAGCGCACTCAGTTTATCTTCGCTGGCGAAAGCGCTGGAAATTCAGGTACAAGGTTTACAGGGCTGCGATAAAAAACCTGATGAATAGGAATGTTCATTACAAGGATGTTTTCCAAGCGCAATGAAGAATCGGAAAGGAGGAAGCCGCGTCCATTTTCCTTCAATTTTTTTTGGAACTATTTAGATGACTGTCCTCCTAGATCGTCAAGTGTGTTATATTGTGAATGATTATGTAGCGCATAAGTGTATGCAAGTAGTTTAAAACGAGAGTATGGAAACAGTATGGGAGAAAAGCCGTGTCTATAGTGCACATCCCCACTCCAATCTTCCACTACGCAAAACATCCACACTTCAAGGGACATGTAGTTGGATATAAACCCTGAGACCTGAAGGGATGGTTGTAAGCGGCTGCTTTGAAAAAGCTTTCAGTGCGCACAATGAGGAGACTGAGGACACGGTGTGGTATCCTCAGGTCTGCATGTATGTTTCGAAATCAATATACACCACCGACCATCGATTGTGACAAGAGAAAGAGGGAGAACTGTAGGAATGTAAATGTTCGCAGAGTGACTGTCGGCGATGGTGCGGCAGGTGAATAAGGGTTATGGAACTTGTGGTGTCTGTGTCTGCAGATCATGATCTAACAATCTGGGGAGTAGAAGTCATGGTAAGTATATAGTATGGCAGACACATTCGAAGCGCATGGATTTTCGGTATTTTGAGTACATCAAGAAAAAAGGTACTTGCGATATTGTGATATGTTGACGTGATAGCGCTGGTAGCGCCATCGAGAGCCCCCCTATATATTGTTCTCCATAGCTATCCCTTTAGATTCCATAGCACACGATAGTTCTATAGATTAAGCCGTAGCCATGTAGCCACCTAGTTTCATAGTACATTGTAGGCTTTTGTAGCAAATATATATAGGCTAGAGGAGGTAGAGGATATATTAGTACACTTCTGAATCAGTCGAGAATGTGGCAAATTATTTATATTCAAATTCTAGCCACAGCACACGTGTGTACTACCCCATCCATTGTCTACCCCATCCTCCCTCCCCGCCACTTTGGCCCTGCCCTGCTCCTCTGAATGCGTGCCCCGCTGGTTGGTGTATGTGCAAGAGCCATCAATTGGCACAGATACTGGCAACGGTGACGTTTTAATTTGGAATTATCTGCGCAGAAGCACCACTTACTGAATGATGTGGTCTGAGTATCGTCGTACTCGGATTCCGAGCTCGCCCGGACAGTACACGTCGTAGTGTTCGTCTCTGCACTGGGCCCCGTCCTGCCCCCAATCATCATCGTCATACCAGCTGCGAAGGCTTCCTCGACTTGTTGTGGGCAGATGTGCGTTGATGGCATCGGCGGTGATGATGAGTTTTCAACGAGTTCGGTTGAGGAGCCGATGATGTGTGAGGGGTGGACGTTGAGGAAGAACAAGAGTTCAGTACGGGGGACAGAGAACCGGTCGACTACCTTGTAAACACGAGCGAAAGAGAGAAGAAGAGATGGAAGGGACAAAGGGACGGCCTAAAGTAGTACTTAGCGTAGTCAACGACTTTAAAAGCTTAATCGGTGGCGTGAGTTCTTGTGTGCGCTTGGAGAATGTGGCATGAGTTTGTCAACGCGCTTGATGCGTCTGTCTTGAGGAATGTCGTGCCTTGGTGCGCGACGACTTAGAAAATGACAGAGGGTGTTTGGAGGAGAGGAGGAGTGGATTCAAAAGGGTCAAACATCGAAACTAACTGTGAGAGGTAAAAAGTGGGGGAAAAGAAAAAGGACGCTCCATTCGCAAGGTGGGAGAACACCTTAAATACAAAAATCGAAATCACAAGGCAATCGACACGTTCTCGCGTGCTGCCTGTCCCCAAACTTGATTCTAATTTTAGAAAAAAAAGAAGAAAAACGTCGAAAAATAAAAATAAACACATAAAACTTACGCCTCCCGCATGATTCCTCAACCAAATCTTTGAGCTGGGGATTGCTCGGGGAATTGAACAACACTGGGGAAGCTTATTTACGTGCGCGTCGCCGCCCTCAACACGAGCGCCCCAGTCGTTGACAACTCTACCCTACCGTCCAGCCCTTGGAAAAGGTATCGGTCTCATGGGAAGACGTTAAAAGTAACTGAACAGAATAAAACGAAAAATATACGAAAGGTGTACACAAAATGAATCCTTGAATCCGAAATCCTTCAAGTTGACGCGAAGAAATTGTGATCGAAGAAGTAGCCGGCGATGATGTCATACGAGGGCTTCGTTTACAGCGAGATGCCGGATATTGTGTCATTGGGCTGGGACTTCTTCAGTGCACATGGTCACTTCTTCAGTGCATGTGGTCACTCATCAGGCGCTCGTGTAGATGTTCGAATGGATCTTTCAAAATACTCTTGATGACCTGAAGAATAAAAGAAAAACTTTGGAGCCTAGAGAAATTTAAAATACACAATAAAATTCAAAACACGAAAGAAAACATTGAAAAGGCGAAGTGCCATGAACACGTCATTTGGCACTTCCACAACGTTCGCCATTACGTCTCGGTTGGCGGCTTTGCCTATCCCTGTTATCAGTCCGTTTTTTACGCCAATGTCTGCCTGGGTGTGGGGGTTAGTAAGCGTGTATGGACTTGGAAAAGGGGGTACCTCGTAGATGCCAGACCAGTCCATGATGAGCGCATTGGTGACGCAACTGGATGCCCCAGTGACCGTTCCTAACAATGCCACCTGTGTGTCGCGAAAGAGGGCATACCGTGCTTGCATATGGTGGGCAAAGCGACGTCGACGCCATCATCGTCGCCCTCTGGATGGGTGGTAAACGCCAATGCCCATGATTCTAACAGTATGGACCATGGAGTGGGCTCAATCTGAATGCGAGAAGAGCCGGGTGAGACAGAGACTAGAACCTTAATGATGGTGAACTCAGGTATCGACAGTAATACCTGTATTTCGAGTGGTGGGGGACCTAGGGGTGTTGAAAGAGATACACATAAGGCTCTCGTGCCCCCTTGTGAAGAGATCTGAGTCCAGTGTTTCAAGGTTGAACTAGGCGGGTTTTGAACACAGTGCACTGCAGCACAACACAAATGCACACACCCACCTTTGGCTGAGTTCTGTAGATGGCGTGAGTCATTTTAGAGAATGGAATGTGAGCGGGGACATACCTCCTGACCAAAGAGCACATTCGCAGCATTTCATTCGAGCATAGAGGGGACATCAGGCAAAGAGCGATGAAGGGATAGGACAGGAGAAGCGCACTGTAAGGAGAAGGTGGTTGGAAGAAAAAGGAGACAACCAGGAGACAACAGCCAAAACATTTCAACCAACATCATGTGACATCGGGTTGCCGTCCGAATCGGATTCTGGCTCCGACTCCATGATTTTCATCCAAGTCAAATCCAAGTCCCATCGGGCTGCTCAACGTTCAATGTTCAAGGTTGAATACTCTTACGTGTAGATTTTCCATGTCGAATGTAGAAATTTGTGGTTTCAGTTACTGAGTGAAAAGGAGGACAGTCTTATAAGTGAGAGAGCTTGTAGGGAGTGAGATATGATGCAAGCACAAGCATTGCTTGACATCCCACTCGATATGGACTTGATAGTCATGGTAGCACTCATAGTGTTCGGGTGATTCTTCATAGGATGCACCGAGCTAGAGAGCTGATCCCCAAATCTATCTTTCACAATGTACCTCACCCCTTTTGTGATGGACTCGATCACACCCTATGGATCTACCCGCCAAGGATACGGAACACAATTCCGGCGATGGGACCTATATTTGGCTATGATTTTGATGCGGTAACTATGGGAGAAAACACCTTTTCCTGATGTAGCTGGAAAAGACATGATGATGTGAGTGTCGTGACTAGCTAATGAGTCAAATGGAATTTATTTACCACAGGTCCATGGATAAAGATTGTATCTGGGAAAAATTGAAGCTGGTAAGCAGAGTTAGTGAGGGCAAGAATTGGGGGACGAGAAATGGCGGAGAACCTTAGCTGCAAAAAATTGTGCACACAAACGTAAAGTTTGTTTGATAGCTCCGGATTCTTGATTTGGGGTGCGTGTTCCTAGAATATTCTCGTGGTCACTCTATTTCTGGAAACATGATGAGACGACTCAGCTTGGTCAACAAAAACATTCCCTTGAGCTTGACCATGAATTAGATACTCAGAAGAATATTCCTGGTAGTTACTGGGTACATAAATATTCTTCTGAGTATTTGACTCATGGAAAGCCATGTCGAAGGAGCTAAGGGTTTCAGGTTACATAGTATTCAGGGTTATAATAGCAAGCTAAAATCGTAAGGTCCCCACTCAGCACTTTGCATTGTTCGTCGGCTGGATACCTCCGGCCAAGCGTACTTACTCACACTAATCTTTGTTGATTTTTCTTGGCACCTAGAGATATAAGTACATTCGGAAATCTGTGAATGCTCACCCTTCCCCCTTGCCTCCATTATGCTTCTACGCTGGCCAGATCTAACCTGCCTTGTTGGGTAAGTGTATTGTTATTTGACTGTTATATCTCGTAGCCATCCAGTGAGAGGGCGTCGTCATCAACGGTGTTCTGTATATCATCTTGGTGAGTAGAGCTTTGTTTGTTCTTGACAACAACTAGCAATTCCATTTTGGGCTAAAACAGCTTTGCTTACTTCCACCACCTCCTCAGTCACCGTCTCCACCATCACACGTACCTCACTCGTTCACGTCGTACATTTTGAACGTCTGAAGATCACTGGGTAAGGTCTCATCCAAATTACACCTTCGTTCTGGAACTAATACCTGCTTCTTTCATTGTAGATGTTTTAATTTGATACTTCGACATCCGCAGATCGCTATCACACGGCTGGTCACCTGTTCTTCAAAATGCGCTTCTGCTGCAGTGTCCTCTGAACGTGAGCTGTGTAGCGTCCTTTCATCCTCTTTTCGACCAGCCTTTCTAGAGGCGTGTATCCACTATTCTAATTGGATATTTCGATGTCTGGCAATTGCTACATAACAGCACATAGTGCTGCTACCATGTTTTATCTCTACAACATATCCCCTTGCTATTCAAATTCGATTTTTCGAGTTCCGGCAAACACCCTCACCCACCGTCCTAGACCTCGTAAGCTTATTCCTACACCCATCCTTTGTTCTTCTTTTCTCATATAATCTTTCAGATTCACCCTTGCAATGATTTTTTGATTTTTGAAAGTCTGGCCATCACTACGTGGCAGCATGTAGTGCTGCCCATCGTTTTCATGGTGTTGCTTCACCCCATGGTTCAAACTTGATTTTTTGAGTTCTGGTGATCACCCTCACCCTACCCACCTTCTTAGACATTGTAAGCTTATTCTTATGCCCATCCCTTGTTCTTTTTTTCTCATATAATTCTCAAGGTTCATTCTTACAATGATTTTTTGATTTTTCAAAGTCTGGTCATTGCTACGTGGCAGCAGCATGTAGTTCTGCCCATTGTTTTCTTGGCATTGCTTCACCCCATGGTTCAAATTCGATTTTTGGAGTTCCGGCAATCACCCTCACCCACCTTCTTAGACATCGTAAGCTTATTCTTATGCCCATCCCTTGTTTTTTTCTCTCATATAATTCTTAAGGTTCACTATTGCAATGGTTTTTTGATTTTTCAAAGTCCCGCCATCGCTACGTGGCAGCAGCACATAGTGCTGCCCATTGGTTCCTCGGCATTGCTTCGTTCACTGTTCGAATTTGATTTTTCGACTTCAGGCGATCACCCTCACATTGTACGCTTGTTCCTACAGCCATCGTGTCTTTTTCATTTCTCATATTCCGTTCCAGATTCCAAAGATCTTTTCATGCCCGCTTACCGCTACGTGGCAGCACATAGTGCTGCCCATGGTTTTCCCTCCATCGCCCAACATTCCAATTCGATTTCTCGAGTTTTGGAGATCACTCTCACGCCGCTCAATATCTTATGCATCGTGCAACCTACGCAGATCTGGTAAGTCTCCTATCCAATTCTGTTGTTCTTTCTTTTTCAGAAACCCTTTCAGTTTCACGCTGCACATTCTATTTAATTTTTCGAAGCCTAGTCACTCTCTTTGTGTTACTCTGTCATGCGGTGCAAATTCAATTTGGCAATTGCCCTCACACCGCCATCATCTTCCACGTATCAAGCTTTCTCTTGTTTTTATTCTTCAACAAATAATCTTTCTAGGTTCATCTTTGCGGGGAAAGACTACGAGGCAGCATGTAATGGTGTCTGTCTCGATTTGGTTTTTCACAAACAATGTAAGTTCTTTATGGATATCGATGTTCACTCACCTCATTCTGAATAGATAGTTGAACACTGCATTCGCCGCATAAATGCGGCCTTTCGCCTTACATGTGCTCACTCCTCAAACAGACCCATGCCGACACTGGTATAACTATATCTCTCGCCACGTTGCCCCTGTAAGTCGTCTTGAATCATTTTCATTGCTATTTCCTTATTAACTCATAAGCATTCCAGGCCCACATCGACGCGCAATTCATTACGCAAACAAGGTAAGCTGTTCTGCATGTCGACCTTCCCTCTAAGTTCATTTCTTTGGGTTCTGAATAGATATATCAACATTGCTTTGGCCACATAACTTTCCACCTTACCCATGCTCACGCGCAATTATTCTCCTTGCGTCTCCATTTGGCTTTTTGCATACAACGTAAGTTGTTTTATGGATATTTATGTTCATTCGCAACTCATTCCTTTGGCGTCTGAATACAGGATAAACACGTCTTTCTGCCGTGTGAATCCTACTCTTTGAACGCAGCGCTTCTCAAACTGAAATTATAGCCTCAAGTCCTCAAACGGGTCCACATTGATGCTCGAATCTTCTAAAGCATGGCTGTACTCTGAGTTTTTCATGCCCTTTCCTTTGTTTCACAGTTTCCTGATGTGTTTCTGTAGATCTGATCTTGGCGTTGACGCTATGTGCTTCGACACGTAGCACTTGACATTCTCATCACCATATCGTAGTGTTTGCAGATTGACAAACAATTCCTCGCAAATCTTTGTTGTAAATAGTACCCCTTCACCTTGGTAGTCAGTAAAATACAGAACGCAAAACTACGTCTGGCCATTGCATGAAAATTGCAATGGTCAGACATTTTTAAATTAAATGAGCTCCCTGCGGGGAGGCGAAACTACGATGGTACAATGAAAAAAAGTGGAAAAAAAGTAGAACTTATCCTTCAATTTTCGCCTGGCTTGACTTTTTTCCGATAGCTCGGCGACTCCCATACCGCCAACTTCCCTGCCATTGGGGGTCAAACAAAGAAATTCATTCACTCGCACACACACAACTACCTCTCGACTTCTACCCCGCAACATACTCGTAACCGGAAAACTTATGGCAACAGGGATCAGCCAGCTTCAATATCACGGCTAAGACCGATATTTGTACACTGCCGATTGATATGCTGAAGCTAATTATAACTATTCTACATATAATATTGATATTGTCCATCAAATATTTCGTACTGTCACAATCAAATCACAATTTCCTATTGGTTATCGCCAAAGTGAAAGTGCCGATTTGAAAACCTCCTTCCCTTCTTCACTCTCATCTCTCGCTGCCTGTTCTGTCTCCCCGTCAGCAAGAAAGTTTGCATCACATCGTGTCACGTCATATACCGCCACTGTACACTCTTCAGGTCGCCACAGGTCCAGCTGTGTAACGGTGTTCTCGCTCAACTCACCAACACAGGTTTCCAAGAAGCTCTTCGTGAGACTTACTGATGATGAATGATTGCATGAGTCACTTGGCACCATTCATGACGCCAAACTACGAGACGAGACCATTCCTTACATCAAGCACAAGGCAGAGTGGATTCTCAGGTGGAATCTCGGAAGAAGCCGCAAGCGTCAACATTTGCTCGTCTGGTAGCATTCACAGTTGTCAAGGGCATCTCCTCTGGCTCCCTCGCACCCTTCTTCTAGATGAAGCCGCGAGGGCTTATTTATTCTGATATTCCAGGAACTCGGACAGGCGGAGCTTGAGCGCCACTGTAAGATTCGTCACAATAACTCCTAGGGTATATTTCCATTACTGCTGCCCTCTCATCCTCTCATCAGTTTCATAGAAATCACGAAGCCTGCTATTCGTCGTCTCGCTTGCTGTGGAGGTGTGAAGCATATTTCGTGTCTCATCTATGAGGCATCTCATGGTGTCCTGAAGACTTTTCTCGAAAATGTGCATTGTTACTTTGTTTGCCGCTTCTCCAGTGTTTAGAACCCTCTGCCCTTAGATCATTCATGACTCAGTAACGAACACAGAGCACATGAAGCAACAGCACTCAATGTCATGTGCGCACTGAAACGTTCAGGGTGCACACTATATGGTATTGGTGCCTAAGCTTGTTTCCAATGGCCTGATCCTTTTTGTAAATATGTTTGCTCTGTTGTTTTGAGAAGCATGATTAGGCCCAATGGAAGAGGGATGAAAATTATAGAGAGTCACTCAAAGGAGCATAGTCATGTAGTATAAAAGAATGAGTACCACCTGTTAAAATTTGACTGATGCTGTGTGTGACCTGTGGTGACCTGAAGAGTGTACAGTGGCGGTATATGACATGACACGATGTGATGCAAACTTTCTTGCTGTCGGGGAGACAGAACAGGCAGCGAGAGATGAGAATGAAGAAGGGAAGGAGGTTTTCAAATCGGCACTTTCACTTTGGCGATAACCAATAGGAAATTGTGATTTGATTGTGACAGTACAAAATATTTGATGGACAATATCAATATTATATTGTAGAATAGTTATAATTAGCTTCGGCATATCAATCGGCAGTGTACAAATATCGGTCTTAGCCGTGATATTGAAGCTGGCTGATCCCTGTTGCCATAAAAACTAATCTTCGTCAAATCCTTCCCAATACTATGCTTCAACACACTCCACAAACTCGTACTAGGCCTCTCATCGCTCAACGTCAACTTCGTCCTCAAATTCGCGTACCCCGCATACGGCTCCATCTTGATATGCACGGGGATAGGCATGGATAGGATGGTTGAGGTGGAGGGACTTGCAAGACCGTCGTGCACGACGAGGTTGGGTAGGTTGTTCGATTCAATGGCGTCGAAAAACTCGTCTTCTTCGTCTGTATCCGCTTCGTCTTGGACCAGCGCGTTGAGACAGTCATCCGCGACTACAATCGGGACTTTTGGCGAAGCCACCGGAAGTTCCACCGGGGTGCGTGCAGGTGTAGCAGGAAGTTGAGGTGTAACAGGCGACGCAGGTTCTTCCAGCAAAAGGGGGCCATTTCTCGAGAACGACGGCCGCCTCTTGACCGTTCCTATAGACGGAGCAAAGACCCTACTCCCCCGCTTCCGACTCCTCACCCTCAACTCCTGCTCAAGCGTCTCTCCCTCTTTAACAACCATCGCAAGACTCTCCTCCCACACCGCCTGCCGAGCCCGCTCCTTCCTCAATTGCTTCCGCCACCACTCATCCCTCTCCCTCGCCATCGCACAAAACTCGGTCATCATTTCGCTGACTGCACCAAACGACTCTTTGACCGCAGGGGGGGAAGATGAGAGGAGTTTGAGGGACATCTCCATCTGCGCTGCCACAGCATTTCCATGCAGTTCGAAATTCGCCTCGTGAGGCGGTAGCTGACCGTCGGATTCAGCAGCAGAAGACAAGTCTTCTCCCTCGTCATCCTCTTATTCTTCCGCAGGCGGAGGCGCGTTCTGACTCGTCGACCCAATGATAGACTCTGGGTACTTGCCCAGCGTACCGCCGCCCTTGGAGTAAGTCGACTTGATCCCCACACTCGAATCACTCTCCGCGCTCTTCCTTCTCCGTTCGCCCCTCTCCCCCTGCTGTTTCGCCCATTCGATGCTTTTCCCAATCGCCTCCGTCCACCGGTGTGCCTCGACGGGGTGGTTGGCTCGTAGGTACCATTTTGAGTGGTGGTGATGTCCTCGCGAAGGAGTTGAGTGGACTTCGAACTTGTTGCGTTCTGAGGGTTTGAGTATGGCGGTTTTCATGGAGATGGAGCCGCGGCTCGCGATGCTTTCGTCTTCTTGGTGTCGGTAGTCTGCCAGCAAATCAGTATTTAGACTTAAATAGGCTAAAGAGACTCACATGATAAGACACCGTCCTTTAACACGAACCAGCGTGTATTGTAACCTTTTGCGACGTTGGTGTACTTGTTCAGGTAGCCTTTCAGAGCGGGTGGCTCGGATGGTGGTGTGGGATTGGGGAGCAGGGTTTTATCATGGTTTGCAACTGGAAATGCGTTAGTGTGAGTTGTAACAAGGGGGATGGACCTACATCGTCGTAAGAACACGCGGACGCGATCGTCCTTTCCAGCCGTCTCATGCGCCATCTTTCCCTTGCGATTTCGGATAAACACATCGGCCCCAGCGCGCACCGCTAGCTCAATCAAGCGGAGATCCTTCCGGCGTGCGGCTTCGTGTAGTAGAGACGTGCTCGTGTCGTTGTCTAGATAAGACAAGTCGACGAAAGATATCCGCGGAGAGTCGAGCAGCTGGAGGAGTGAGGGCGAGGGTGGTTCTGATAAAGGTGATAGAATGTAGCTTCGCAGTAGGGAGCGGTAAGAAGCATTGAGAAATGAACGCGAATCTAGAAAAGTTCAGACCGAATCAAGTGAGGAGGACGAGATACATACCATCGATAGCCCGCACTACCTCTTTTCCTCTCGCGACCTCACGGCATGTCCTTCCTTGCGCGTCCTTCAAGCTATCGTCGATATTTTCTTGCTCCAATAACAGGTTCACGACATCCACTCTTCCAAGTGATGCCGCCAGATGCAGAGGTGTGGTGCCCGAACCAGAGGGATGGACACCGTTGGGCGATATGGCTCGATGAGAAAGAAGCAGGGAAACGGTTTGGACTAACAAAAATTAGTCCCAGAAACCAAAGAAGCCAACCGACTCACCTGAAGCACATCTGACAGCCAAATGCAACGCTGCTGCCCCTGTGTCAATCTCACCCTCACTCGATTTGCGTCGGTCCTTCCCTATTTCTGCGAGGAATGGGTGTATAGCTGCTGGGTCGCCTGAAACACGCTGAGCAGGAACGAGAGCGTGGAGCTGGATGACATACCGCCACGGAGAGCTGCGAGAAGTCTGACTTGGTAAAGTGGCTCGCCTGCTTGGATGCTGTCGTCAGTCAAACGGAGAATGACAATTTTGGTACGTACTTGCATTGGAAGACTCTGAAATTGAGTCTGCCATCGTCGTTGCAGCAGGCCAAATCGTGGTTCAAGAGCTTGGGGCGTTTGTTTGTACTTGTGATGCGCCAAGCCCCGTTCTGGTCGGTTGTGCTGCCGCGCCTTGACCCAACCTTGACCGCATCTACAATTTCTAAACATCATTGTTCGCGGGGGAGAAGAGAGTAAGCTAAAGACAGGCTGTGGTGCAGAGCTGAGGTTTATTGAAAATTTTGAGGATCGTTTCGAGGCAAAAGATAATACGGATTAAAAGACCCTATATGCGCGAGTGCAAGTTGTGCAACGCGAGCGGGTTGGTCATGGATGTGGATATATCGACGCCGGGGCCATACGACGCAGTGGGTCCATAATTTTGTATGAAGCTTGTCGGGATTAACTTCGAGCGGCGGATGTTATGTGTATATATGTATTATGCGCGAAAATGGACGTTGCGTCCACGGAAGAACCAGTGATTCGTACGCAGTCAAGAGCCCTAGAGAGTAAGAACCTGGGTTATTATCACATAACGAACAAATAAAGTCAAAGAGATACGAACTGTCGACCTGCGAGTATATGCGTGGCATGTCCTCTGCACTGGCGGCGCCCGCATAGATGTATGCGCGGAGATTGCGTCAAGGAAAAAAAAAAATGTCCTCACCAACACAAAGATGAGTCGCCGCAGAAAAAACTCCTAGGATTTGAATGTGGCCTGTAACTTGAAAGTCCTATCGGACGTCGGGACAGCCCATACAGAGCGTCGACTGGTCAACGGCTCAACAAGCACAACGACTGAGTGTTAATTGAGGCTGCACGTTCTGAGTTTCAATGAGCAGCGATAGGTAAGGAGATTTTGAATACGTGCCATGGGGTGCGAAGGGAAGGAATGAATGGAGCGAATGAAAAATCGAGGATACTTATATACCCGATATAACACGTGATCATCATCCATACTTGAAGTCAAAAATAGATTATGATCACGTGTTACATGTTGTAACCCGACCCCTTTTCCTCTGCAACACTTGCTCCAGCAACCATGCCATTATTCAAGTGCACTTTTCCAGGATGCTTGCGGCCTGGCGTCCGAAGACAGGGCTCTTGCAGCTTTTGCAACAGTCATCTATGCGCTAAACATCTTGGTCAGGATTTTTTCCAAGCGGCTCGGTCTTCCTTGAGCGCTTTGCACAACAACTCGATCGACACACGAGCCTCGTATTTGTTCTGGTGAAATTTATACTCTTCACCACGCCTCTTGGCCCAGCTCCGCGTGTTGCAGGTCAATACGACGTTATCTGGATGCACGTAGATATTGCGCACTTGGTCGTCGGACTTGAACTGGATCGTGATGTGGTGGTCCTCCATCTCAACAGCTACGGTACATGACTCTGGTGCCATTATTGAGAAGACTTTGTGGTTGTGAATGTGATGTAAGTGAACAGTGACTTGATGGAGTGAATCGGAAGATTGGTGAGTGCTGAAAGAATGGATGAGAGAAATTATCTTTTGGACAAGTAAGGTCTAGTATAACTTACTCGAGGAGAGTTGGAAGTGCCTGTCAACGAATGTATACACCCTTATACACCCCGTTTCCATCGTTTATATATTATTTCTGAGGCTTTGCCTTCACCAGTGCTTCGGACCACCCCTCCGGTGAGGAAGAACAAGAGTTCAGTACGGGGGACAGAGAACCGGTCGACTACACCGCCATTTTGTTCGGATCCCAAAATAAGGTCTGAGCCGGGACCTTAGACCCTATAGCGTGTGATCTCCGCGCTAAGGTCGGAGAGATGCACAAAACGGCCATGATCAAATTATCAGAAAATTGACAGGTGATTGGACCTTTTCATCGAAAGGTGAGATTGACCTTGGGGAGAATAACCTCCCGCTGTCCTCTTTTTCTGGTATCCCGTTAGGCAAACTGTAGCTCTATATATCATGTAATTTCTGGCCAATTTCATTGCTTGCAGCTCATCCATCCACACCGTTCCAAAGCAAATAATGGTCTGATTCACGGGGGCTATGTACAATATGTATTATGGACAGATGACGGTACGCGTATAAAGGGAATATCAATAGCAGGGGGATGAAAACATGTATGCAATGGAAGACAAATGATTTATCGACATCGAAGGAGTGGGATTAAAATGATTGATGGTCTTGTATGTATTTGAGAAATAACAACTTGAAAGCTCGAATAATCTGCGGAGAAGGGGTTGAATTAGCATAACGATACTTTACTTTTGACGGAAACATACGGGGAGCTGTATTTCCGGTGTGTGTTATGGGTGCGCTAGCAGCGGTCTGTTTGAATCGGGGGCATTACTCGGGAATTTCGACCTGACCAAATTCCTCCATGTCATCCTCCAGGACTGCTGCAAAGAATCTTGAAGACAAAAAATTAGCCTCACAAGCTGTCGACATAGTCAAGCACGCACCCCGATAGTTCGCTGCGAGTCGCGTGCGCTGTCCTCGCGATCTCCAACTCCTTATCAACTCGTCCCCAATAATCCGGCCCCTTGTAAGTAAAAAGAATGTTGCGCTGACAGATTTATGTGAGAGGGAAGCTAAATATTCGGAAACAAAATGAATAGCTTCCTCACCAAGAACGCGAGACGAACACAGAGCTCCAATGTGACAGAAATTTTGGTGGATGCATGTAACGTAACGACGGCCTTTGCAGTCTCGAAGATGTTCTTGGGGGTTTGAAGTCTTTTCCGTTCGCGGTTTGCCCCATCAAAAGATTCCGAAGAGTCTTTCTTCTTCTTCGCAGGTTCGTAAATGGAATCGAGGAGCTGGAAAGCAAACCGTTAATAATTTTCAGATGCCAAAAAAATCGAACAATGGTGCAACCAACTTCTCCCTTAAGGTCGCAGCGGAAGTCCGCAAGGCGGTCACGGCAACGCTTTTGCATGGCCTCCCAATTGGACCGGCTATCTTTAATCTCCTGGGGAACTGAAGGATTTGCACCTAAAGAAGACTGAAGTTGACGTAGAAAGGTGAGACATAAGAAGAGGGTCAGGAATCATAATTACCTCGATCAGAGCAAACAAAATTTTACAATATCCTCCGACTGTTGGATCCAACATGTTCTCGACGGCTGAAGAATCGATAATGGTCTACAAATAAATAAGTCAAATGAATGGTAAAGAAAGTTAAAAGAATCTAGCGACATGCCTTAATTGACTTTGGAATGTGGAAAACAATGTCTGGGTGCAAGCCGGCTGACAACGTTTTTCAACTCAATAAATCCTGCGTACAAGACGAGTGTTTGCTCAGCATCGGTTTTCTTGGGCGACAACATGTCAGACGCATTAATGAATGACACTGGTTTACTTACCGTAGCAAATTGCAAGAGTTCCTTCTTTTCGTTCACCTTGAACTTCTTCTCTCGAGAAATTGTTTCCGCGAGCTGACCCAGGTCTTCAGCAGGACGCTTTCTTCGGGCTGCCATTGCAAGCTGTGGGGTAGAGAATTCAGATGACTGTGGCGTCATCCCTGGGTCTGGGGATGATGAGCGACTCGGGTGTGGAGAATGAAAACCCGAAGTAGGGGAACCTGGTGGGCTCGACCGGGCCCGAGGAGGCTGGGCATGAATTTCAGCCAAATTGCGCATGATGAGAATATAAGAGAAAAGGAGAGCTGAGCTGAAATGAAAGCGGTTGAAGTTGGAAAGAGACGAAACAAGAAAAACGAACCATATTGCAAAAAGACACGTGCCCAACAGTTATTCAGCTCTGCCTCCGAACAATAACAGACACTGAGAACAGCTCAGCAACTTACAAAATTATGCCCGCAGTACGCACCAATGATCCAACCAGCAGTGTGTAGTTTTATCGGAGCAAATCCTTCTTTTTCGAGTGATTCATTGTCCCAGAAATCTTTTCCCAGTCTCCCGAAGATCCGGCCAGTGTGATTTGCGAGTCCTGTACAACTTTTCACGGCAAAAGAACAACTGTTTTGAAAAAAGGGATGGTGGGACATACACAAACTGGCAAACATAAAAAAGCTGCCCAGACACAGCTTGAGGAAGCTGGAACTGCATCCACGCGCGTAGACGAAGAGGCAGTCCCAGCAAGCACCTTGCTATTGAACGAAAGATTTCGCGGTCAAGCGATCAGAACTGAAGAAGGCGAAGGTAGCCCATTTCAGGATGTAACAATGCATGACGGGATCTACGTTAATGGTGACGGAGAAGAATATACCTTCGGTGCTGGGAATATTCCCGAGGATCCGAGCGATATTCGCTTTCTGAGAGATCTGGAAAATCTCGAGTACTTCAAAGCAACCAGCAAGTTTGGTGGAATGAGACTCACGGCAGATCTTCAAGATGAGGAAGAGGACGGAAATACGGTCACAGATCTTGAAAGACTAATGAGAAGTTTAGGTAGGCGCACACATCTTGCATTGAAAGAAAGATACCTTGATATTAAATCGGATGCAGGTATTGACAGTGATGACGAATCTGATGCTGAAGAGGATGTCGTCGCACAAGGAAGAAACGCGGGACTTGGCGATGATGCGGGTTGGGCGCCGCATGGATCGAAAACGGTACCGATGCTATTTTTTCTTTTGGGTTAGTCTAAATCACTAAACGAGGCATAGATGTTTATGCTTGACTTACTGGATAACCTCCCGCGCCTGCGCCTGTCTGACGACCACCTAAAAACAATAATTTGGGTGATGCGCGAATGTGGAACTCCCAATGTTCCCTCATTCTCCGCCAGGACGGACAAGAGTCGACACACACACACAGAAATGAAATACGACACACGTGATGAAGAACGACACACCTGTCCAATGTTCAACACATTGATGGCAAATGTCGGTCACTTATTCAGGAATGTGTGTCGAATCTTATCCATACTATTTCGATAAATTCCGCCACAATGTTCCCTTTTTGGATTGAAAATCTGATGTGTGACGGCCAAATTAGATATTGAGTACATATACACCAAAAATTCTGTGGTTAAGTCGAAATCAGCCTCTCCATGCTCACGTAAAATTTGACATTATAAGTTTTATTCCTTACACTACTTACTATACATTAAGTTATACGTAGATTCTAAGAGAGGGAGCAACATCGCGACCCCGGAATGTACCTACCAAGAATTCTCACCGTCGACAGCCTTGGGTGTCAACATGTGGTCTCCGCGGCCGTGGTCGAGTGAGACGCAGTGGTGGCCTCGTCGGAGAGGGCGCTGGCGTTTTCGCTGTCATTCGGGGCTGTTTAGTGGGGAGGCGCATGGTACGCACCTGGCTGCACGGTGCTGTATTGCCTGTTGGTTCGCCAAGTGGCGCTGGGTCCTCGTCGATGGGCCTCAGCGCTGGATTCCGTCTGTTGGGGCATTTTCGTGAGCTGATTCCGTCAGCGTGGGTGGTTTATCCTGGGCGCTGAGTTGTTGCCGTGGGTAGTTGGGTGGTTTTGTGTGCGTTTTCACAGGCGGTTAGTCGTAGTCCACAGGTTGCGTTTGCGACGGGAGTTGATTTGGGGGCGGACGTGGCGTGAGGTGGGAGGAGCGCCCCGGCTTTGCCCTGCTGGGCATTCGCTAGGTAATGGGAGGTGGGTTGTTAGCAAATACGGGGCTGAACAGAGTCGGAACTCACCTGAAGGGGCCCGTAACCGTTCTCTCGGTCCTTGTCGGCCATAGCAAGGGTGCGAGGTGAGGAGGAAGAGAGCGCAGGGGGTGGTGGGGCACAGGCAAGCAAATGGTGGTCGTGGTGGTGATGAGAAAGCGGTCGTGACCAAGTCGTGACAGCGTTCATCACGCTCGTAACGGAGTTTCGAATTTATGCACGGCACACTCGAAAATGCGAAATCGCGAAGAACGACACATTGTTACCAGGTGTGTCGCTTCTCACATGATGTGTCCTACTCCTCATCTGTGTGTGTGTGTCTCCTCTTGTATATCCTCATTCTCCGCATTGCGCAGACTGCAAGCTAGATTAACCAAGGAAATAAATGTGGAGCCAGAGCATCATACCTCGAGCTTAGGAAACCACTTCTACATGAATCATCCTATCGATCTGTTGGCACTTGTAAGTTGTGGTTGAGCTTTACCTTGTTGAAATAGTAGTCAAAGTTCACCTTGTTGTCATTCTCAGGACTGGGCCAATCCCCTTGTGCGCGATCACATTCAGGTCTATCCTGAGATCTGTGATACCATTTCTGAGCCATGGCAGGCAGATAAATGGCTGAAGGAAATCCCATTCGATGAGCTGTCCCCGATGTGGGCAGATTGGAAGGTCACTCCTCACCGACATTTTTACATCAAAGAAGTTGCCCAGCTGGCAAACAATGAGTTTGTCATCCCAATGCGGTGGGTCATGGTCAAGAAAGTCGAACACGTCGAGTTCTATCGTGTAAAATGGAATGAGGAGGTGAGATCTGGACAGGACATTGTGATGGTTGCGAAAGAAACTGATTGTGAACGATCAACAATGTGTTCAGACTGGGAAATATTCCCTTTTTGGGTCGGATTCCACGCACCTCGAGGGTTCAACGTCAACAAAGTCCTCACGAGATTTGCTTTACCGCTTGCCTGCAAGTGAATTAAAATACAACTTCCTGGAGCTTGAAAAGGGTGGTTATAAATTTGAATTCTCAGGTGAGAGTTCAAATAAATATTTCAGAGTGTTTTTCGGTCTTTGATATTTCTTGAAACTGGCAGAGTCAGACCTGAAATGCGCCGAATCAGAATGCCTTGGTACAAGTGCGAATCCATCACGCCAAATCGCAAAAGGCCGCCCCTTATTCGTGTTGCGCATTATGCCATGGTGTGACGATGTTTCCGGAAATCGTTCAAAGCAATACAATGCACATGTGAACATGTACACGACAAATGCAAGTTTACCTCACCGAAAACTCTCGCAGGAGTATTTTGTGCGATTCTGTTCAACATCGCCTCATGCATCAGCTCTCGAACAGTTTGAGGCGCTATCAAAAGATTTGTGTGTTCTCCCTTTCCTAAATATTATGGACCTTCCCGAATTAACATTTGGGTAATATACCCATGTAGCGGAAAGTGGAAGGAGGCATATGATTGCAAATTGGAGCAAGATATCCTTTTCCAAATATATCCCCATGCAGGACCAGCCGATAACCCTCAGCAGGCAGAATCCTGTTCCTGCGGAGGCCTGGGATCAAGTCATAATTGTCGTTATGACGAGAACGGAGGTACGAAAGCATTTAAAGAGACAAATGAAGGGTATCATGCGATGTTTTCAGTGAGTATGTCACCTTCCTGGAGTCACTGAAAGTATTAAGGACTGTGGGGTTTTTAGCCGGGCGTCCCGCGAACTCCAGAGAAAACCATAGCCCGAATAAAAGAGCAGATTCACACAGCGTGCCTTGGTGTCAAGGATCATGTCGATGCCCTGCAAACGGCCACAGGAGTGAAGGACAAGATCGCATGCCACTGGATTGATAAACTGATTGAGATGGCGCGTGAGCGCCAGAATACACGGATAAGTAATGTAGCAACGCGAGACGCCACTTTGAACAACAAGAATTTGAAGGGACCTGCACGGGAGGCCATGAAGAAAAAAATCAAAGAAGAAATTCAAGAAGAGCTGCTCAAGTGGGTCATTATGCAGCCTCCTGACCGATATGAACAGTACCCAGAAAACTCTGGTGAGATTTTCCTGTATTTCCTCCAATCTTGTTTATGACTGTGGATTTACAGATGAGAAAAGGAACCCCAGCCTGCGCCCAGGAGACCACTTCAACGTGTTGTTACGCGTTCGTGGTCGGTGGTTAATTAATCACAACCTCTCTTTTAGCGATAAAGTTTTCTGACTGAAGTACTTATTTTAGGGCTTGACCCACATAAAGACAGTCCATGTGAGCTTCTCCATACGTATCTCCTTGGCGAAGATAAATATGTCTGGCACGACACGTCCAAGAAATGGGACAAGAAGAAAGAAGAGCTCTTTGCTGTCTGTCTTCAAGGCTCTTCACTAGAGGGACTCACAATTGACTCGCTGCGAGCAAGATATTGTGTTCAGTACAAGAATTCTCTCATCGGAAAACATTTCAAATCTCTTCAACAACTGGCTGTCTTTCATTTGAATGATTCTCTTTGTCCACCCCATTTGTTTGAGATATGGAAAGCATCGGGCGAGCTTGGGGCTTTATTATGGTTTCCTGAGATAAAGAACATGGATCAATACCTGGTGAGTTTTAGTGACTCGGATGTGTTCGCTTTTCAACTTGTACATTGACTTCTAATATGAAGGCCGATCTTGAAATATGCATCGCAAACCTTCTCGATTTATGGGCAGTCTATGATCCTAACCGGATCATTGTCAAGTTCAAATTGCATGTTCTCCCGCATATTATTGACGACATTCGACGATTTGGGCCGGCAGTATTATTTTCAACTGAGGTATTCGAGTGTTGGAACGCCATTTTTCGGTTATGCAGCGTACTTTCAAACCACCTCTCGCCCTCGCACGACATCGCAGATACACTTCTTGATATGGAAAGGTTCAAGCATATTGTTAGCGGAGGGTGGTGGAAGACAGAGGACAATGACTGGACTCAGGCAGGCAAACACGTTCGAAATTATTTAAAAGAAGAGGTACAGTTACAACGCCGCCTGGGTTGGACGGACATATCAACAATGGTTCCAGGTGAGATATTACATGTGTCTCAGACTGTAGGTAGAAACCTGACGGATAATTATTCAAAGGAACCGTAAAGCTGGAGTCATCGAAGAAACGACGACCTGGGTCATGGAAGGAATCACTCGGACAGCATTGGACTGCCGAGCGCGATGGATGCGGGGATCAGTCCCAGACATGGGCGCGGTGCCGATACCTTGTGTCAATGTCTCAGGACGTTTGCAAGGTTGGGTCTTGGGTCTTTTCAAAGCGTGAAAATGGAACGGTAACGTTAACTTTGAGCTCGAGTATTGTATTGACCCACTGACTTTAAATTTCATTGTACCAGGATGTCGCGGCTGGTCGCATCTTGCTGATATTGCTGCCGAATACAACAACCATCATCTCGCTAAGTACGGCTGCAACGATCCTACTCGAGATCTTCAATGTTGAAGGACGAAAGAACGAGAGGTTGAATATGCCTATTCTATCAGCTAGCGGAGAAACACTGCTTGTTGCAGCGAAAGTGAGTAATCGATACTATCGTATGTAAATGCCTCTTACACCGTTCTGGGGACAGGATATATTATTTCTCTTCAATGCGCAGCACGACTGTAAACATGGAAAGTGCAGGATTGTTGAAAAGCCTGCACTTCAGGAGCGGGAAACCACGACCCGCATGCAAGGAACTATCGAGCACCTGGATAACACCCGTTATTTTATCAATATGCATGCTCTTCACAACGCTCACCTTATTCGCGAAGTACTTCCTCGTGATCTCACAAAACACCAACTGCGGTTCCCTAATCGGCGCGCCAAGCACGACGAGTTGGCTGCAGGCCTTCGGGTCACAGGACCGGCCGCTCGAAAAGCTGCGGCGGAGCAATCAACACGAACACGAAATCGAAACAAGCAAAAGAACTTACAAGCACAAGCCCGCGCGGGACTCGCAGTTATCACGGAGGAAGATCCTGAGGAGCTGAATGAAGAATCAATGTTGACAGGCGTGCAGGATGATGGTCTATCTGGTGGACGTGAAGACGATGAAGATACATCAATGGAGGGAATGGATGCGTAACGACTTACTTTGTATCAATCACACAACATTCAGAGAGGTCCAGGGAAAGGGTGTGACCATAGTGAATCATAGAAGTATGTTTATTTCGAAAGAAAAGACATTCGCGAAGAGAAATAACGACGTCAGAAGCCGGGAATTGCTGAAGAGGACATGGAGATGTCTCGAGGGAGATGCCATGATAAGGCTATGCGTGGGACCATCTGACATTTTAAATCGGCTAATTTACCCTGAATTTCTTAAGCTGGAAAGGCATCAGATTCACATTCCGCCAACCCCCAGAATTAACATCACAGGATATTACAGCCGAGCCATCATTCAGGCACCTGAACAAGTTGGCGGTGTACCTTGTAAACACGAGCGAAAGAGAGAAGAAGAGATGGAAGGGACAAAGGGACGGCCTAAAGTAGTACTTAGCGTAGTCAACGACTTTAAAAGCTTAATCGGTGGCGTGAGTTCTTGTGTGTGCTTGGAGAATGTGGCGTGAGTTTGTCAACGCGCTTGATGCGTCTGTCTTGAGGAATGTCGCGCCTTGGTGCGCGACGACTTAGAAAATGACAGAGGGTGTTTGGAGGAGAGGAGGAGTGGATTCAAAAGGGTCAAACGTCGAAACTAACTGTGAGAGGTAAAAAGTGGGGGAAAAGAAAAAGGACGCTCCATTCGCAAGGTGGGAGAACACCTTAAATACAAAAATCGAAATCACAAGGCAATCGACACGTTCTCGCGTGCTGCCTGTCCCCAAAGATTCTAATTTTAGAAAAAAAAAAGAAGAAAGACATCGAAAAATAAAAATAAACACATAAAACTTACGCCTCCCGCATGATTCCTCAACCAAATCTTTGAGCTGGGGATTGCTCGGGGAATTGAACAACACCGGGGAAGCTTATTTACGTGCGCGTCGCCGCCCTCAACGCGAGCGCCCCAGTCGTCGACAACTCTACCCTACCGTCCAGCCCTTGGAAAAGGTATCGGTCTCATGGGAAGACGTTAAAAGTAACTGAACAGAATAAAACGAAAAATATACGAAAGGTGCGCACAAAATGAATCCTTGAATCCGAAATCCTTCAAGTTGATGCGAAGAAATTGTGATCGAAGAAGTAGCCGGCGATGATGTCATACGAGGGCTTCGTTTACAGCGAGATGCCGGATATTGCGTCATTGGGCTGGGACTTCTTCAGTGCACGTGGTCACTTCTTCAGTGCATGTGGTCACTCATCAGGCGCTCGTGTAGATGTTCGAATGGATCTTTCAAAATACTCTTGATGACCTGAAGAATAAAAGAAAAACTTTGGAGCCTAGAGAAATTTAAAATACACAATAAAATTCAAAACACGAAAGAAAACATTGAAAAGGCGAAGTGCCATGAACACGTCATTTGGCACTTCCACACCGGTGTCTGAATAGCTATCCTGTGAATGTACTACTAGTATAGTTGGCATGCAGGGCTACGCACCGGTCCTGCTATTCACTGTACCACTGCCTTGTGCAAGTCGGCTGGCAAAGGCGTGGCTGGGATACATACTTTGTATGAGCCACAAGCGGCGCAAAGCAAGCGCTCATATCGCTTGGAAAGGGTCCATGTTCTCTGAGCGCCGTGTGGAGCAGAAGTCCTGAAATCGCCCAGAAGGGTAGAGGATTCAAGGGGAAGGAAAAAAAGTCGGAAACAACCGAACACGAGGTAGAGCCTATTGAACGTGTGGCTATTGTTTATAAGGGATGTAGACCACTTGCTGAGACGCGAAACGCGTCTTCAAACCTGTGCAGCCTATTCAAATTTTCCACTGTAGCTCACTTGGCTTTGAAAAAATTCCTTGGTTTTTGTATCCCTATAGCAGTCAAACATCTCGTCAGCTCCTTTGCATATACTACGCCTTGGGGGTTAATGTGCGTATATACCCAACGAGGTACTAGCACATGACCGAATTTTCGAGAGCTATTTTTAGCACACATCTCTAATTCTTCCGTATTACTTGTACAATATATATCTTTCCCCACAGCTTTGTGAGATTCTGTAAAGTACACATTCACTATCGTAGTAACTATGATCTTATAAAGGGTATACCTCATCGCCATCCTATCGCCCCGGCGGTATGGTAACCTATAGCAAGTTTCGTACCCAATTGCATCAGCTGCAATACTACACTCGCAACCCAACTCTTGATCTTTGTCCACAGAGAAGTGGACATTCCTATCTCGTCAGAAATTGTCGCCATAACTTGATCTACAGTCAAATCATTCCACCCGGCTCGATCTGCTTTGAGCGCTTGGCACAACAGCTCGATTGATCGACGAGCCTCATATTTGTTCTGGTGAAACGTACACTCGCCGCCACGCCTTTGGGCCCAGCTCCGCGTGTTGGACGTCAAGACGACATTGTCCGGGTGAACGTAGATGTTGCGCACTTGGTCGTCTGACTTGAAATGGATTGTGATGTGGTGATCCTCAATGTCAACAGCTACGGTACATGATTCCGGAGCCATTCTTGAGAGCACTTGTGATTGGATATGTGCGTGAATGTGATGTGGGCGCTGAGGGGAAAGGTAAGAGAAGATATTCTTTGAACAGGTAAGATCTATAACTTACTCGAGAAGAGTCGAAAGGTGGGTCGGTGCGTACATACGCCGCATACCCATCGTATATATATCATTCTTGAGCGTTGCGTTTACCAGTGCTTTGAACTACCTCCCCAGTATTTTGGAATGCTATTTGTGACTACACACCTGTCCTGCGTACCAGTACCTTAGGGCTGAGCATGCTGTCAAGCTAGCGGAGGCGTGACTGGGTCATATGAGCCATAATCAAGCGCTTGTATCGCTCATGGGTTCATATTTGAGCGCCAAATGAGGGTGAGGAGTAGTGGAAGTCCTGAAGTCGCCCAGGGGTAGAGGTTTCGAGTGGAAGGGAAAAAAAGGCCAAAAGAATTAAACACGTGATCGAGATACCAAAAACCGGAACAAACATTGACAACGCAAGCCAACGTCGGTGACGTACTACTCTTGGCTTGCATCGATTTTTCTCTGGATTTCTCTTGGGCCATGACTCGGAGTTGTGCCTAGGCTGGACGCTTCACGCGGGTTCGACTACCACGAATGCCTGTGGCTCTTTCTTCTATACCTCACTTTTCGGACGAGGTAAGTGTGGCGTCTGATTATATATCATACACCTCAGATGATCTCAGCAGACGCGCTTTTCACTGGCACTCAATACTAGTACTCAGTGCGACTCAGTCCTAGTACTCAGTGCGACTCAGCTTTAGCACTCAGTGCGACTCAGTCGTAGTACTCGGTACTCAGCGCTCAGCGCTGGCTAACACGTTTTTGTCACCATGATGTCATCTTATGGTGCTTATGCCAGGCCGCAGGCAATGATGATAAGGGCAGATAGGCACCGCCTTTCAAATTTCACCTTTGATTCCATCGATCACCATACTAATGTCTCCATTCAGTTCTGAGCCTCAGAGCACTTCCACAGCCGGCTCAAATTCTTCCAGCGGTCTATATTCCTTGGATGGACGAGGAGGAGAACCCGGTAATGGGGTGCGTATGCATATTTCTTCCATACTTCGGTGACAGATTGAATGGTAAATCTGATAGAAGCCGCAAGGCCGCGAAGCAACATCACCTCGTTACTGTGCGTTGAATGCGCTTTATTCAGAAGCCTGTCGATGCTAATCCACTTGCGCCCAGTATACTATCGTCTTTACGCAACGGACGGTGCTATGAAGTCGCTCAACCCCATCTACTCCAACGATCCGAGTATCAGCCGCATTTTGCCGAAATCCCTCACTCCCCCTCATACTGCCTTATCATTGAAGAGATATCTCTGCAAGATAGAAGGCTTGGCAGAATCAAACGCAAGTTTATTCGAATCGCTGTCAAGCGATGTTGCCATAGCGGGTTCCTCATGTCTCAAGTTGCGAGATCATCTTGGCCTAGGCGCATCGTCTCGCGAGCCGATGGTTTTGGTGGTCGGGGTTGCTGAGGCTGAGAAAAGATTGTATACGCCACGGCGGGTGACCAATAAGTTGATTGAAAACCCTGACTCACGCGAGATGTGCTACAGTATGTCCGATATTTGTGTCATCTTTCTTGATTCTCACATAATTTAGTATATTATCGCGTATACGGTGAAGAGGGCGAGGTGAACTCGAGAGCGCCCTTTGATGAAAGGGATACTAGCTTGGGTCACATAGACACGTTATCTATTGCGCCGCCGCGCACTGTGGCCTCTCTGAAGTCTCGCATCGTCAACGTCGAAGGCATTGCAAATCAAGAAATTCAATTGTTCGAGGACACCGATGGTGAAGTCCTGCTGAACGACGCTGACCATCTACCTCTCTTCGCAGTGACCTATTTGGGCTACATCAAAGCCGACCCATTGGCGGTCGTTTATGTTTCAAAAACGCCAAGTTCAAGATCAACAATGACGAAGGCGATTCGAGCAAAATACGATTGTAGTAAGCCAATAGCACTTAAGCTTGGTGGCGTTACAGAGGCGGGAAGGGACGTTAGGCTGTGCGCCCGACTCCGACATGTTTCCACTCGAGGTATGGCATACATACATGGACATGTAACTAATAGGCAGTGGGTGGGTGGGTGACGAAAATGAGAAAACAGCTTAAACTAAAGAGAGGTTGTGAGCTATTTCAACGAGAGCCTTACAAAAATGAAATGGGAATCGCACCTAGCTGAGGGAGTGAGATGTTGAAACGAGAGCCTTACAGAAAGGGGCGTTTCATCTCACTCCTCAACTGGTGGTGCGAGTCTAAAATAAGCTGTGATCCAAGCGTGGATCGTGAAGCTCGAGTCCAAGCGTGGATGTAGAGTTTGCCAGCGGGCAATTGAGCAGCGGCTCATAGTCGCATGTTGGCGAACGTGACGACTATATTGTATGCGTGTAACTCAAGCTTTGGTCAGTGCTTATTGGACTTGAGTAAACATAGTTTAAACTCGACCAATAGCACTTAAGCTTGGTGGCGTTACAGAGGCGGGAAGGGACGTTAGGTAGCCAAAATCAGAAGTCGGGGCCTGTGCGCCCGACTCCGACATGTTTCCACTCGAGGTATGGCTATAAGTCCTATTAAAAAGAAAGGAAAAGGTGATGAGTTCACGCAGTGAAGGATGTGAGGAGCGAGGGGAAAGGTTAAAGATAAATTTAAACAATTACAAGTTGTCCAATAGTAAAGTATTTCTTGTTCATATTTGAGAATGCGCAGGGCTGGGGAGGGGGTGGTGGTCTGGTAAAGTAGCTGTTGAGGGGTGTGTGTGCATGGTAGAAGGGGAGCGCCGTAAGAGTCTGTTGATAAAATAGATAAGAAAAGTCTATAAAGAAAAAATCAAATAAAAGAAAAGTTGGTTCTCCAAAGCGTGGAGTCGGTCTCCAAAGCGTGGAGTTAGTTCTCCAGGGCGTGGAGAAATGTGTTTTGAGAACGCTTGGTTTGTCCGAAAAGGAGTGCTTGGATGAGCACAGGGTTTTTTCGAACATATATTTTGAACGCGTCGGACGCCCATCTGCCTATGGCCTGAATTATTGACGGGGGTACACCATTCTCCGCTAGTGAGGTGGCTCCTCCTGCTCGCAGTGACTGACCGGCGGTGTCGGAGTCGAAGAAGCGGCGCAAACGCCGTATAAAGAACGAGCGAGTGGGGACGGTGCCCTGGCTGGTGAGCCACAACGGGGAACTGAATGGGAATTTAGCGTCACGGGCTCGTAGATATGTTAGAAAGCGCTTGTGAGGGTCAAATTTGTGCGGGTTTTTGCGTACAATGATAGTGTTCCCTTCGTAAAACCTGTCGGCCTTATGTCCAGGCAGGAAAAACTTGTAGGAATCTTCATTTGTGTGTACTGAGCTGCGCCTTGTGACTTTTCTGGGATCGCGGAGTTCTGGGTCATCGGGGTAGGTCATTTCGCCTAGTCGGAACAATGCAAAGAAACCGGTTAATAGCTGAGCAAGAAACAGAGTGTCGTCGTAGTCAGTGGAGGAGGAGAGCTTGTCGACGACGGTCTCGAGGTCCTCAATGGTCAGCGCGCGCTTACGCGAAGTAGGAACTGCTCGCATCCGCTTACAACCCTGCAATGTACGATGTACCAGAGCGGAGTTGCGAGAGGATCGAACATCAGGGAAATACGGTTCCAATTGATGGCATATACCTGACAGGTATGTTCCAACTGAATCAGGCTTGATGTGATGACACATGTACACTGTGAATAGGCTTAGGGTGTCTGGAGTTGGGTCAAGGGGGTAGTCGTGCATTTTTACAAAGTTCAAGTACGAGTTGAGGGCAGAGCCGTAGTTTTTCCAGGTTGAATTATCCACGGCTTGTCCAAGGGCAATAGCGCGCTCATGTATGAGACGCTCTCGTGTCCAGACTTCCCTGAGGGGTTGTCTGGACCGAACATTTGATGAGATCATTTTTGGGCAGCCCCCAGCGCCAATTGAGGGGGTGTAAAAGGGGTGATGGTGATTCCAGGCACGTACTGACGTGCGAGTTCAAAGTTGTTTCGTGAGATTGCATCGGCGACATAATTTAGTTCACCTGCGATGTGGAGCACGCGTAGATGAAGGCTTTCAACGATCAGGGCATCAGCGGCGCTGATCAGGATGCTGTTATAGTGAGGCAAGCAACGCAGAGTGTTGAAAATCGCGACTGTGTTGTCATTGTCGGTATAAATCAATATACGTGAAGACGGGGGTGGATGCTGTGACTCAATGATATGGTGGAGGGCAGCCAGTACGCATAATGCCTCGAAATAAAAAATTTGTTCTTCATCCAGCCCATCAGGTACAGGAGAATAGAAACCGACGCATTTGTCAGGCCTCCAAAATCCCATCCCTTTCAGACATGCATCGCAGTATATTGTGAAATCAGCGGATGATGTGTCCCAGCGAAGTTGCTGGATCAAGCAAATGCCTGAATCACGTTCTAGGTGCGAGACCGCCCAAGATAGGTCGGCGCGCACGGCGTTATTGATCCTCACGCACCTATCTGGGGCATTCTTGCCGCTAATTTTTGCATAGAAGTTGTTGAGAGCTGGTCTGAGGAGGGGGAAGACATTGAAGCTCCAATTCATCCAACCCGCCAAACGCTGCCATTCCCTTAAGGAAAATCGTCGGCGGTTGGTGATGAAGTCGGTAATCGCAGCCACCAAGTCTTTCAGGCAGTCTGCGGGCATGGACAACGTTAAGGCATTCGCATCGACTTCTATCCCAATAATTGTTAGGACTGGACCAAAGACCTGTTTCTTCTCTTTGTGGGGCAGGTTGATCTCGTCCCAAAGGTGTAAGATCTTGACCTGATTTGTTGGCATGAATTTTCGATAAGGTTCATACCAAGTGACATTTGAGGCGGCCTCGGGTCCAAAGGAGTCATCTGAATATGTGCCCAGAAGGTCTATCTGGCGCTTCTTCTTCGCTATCCATGATACTAGGGACATGAAGGCGATCCAGTTACATCCAGACCCACGCCCCCCAAAAGCGCAGTTCCTGTCGATGTGTAAGGCACCGTCAATCCGATTTGCCTGTTTTATCTGCCAGTATGGGTGTACTGGTAATAGTCTGTAAGCCTCGGCGACGTCGGACTTGAATAATATGCGAGGTGAGTCAGGATCGCGGCGATGCATCGATAGCAAGAATTCTCCGAGATGTCGTAGGTTATCCAGTGGGTACCCGACGATGTGGTCTCTAGGAATCATACTGTTTAACGAGTATTTGCCAGCACTCTGGTGGGTCACCATTCGCAAGTCAGTTGAGCGAGGCTTGGGGATGGCGAAGATCGGCATACAATACATTCCAGGCAAGAGTTGTTCCCCGAATGACTCGGAGAAGCGTCCCTTGAAGATCTCATGGTCGCGCTGGTCACGCAGAAATTGTGCCTCCACGGGATCTTCTGGTGAAGGGTAAGATAGATCCAAAGTGTCTGGATACTCCCCGCTGTGGGTATCGGCCCATGGCCAGAAACCCTCACGGAGACCACGGCACACGGAAGCTACAAACGGTTTGTTTGGGTGTGTTTCAAGAAGTTGTTCAAAGCGATCGACATAAATGGGGGAAACTATGTCGAAGAATGTTGGGTTTTCTTTGATGGTTTTCATGACAATAGGGTTTGCAAGTTCAGAGCAAGGAACGGGCGGCAAAGGCATTGCCGTTTCTGACCAGTCAGCTGAAGATTTTGAGAAGTAATCATTGTCTTCCCAAATGTTATGACGAAGGTACTTAGGTTGTAGATTTTGAGCTAGATCCTTCTTTAGAGTCGCAATTTTCTTTCCCGTGACCTGTCCGTTTGCATTTCTTGCAAGCGTGTCGGAAGCGACAGTCTTCGGCTGAGTTCCTGCATCCGTTGACTGAATTGAAGCGGTTGCATAATTCTGTTTTGTTAGCCGTTCTGGAGGTGAGTCGCTTGGACGTGAGGTGGGAGTTGTCTGATTCAACTCCGTCTGGCATGACAATGGCAGAGAAGAACCTAGAGAATCGGTGAGTGTCGGTGAGGAGAGCATTTTGTCCTCCTCCGACTTCGTTCCTGATGGCAATATCGTACAGGATGATTTTGCGATGCGACGACTGTATTCTTGCTGAGAAGTGACCCTCGATGTATTCCCCGTATTCACGGAGTTCTTGCTCTCGATGAGGAAAGGTGAATTTAATTGCTTTGATGGTCGCATTCCAGGCGCTGGTCCATTCGCCACTCGTTTGGACCCTTTTCGAAGGCTCAGATCGTCCAAGGGAAATTTCAGTAGATCCCACGCGTCCAACGTTCTCTTTAGGAGCGGATATATGGTGCAATGATGAGAGCACGGCATCGAGGTTGACTGCCTGTCCTCTGATAATGTTGTCCCATTCTGAGGCTGGAAATCCAAGTGGTGCGGTTCTGGAGTTTTGAATCCACTGCTTGATTGCTTTGGGATCTCGAGAGAATAAGGCGATGATCCTGCGTGATTCCTCGCACTCTTTGTTTCCGGAGCGTCTTTCTTCCTCTTCTCGAGAGAACCATGGCATTTGAGATTCAAAGACTCTACGTTTTCTGTTAGATCGTGTTCCCTCTGTGTCGGAGTCATGAGGATCGTCGTCGGCATCGATAAAGTCTCCAGAAAGGGGTCTCTTAGACCTTCTGGATTGGCCACTGATGTGGGATATGAGTTCGTCGATTTCATCATCGCGTTGTTGATTCCTAGCATGAGCGGATTGGCTGCTTCGTGTACCTGAGGGTTGCAGTCCTTGTTGGACTTGATGTCCTCTCCTAATCGCTGAAGTAGCGAGAGCTTCGACTTCGTTGAGGGTTCGCGTGTAGGATTCGACTGCTGCATCCTTGGTTTTCTCTGGCCTCGTTGTGTTAGAATCGAGTATGGTAACGATTTTTGATAGTGCTCCGAGTTTCGTGATCTCCTTTCTTTGAAAGCTCTCGACTGCGTCGTCCATGAGGTTGATGCATTCCTGTTCGAAAGGCAGTTCCTCATTTTGTGCATTTCCTCCATTGGATTCATTGAATTCCGGACTGGGTTGTCGCTGTTCGTCATTCGTTCCCGCAAAGATGGTGTTTGCGTCTGGAGTCTCCTGAGTAACGTCGGGGTCTGCTGGGTCATCTGGGGGTAGTTGTCCCCCGAGTTGTTCTGCATTCGAGTCAGCAGTTGCGGAGGAGCCGTATCTACCTCCATCCGCTCCAGCAGCAGCGGAGGGCGCCTGTCCAGGTTCTGCAGATGCGAAATAGATGGCATGGTTGTCACTCATAGGAGTTTACTTGAGGTACGATGAATACAAAGTATTTTATTGACGAAAATGAGAAAACAGCTTAAACTAAAGAGAGGTTGTGAGCTATTTCAACGAGAGCCTTACAAAAATGAAATGGGAATCGCACCTAGCTGAGGGAGTGAGATGTTGAAACGAGAGCCTTACAGAAAGGGGCGTTTCATCTCACTCCTCAACTGGTGGTGCGAGTCTAAAATAAGCTGTGATCCAAGCGTGGATCGTGAAGCTCGAGTCCAAGCGTGGATGTAGAGTTTGCCAGCGGGCAATTGAGCAGCGGCTCATAGTCGCATGTTGGCGAACGTGACGACTATATTGTATGCGTGTAACTCAAGCTTTGGTCAGTGCTTATTGGACTTGAGTAAACATAGTTTAAACTCGATAAAATTGTCCATTACTCTCTAGTCATGATCTCAAGCGTGCCATCTAAGCGCCTTATGAAAACATGTCCAGATGGCACGCATACAGTGAGGGCGAGATTCTTCACACTGACGGAGTCAAGACAACGAGCTCATATACCTACTCCGATGGCAGTCGATTGAGTATTCTCTTCTCCTTCTTCTCCTCCTTCCCTCTATCAATATCCCCTCAAAGATGTCACCGCTTACATGGCCGTAAACTCCTGTGGAAGGGAGGCCCGTAAGTGATCCATATCTCAATGTCCATTTGACACTTATCAAATAATAATCTGTGACTAGTTGTGATGGCAGGTAGGCAGGATTTTCTTTTCATATCTTGAACTTGTGCTGGTCATCTAATCACGCTGCGCATCCGTCCGACAGGTGAATTCACTTTCTGCTAACTCTGCAGCCAATCTCCCCCCCATCCAATAGTCATTAGTAACTGTATGGCATCAGCAAGCCGTAGCGAGGAAGAGAGCCCATTAAATGATACCAGTAAGATCCCTGTTCCATCCTCCTTTAGGTAGCAAAGTCTTGCCACTTTCAATTCGGCTGCAAACCTGTATTGACAGAGAGTCAAGGGGGTAGCGGGACGTGGATCCCGCACCAAGGAGGGGGGGTGTCCGGCCGAAGGCCGAAAAAAAAAAGTGACGCCCCATCAATTTTCAAATTTTGAAGGGCAGCGACATTCCATGCATCTGAAGCTGACACGGACGATCCAAACCAAGAGTACTACTATCTACGTTGACACACCCTACACTCCCCACGCCGCCCCAGGCCAAGCGCCTCTTGCTTCTCTGAATCAGTTACACCACTCAGACGCTTCGGATTCTTACTCGGCCTGTATATATATGAAAGAGTTGCTTTCGAAGATTTATCACATTCACGGTAATGAAGAAATGCCCTCTCATTCTGTACAGTGTAGCTACTTACCCAGGATGATCCGTCTTTGAACAAGTTTTTTAGAGCCACTTTGTTTCAATATCATGCTAGCGCAGACCCGTTATACGCATCTTCGGTGGACTCGACTTAGCTTAAACTTAGTAACCGCCTGTGCATAGTTGACTTGTTACACGGAAATATTTTGAATTAAAAATTTAAAAAAAAACATGAGTACATATGGGAAAAACATACTTTATTGGGAAGGTAATTGTGGGGGGGTGTCAGGCAGAACCCTGAAAAAAAAAAATAACGAGTGTTGGTCTCTTTTCCACATTCCGCCACCCCCTTGGAGCGAGTTAAGGGTAAGGCCGATTTTGGGCTGATTGATAAACGCAAGATAAACGCCGCCCTTCATCTTTTTTCCCATCAATCACCATCGAGGAATGTCCTCACTCAAGTCTGAGCCGCAAAGCCATTCCATAGCTGGCCCAAATTCTTCCAGCGTAATATATTCCTTGGATGGTCGAGGAGGAGGACACAGTGATGGGGTGCGTAGAGCATGCCGTGCCGAGTCTGCCGACAGACTGACTGGTGAACCTTATATTCAGAAACAGCCGGGTGAAGCAACATCACCTCGTTACTGTGCGTTCAACGCATTTTCTATAAAAGCGTATCGATCCTGATCCACTTGCCCCCAGTATACTACCGTCTTTACGCAACGGACGGCGCGATAAAGTCGTTCAACCCCATTTACTCCAACGATCTGTTTATCAGCCGCATTTTGCCCAAGTCCCTCACTCCCCCTCGTACTGCTTTATCACTAAAGAAATATCTTTGCAAGATTGAAGGCTTGGCAGGATCAAACGCAAGTCTATTTGAGTCACCGTTAAGCGATGTTGCCATAGCGGACTCCACATGTCTCAAGCTCCGCGGCATCTCGGCGCAGGCATTTCGTCTCGCGAGCCGATGGCTTTGGTGGTCGGGATTGCCGAGGCTGATAAACGATCAGATGCGCCACGGGTGGGCAATAAGTTGATTGAAAGCCCTGACTCGCACGAGACGCGCTACGGTATGTCTGATATTTGTGTCGTCGTTCTTAATTCTCAACCAATCTAGTGTATTACCGCGTATACGGCGAAGAGAGTGAAGTGAACACGAAAGCGGCCTTCAACGAAAGTGATACTACCTTGGGTCGCATAGACACGTTATCTATTGCGCCGCCGTGTACCGTGGGCTCTTTAAAGTCTCGTGTCATGAAGGTCGAAGGCATCGCAGATCAAGAGATTCGGTTGTTCAAGGACACCGATAGTGAAGTTCAGATGAAAGACACTGGCCGAGCACTCTCCTTTGCAGAAACATTCCCAGGTTGCGTTGAAGACGACCCATTGGCGGTCGTCTATTGTTCAAAAACAACGAGTTCGTCGTCAACCATGACAAAGGCGATTCGAGGAAAATACAATTTCAGTGAGTAAAATTGTCAATGACTCCTCAGGAATTTTTTTAAGCGTGCCCTCCAAGGGCCTGACGGCCGAAAAATTTCCGCTGCACTGTGGCATGCCTACAGTGTAGGCGAGATTCTTTTCACTGACGGAGTCAAGACAACCCTCAATGGCTGGGCCGCTTACAGGGCCGTAAACTCGGCTGGAAGGGAGGCCTGTAAGTGATCCATATCTTAATACTCATTTGACACTTATCAACGGGTACTTGCGACTAGTCGTGCACGCAGGTAGCACATATTTTAGTCACGTTGAGCCTTAATATATCCCGTTCATTCTCTTTGTGGGGGAGTATATACAAGAAAAGTAATATTGGGATGGTAGATATAGACTAGAAATAGTGGGATTGGTTCAGAATGAGTGGGATTGAAATGTCAATAGTGGGATTGAAATCTCGCACTACTAGTATTCTCGTCATCACCCAATGTCCCCCCATCCAATAGTTATTGGTAACTGTACAACATGGGCAAACCCGTATCGAGAAAGAGAGTCCGTTAAATGATATCAGGAAGATCCCCTGTTACCATCACACTAGTAGGTAGCAGCTTAGTTTTCTCAGGTTCAAATCATAAGTTTCGGATCGCACCTTCTGATCCACCTGACCTACTTAACTGTGTGACTGAGTGGCAATCGAGACTAAGTCACAGGAATTGATTGTGCCATGTGCATATTGGATTAATTTGAAAAGGTGGGAGGCTCCGAGTCATCTTCTCCAACTTTCCGGGCGCCTTCAATGAAGTCGGTATAAACCAAGTTGTCAGTTATGTTGAAGTCTTAATGAGATTTGAAGGTAGAGAGTACTTAGTACTTACTACTCACAGCTAACGGATCAACGAAAATAGCAGGGGCGTTGCCTCTTATTTCAAGACGCCTTGCCGCCGTCGCCCACATGATGATGCCAGTTGTAAAATATCAAAAGCACTCAAGTTGCTTGAATTTCTACATAATAAGATCTCCAGACTGTTCGAGTGTGCTGGGCTAGTTTGAGTGTGGCGGCGCGGGACTGAATGTGCTGCTACTTCGAGGATATAGAAGAACACGAATGAACGGCTAGTGACAGTCATACTTAAGTTGTTCACGGCGAAGACCGAAAACCGGACCAAACAACTTCCTCCTGAACACCAACGTCGGCGACATATTGTTGATTTCTTCTTCAGCACATGGATTTCCCAGGGATATTGCACACTTCCTCCGAGTCGCGGACTGGTGCACAAAACATTAATGTACCAGCCAAACTTGGCATGTTTTTTCTTTCTAATCTTCTGGGCCAAGTTGTACTAATCCTTGTGTTATGCCGGATTTTCGAGGAGGAGGTAATTGGTCTTGCAAGCTTGATGGTTAATAGTGCCCTCACGTTTTTGGTCACCATGATGTCATTTTTAGCCTTCCCAGGCCTGATCGATAGACGCCGCCCTTAAACTTCAGCTTCATCTTCTACCCCACCGATCACCACCGAGAAGCATACTAATGTCTTCATTCAAGTCTGAGCCGCAAAGCCCTTCCACAGCTAGCCCGAACTGTTCGAGCGGTCTATATTCCTTAGATGGACGAGGAGGAGGACCCAGCCATGGCGTGCGTAGACATGCTTTTTTGAAACCGTGTCGACAGATTGAGTGGTGGATTTAATAGACGCAGCACGCCGAAGCAACGTCACTTCGTTACTGTGCGTTTTACGCATTTTCTTTACAAGCATACCAATACTAATCCAGTTGCGCCCAGTGTACTACCGTCTTTACGCAACGGACGGCGCGATCAGATCGTAGAATCCCATCTACTCCAACGATCTGTTTATCAGCCGCATCTTGCCAAAGTCCCTCACTCCACCTCATACTCCTTTATCTCTAAAGATGTATATCTGCAAGATTGAAGGGTTGGCAGCATCAAACGCAAATGTATTCGAGTCCCTGTCAAGTGATAAAGCCCTAGCGGATTCCACACGCCTCAAGCTGCGAGGTACTCGTGGCCTAGGCGCGTCGTCTCGCGATCCGATGGTTTTGGTGGTCGGGGCTCCTGAGGCTGGGAAACGATCAAATGCGCCGCGAGTGGGCAATAAGTTGATTGAAAACCCTGAGTCACGCGAGACGTGCTACAGTACGTCTGATATTTGTGTCATCGTTCTTGATTCTCATCCAATCTAGTATATTATCGCGTATACGGTAAAGAGGGCGAAGAAAACTCAAAAACAGCCTTTGACGAAAGTGATACTTTCTTGGGCCGCATAGACACGTTATCTATTGCGCCGCCATGTACCGTGGCCTCTCTAAAGTCTCGCATCATGAAGGTTGAAGGCATCGCAGATCAAGAGATTCAGTTGTTTGAGGACACCGACGGAGAAGTCCTGATGAAAGACACTGACCGTGCACCCTTCTTCGCAGAAACATTCCCGGGTTGCGTTGAAGACGATCCATTGGCGGTCGTCTATAATCTAAAAATGCCCAGTTCGACATCAACCAAGACAAAGGCAATTCGAGCGAAGTGCAATTTCAGTGAGTAAAATTGTCAATGACTCTCCCGGAATTTCCTCAAGCGTGCACTCCAAGCGTCCAACCTCCTAAGCATTCCCGCAACTGGATGGCATGCCTACAGTGTCGGCGACATTCTCCACACTGACGGAGTCAGGGCAACGGCGTTAGGCAAGTATTCTCTTCTTTTTCTTTTCCTCCTTCCCTCTAGTGATCTCCCTTCCTCAAAGGCTACATGGGTTATATGGCCGTAAACTCGGCTGGAAAGGAGGCATGTAAGTGATCCATATCTCCACGCTGATTTCAAGTTTTACAAGTAATATTTTTTTCGACCAGTCGTGCCGGAAGGTAAGCAGAATTTTAGAATCTGAGACTTCCGCCCGTCATCTGATCAAACTGCGCATCCATCCGAAAGATCACTTCAATTTCTGCTAACTATGCAGCCAATCTCCCGCCGTCTTATCGAGAAAGAGAGTCCGTTGAATGATATCATCGAGATCCCCTGTTCCCATCCTATTAGAAGGTAGCAAAGTCTTCCCAAATTTGAAACATATCACTTGCGTAACTCAGCGGCAACCGAGACTAAGTCACAGGATTTGATTGAGCCATGTGCATATTGGATTAATTTGAAAAGGTTGGCGGTGCCGGTGAAGGACGAAACCCATTTGACGTCCGAACCAGTGGCTAAGTATGAGCATCCACATTGAGCATGAAACGACTCCAAAGTTTGGTGAGTGTGCGCGCTGGCGTGATCGGAGTCGAGCGGTGCTGGATGTCAATCAAGTGCCAGCGCATACGTAGTCGTAATCAGGGCGGATTGTCGAGAGAACTTGGGGAAGAGCTCGCCTCCCCCAATTCGGGCCCCCTTCAAATTTGAACCAAGTTGAGGTTTATGTTGAAGTCGTACTGGGATTTGAAGGTATGGAGTACTCACAGCCAGCCAGAATAACAGGAAGTCATGAATGTAAATCAGCAGCGATCGAGACCCAGCGCTAGAAATGTCGACCCTGTGGATATATATAGAAACAAGCAACGTTCCAAAGATTGCTGAAGGACCCGTTGAAGCTGGAGGTGAGTCTTCGAGGAGGAGTGGGGCGCGATAGTCAACTCGCATGAAACCTCGGAGGCTTGTGTCTTGGGTTTGAGCGGATGACCGCCAAGAAGGAAGGGTGTGTGTGATGCCATTGCCTAAAGAAAAAAAACTGTTGCCATGCTATTTTTAGCTTGGCGTTCCGGGCGGGCGGGTAAAATAAATAAATATATATAACTGTCTTCTTTTTCGCCAAACTTCATTTCGGACTCACTTGACACTCTTCCAACACACACACATTGACTGTGTGGATGACCGTTCTCCTCCCATAATACCATACTCACGTCGCTCTTTTACAAAACTACTACAATGCGTTGGCTCTCTACGGCGCTTGTCATCCTCGCGACGAGCTTGGTAACCGTGTCCGCCGCTAGCGGACCCACTCAGTGTCTCGCTTTTGACATCAACTGGAACTTGCTGGCGTTTGGGTATGGCGGGAAGGACTATAATGCTGGCACCCAGGACTCGTGGGGGACGTCAGGTAGCGCGACGGACATTACGACGTCTGGACGCCCGTGAGTTTTTTTGTTGGTTGTTTTCGTTCCGCAGCTTATCATCATCGCCGTTTCAGCCCGTTCGATCAACCGAACGTGCAGTGTTTCCTTTCACAGGTGAGAGTCCCTCGCAGTCTTCGGATGGTGGTGGCAACTTCGATGTTCGTTGCCTGTTTTCGATCAACGCCCGTCTTTCGATGTTGCCTACCTTTCTATTTCTCTGTGGCCCGCCTTTCTACGTTACACCAGTAAAGGCCACATTACCATTTCATCCATTCGGGGTTGCTACCCACCTTACTAGCACTGCACCCGTACTAATGCTAACCATCATCGTCATCGTCGGTACCAGTTTACCAACGCCATCTACGTCATCAACGGCGACTCAAAAAACCCAACCACCGTCTACATCTACGACGCAATGGCCAAATCATGGTCCGCCCAAATGACCACGACCACGCCCGCCACTTCCGGTGGACCCCAATTCGACCCAACAAACTTTGGTGGGATCCTCGATCATGATACCAACGTCTTTTGTAAGTCTGCTTTCCTTCTCCGTTCCGTGATAGTGTGTTAATGTGGGATAGACGCCTACTCCAATGCAGAACTCTTCTCACTCGACATGGGTCTCCTCAAATCCGCCAATTCAACTGCCATACCGTGGGTAGACGTCCAAAAACCGAATTTTGCGACGGGCCAATCGACGGCTTCGTATCAGCCCGTGATGGCCCTTGCCCAGAACCATATTCACTTTTTGGGTCTTCCCGGGTTGCCGGCTGGGGATGCGATGATTTTTGTTATTCATTGTACGCTCCTGTTTCTAGGTTTTTTTTTTGTGACGAGACTGATGATGGGATGGATGGACAGTCTCGTTTTTACAACCTACCCCACAGTCGTATGGGAGTTTCCCGGCGACGCATGGGCGGGCTGCGAGTTTCTTCCAGCAGACTGGGGTAAGCATCGTTTTTCTTTTGTTAGGGAGTGCGTCGTTGTTCTGACGCGTCATCTCATCTAGGTACAAACGGAATTCGCGTTCATACCAGACGACGGTTCGGCGACGTATGTCGTCAATGTCATTGTATGTCTCTCTTTTCCACTCTTTCTTTCGTCTCCTCTCAACTCTACCCCTCCGTCAGACAAACACAACGAAAACCCTCACAGGCCCGACGACAAAAGACTCTTCAGCAACATACGCGACCTCCACATCAGCCCTTGTCCAGCTCTCAACGAGCGCAGGTGTGTCTTGGATGGGGTATGATTCGTCTTCAGGGACTGGGACGGCGTGGTCGGCTGTTAAAGCTCTTCCGTCTGTCAACCTAACTTCTGTGACTTCGGGGAGTGCGAGTTCGACAAGTAGTGGTGCTGTTAAGCCTAGTGGGAGTGCTGGGACATCATCAGGAGGGGGGAGTAGTAGTAGTAAGTCTGGTGCGGTGAGTGGTAGGGTTGGTAAGGGGTGGTGTGGTTCGTTGGTGGTGGGTGTGTTAGGGGTGGGGCTTGGGCTGGTGGTGTGAGATGTTGATTGGTGGTGGGTGGTGAATTGACTCGATGCGATAATTGGACGATTGAACACACTCTTTCTTGTTTCTTTGCTTTGCATCAATCATATCATATGGACAATGTTCGATACATTTAGATTTAAATTTGATTCGAGTAATTTATCGGCCTGGGTTTAGTTTTCATACTACATAGGTTGTTTCTTGGCTAGCTCTCTTTTTTCTTGAATTGGGGTTTGAAGAGTTCTAGTTGAGGAGAATCGAGATGATGCTGCTTACAGATCTAGAGCGCCGTGCGTTGAAATCGACCGTGATGACTAAGCTGTGTTCTAGTCGCTCCTCAGGCCTCAGGCGTTCTCTCGTCCTAACTCAACGTGGTTTGGCCGTGAAGCTGAAGAGTCTGTGCGACGGGGAGGTAAGTAAGTTCCTCAGTGCTCTGCCGTTCAATTTCTCACAAAGTGCTTCCGAGTGGCAATCTTTAACCTGTCAGCAATGTCAGGAAAATCGAAATCGGAAGATATGTAGAGACATGAAGTGATCAATGCATATCAGTCCATCACCTTTTCGGGGGGAAAATATGGCTCAGTAATCATTTATATCGTATTGTCAGAATGATTACCTTGATGTCGATTGACCAGAAAGACCACCACGATTATTACTGACAAGGTTGCTCCATAGTCACAGTCGTGATCAGCGAGACAACCGTTGATTATGCTCCTCAGCACAAATATTGCCATCTTAGTTACCCCTGGCAAATAAGGGGTATGCTATCCAATCGATAATGGCAATTCATGCAAAGGTAATGGATAATAATGCAAAGTAATGATACATTTACAAGATCAATATCTACATGGTACCAAGGGGGGAGCGGGATTTGAATCTGCCATATGGGGTCGGTTGGTTAGTCTGGCTGGCAGGCTGTTAAAAATTTTCTATTTTAAGTACCAATTTTGGGTAATTTACAGGCTGGGTGAGCTCAGATTGGACTGGTGCACTTTCTGAGGTGTTTTGCATGCTGTCCTCACTTACAAAGTGGGATATTTCCTAGGATGACCCTTTCAGAAGCATTAAGTGCTATTTACACTTAGAATTTTTAAGAAACCTGGTATACAATATATGATTTGACAATATTTGAGACAGCAAAATCATTATCTGGCAACATTGTGAGGCAAAAGTCCCTTCATGCACAATTGGTCTTCAAACCTACTACAACTGACACAAAGGAAGTAAGCAATGCACTGAGAACAAGAAGGAGAGCAAGAGAGAGAGAGAAAAGTGCACAAAAGCAAGGAAGGCAAACAACAATGCAAAAGTTCTTCACTGAATCACTGCAGGAAGCACGTACACCTGCACCATCAGTATCTACAGCCCAGCTCCTTGTGAACCCTATCAGACTCCATGCATCAACCACAACACACACCTTGGGTTTGAGGAAGGGCCAGCAAATGAAGGTGTGCAGTGTAGATAATACGGTGGCTAACACAACACCCAAAAAATGCCCAAAACATGTGGCCTATTTATAGATTATACCTATATATGGAAGGTTATTCACACGCCTGGTTGGTTAGTCCAGCCATAGTGGCATTATGAAAAAAATCAACATGATATATTAAATTAAAATTGTGCTCCCCCCTTGCATGGTACTAGGGTGCAGGTAATTCTCGAACGTACACAAGAATCTCTTCCAACTTGTAATCCACATCTCCTCGCAAATACTCTGCAATTTCCTTCACGCCCTCCTTGATATCGCCCATCTCACGCTTTAGCCAGCCGATATCGTCTTCATTGGTAAATGTGATGTGCTTCTTTTGAATAGGCGCTCGTCTGCAGCATCCAGAACATCTACACCTCGCTTCGACAAGGATCTGAGAACGTTCTGGCATAATGTCAATGATTAGTATAACCGCTTGTAAGCAGAGTTTGATAACTCACCTTGCTGCGCCGTGCTGATGTGCTAGCCCCCATTGTATTGATACAATTCCTGGTTCCAAGTCCGGTGTTTGGTAGGTGACATCATGATTGAGAGAGCCTTGGATCGTCGCTGGATGAGGAGCATGGTTCGGAGCATCTCCGAACTACTGGAGAACAGCGATGGGGACGAGGACGGTTACGTGGAGGAGAAGGGGGGAGAGTTGGGTGTGCTCCTGAGTATTCAGATGGGAGGAAAGTCTGGGTTGGTCTGCTTGTCACATCCTGACCCAACGTGGGTCTGATGAGAGGGTGGTGGGTGAGGATAGAGTGGGATGGGGCGATGCTGAAGGTTCGTGGCAGAGTTCACTCACCATCTTTGTGCATTATATGTGTTTTGGGGCGGCAGGATCAACGTTGGAGCATGACGACTGCCATGCCGAGGGTGTGGAGTATGTTCTCTCCAACACTCCTGGACTCCACAGGAATTACGGCACAATCAGACACCGAATGGAGCCCAGGCGGCGTATTGGAAATGAGGCGCACTGTGGTATTTGAAGTGAGCATCGTGGGACCCTAAGGATGTTGAATCGCCAAACGGAAGGAGCACAAGATTTTGGGGAGCAACGAGCGAACAGGTAGAATTTCTGTTCGTGAGTTGAATTAGAGAAGAGAGTAAAAGAGTGAAAAGGCGCCTTGATTCCATGAAAGCGTGAAGTATATGGAGGAACGATGACAATGATTCAGGATGAAAGAGTAGAATACGACAAATACATATACAAACAATTCCTACGTGTAAATAATTTGTCGTAGCACGATAACTTTGTTGCGAATGATTGTCAGATAGCGGCCAGCACTGGAAATAATATGACCTCGGCACCTCAGATATGATATTCCTCCTCCTTGTAGGCTGGACAAGATGATGTGAAGTGATAACCTTCTGACATGCCCGCCGGGAAAAAACTTATCGCGTACTGCTTGTTCAGACCAGCAGCTTATCAGGGATGACATGATCTGATAAATAGCTGAAATGGCTGCCCGCAAGAAGCTGATCAGTTCATATATGTTCATCAGCTGCCGCAACCACTGATATGCTAATTTCGATTTTTCCGACAAACGTATGGTCGAGCTAGAACTCTACCGTCATTCAAAGGTGCTCACATTGCCCACTCCCTCGTTGATTGCTGCTAGCGGCACTGGTCTTGTGCTGGATTTGTGGCGCATACATAATACTGATAAGTTAAACACACAATTGTGCAGATTCTGTGGAGTACTTACTCATGGAGTCCCTCAGCTCTCTTCTATACTAGAAGTGATCCCAGAGCGATCCGGCCCCGCGACCTTGAGGCTCCCGACTTTCGCTAATAAGGTGCGTTCGTATGATCGTCGATATTTGGGTGATTTACTTGCAAGTCTCCGTGTTCAACAGGTCGTCAATTTTACCGTTGACGCGCTATTTGTTATGGTTAATGGGATCCTATTTGAATCTACTAGGAGCTTGTTCATTCGCGTCCGTGAACTCAGATTTTGATTCCGTCTGTCCTCGTCTCTGCTGTTGAAGTTGTCGCTCACGCCGATACTGCTAGGGTGCCAAAACCAAGGCCCCCTTATCGCCAATTTTCCGTGCTGGTATCACGTCAGATAGTATTTTTTTTAATTTTTTTAATTTTAATGTCAAATTTAAAGTCCATTGGGGCAGGGCCCCACGTCAGACCTTACAACCCAGTAGACTACCTAAGGCCCCTAGTCCCATGTATACCTGACCCCCTTAAGATCACCCCATGCACTGGTGGAGGCATGCCTGCAGCGATTCTTCCCCCACACAGCCCGGCACGGAAACGCCGTTTTGGGGCGCATCTAAAACGTGGGCAGGGTAGTCTCGCCATATTGCCTATCGATGCAATCCACCTGCGGTAATGTTTCGTCTTCTAAGTACCCGATCCCGAGGGATAGGTACAGCCAGTGGGACGAGCGCGATCAGGGAGGAGAAAATAAAGTTGTTTGTTTGCCGTTTGCTTGAGTTCCGTGTTTGCTGATGATCCTGTCATGATGTTACTTGTGCTTGGAGTCTGTGGGCTGTGATGCGGGTAGAGAGGTGAGGAGAGGGGGGGAGAGAGCCTTTGATACCCAGTCAAAACCCCGGCAGTTGAGGTCAGCTGAGTTCTGCTCAAATTGGCAAAAGCCGATTTCAGCAGCTGTTCGGACTATAGCAGATGAGAATCTGCTCAAATCTGCTCACATTGTTTGTGTTCACAAACATGGCATAAACTCACCTGCTGAAATCGGTTGAGCTATGATGAAAACTGTCCGGTAAAATCATTGAATCTGATGAGATCTGATAGTTCAAATCATTTGAAAATCATTTTTAACATTCAATTTGGTACAATACAAGCAGATCCTAGTTTATGTACACCTGAACGAGATTAGCAACTTACTCGTTGGAACATTGGAGCCTCCAGCGTGCAATATAAACTGGCCCCTGATTCCCTTCGCGTATTCTGAAATTGATTCCTTTGTCATCACGTGCCCCCTGTGTTTCCCCCGTTCCCTGTGTTCCTGATGGAGGGCATGTCAGCCACTGGGGTAGACCAGTCTACAGAGTCCACAGAGAAGGCACAGGCACCAGGGTCCAGCTCTCTCATCTTTACTAAACCCTGATTTGACACACTCCGGAATTCTCCGGTCTTCTCCCTCGTTGTACGCCACGTCGCCAAAACACTTCCAGCATCGTTTGGTGTCGTCGGCTTCAACCTAGCAGGGTATCTTTACCTCAATTACAAATTGAAGAAAATTGGGAAATAATATATTTGAGTTCTAGCTATGAGTTGCTGAAGAGTGCGCCAAATTAGAGCCACAAAGAAAAGATTTACTCGAGCTTATCGTTGGAAACAGCGAGCAGCAAACAACGATGAGGAAACTTCGATGTTAAATTTGGCGTGACAAACGGATACCGCCCTGAGCGGACACTTAAATCTACGTTATATAAGCTGATGGCTCTTGCTACGTTTTGAGCTGCGAGCTGCGCTCATTTTTGAATGGCCCTGTTAGGTCAACCAAAATACACCAGTAGCATTTTATTATGAGGATGGGTGGAAAAAGGCGGGCCAAGGTGCAACAAAGATGGGCGGGTTCAGGCGCGACGAAGGTGGGCGGGTTCAGGGACGTGGCTAAATAACACGGTCCGGGATTGATGAGCTGTTTGACATGAGGCTGGTGGAAAGTCGGAAAAGGCCGAGTCCACCATCAGTCTACGTAGAACGGTCTACCCCAGTGGATGCAAAGCTCTGTCCTGATGTGGAAGAGTGAGTTTGACTCGAAGATTGTTTGGCCATGTGAAGTTGTTGCAAGCCGCCATGCAAGAGCGCAAAGAACATGTATGTTTGTCTTGGTCTCAATTAGCCTGAGCTGGACATCTGCAGGAATGAGATTGGTGAGACGTACCATACAATGTTTGACTATCTTGATGTTTTTTGCATGTACTACGGAGCTTAGTATCAGTTAACGAGTTGTTCCATGTCATAGGATGGAGAAAATACCTGTCCAAAGTCCCCTGGGGGTTTGAGATCAAGAAGGAACAATGAAAGGAGGCAGAAAACGAACACCTCATGTACGCGAAGTCAGCAAGTTGAGATGATTGGTGGGTCCATGCGGTAGTCAGATAGAGGAGCAGTCATTTGACTTAGCGATAAAAGCGGGGGGAGATGGAAGAGGGATAACGCCAACGGAAAGCATGGAAATTTCTTTTAAGTTCGCGATGGTGTGATGATAGCGTGGGAGAGCTTACAGAGAGGATGTGTCTCATATGTTGTTGCACATGTGCACTAGCTATACGAAGGGTTATTTGAAGGGAATACGATACAGACAGATTTGAACCGTTTTGACAAACGAGATGTGTGTATGATTGTGAAGCTAGATCTATTTTTAGGTGTGGCGCGCTTTGCCAAGAATTTGTGATCAATATCAACCGATTTCAGCAGATTCGGTGGAATCAATTCACTTTCATCAGATTTCATCCAATTTGAACTAGCGGGGTTTTCACTGGGGTTGATATCCCGATCATCTACAAGGGCTCAAACAACTATGTACCTGTGTTCTTCTGTTCAATCTTCAGAATCCGATTCTGTGGTGAGACTGAGGTTGTGGGACACCCACTGGGGTTTCCACCTGAAGTTATCGAATCAACCCGACATCGTCGTGCGTTTGGCTCGTGGTGATGTCAACATGCCCAACTTTGATGGGTTCCCCATTGAAGCCCAGGTTCCCGAGGCCAGGTTTGAGCAGGATGGACAAGAAGAGACACCCAACACACTCAGGCACATGACAATGTGTCGCTTATCTCCCATCAAATTGGATATTTTTGACACTCCGAAGTACAGTCATCCACCCCTTAATGATACACCACCCCCATTTGATACACTTTTGACTAGCAAATATCAGGACCCCGGGCAATAGCAGAAAAGGCCTGATCCCGAAAATTGGGTTTTTGTCCGGACGCCTCTGCACCAAATTGTCCGGACTGGACCTGGCCTACCACACCCCAATCTCAAAAATTTGTCCGGACAGCCAGATCAGGGTAAATTTTTCTCTACAAATGTCCCACAATTATGCCCAAATACCGGCTGGGAGGCTTTTTTTTTGACATCTCGTCGATTTTGTCCGGACTCTGGCTCTGGGTAGTTTCGAATTTTGTCACTTTTTGTCCGGATTGGCCCCCAGCTGTAGGGCCTAAAATCCACATTTTTTGTCCGGATCGGGACCAGGGCTTTCCTGCTATTGCCCGGGGTCCTCAAATATCTCGCTCAATACTAGACCGAATTTTACGAAACAAGTTGTAACATGTAGTACAAACTCATATCTACCGCTGTACATAATTTGGATGCAATGGAGGCAAAATTGGCAAAGCTATGGAGCATACAAAATGGACTGTTTTTCGGAAATAGCCAAATACAGGCACACCCCTCAATGATACACCTATAATCTTGGTTTTTCTCTATGAAATGTGGGTCAAACATTCTGAAATTTGGTATGGTCATAGAAGGGCATTTATCTGAAATTTTCATGTAGTTTCTGTGGAGACAGGTTGTGCTCAAATTTGTTGAAGGTAATTTCTCATTTCGGGTGTATCATTAGCAGGTGGATGACTGTACATGCCGAATAGCTGCCGTTAGCGTTAGGGCTTACTGTTAGGGTTTGGTTAGGGTCAGTGTCTCTTCGCGCGGTAGCGCGCTCTTACTTCAGTCTCCCAGCGCGGTAGCGCGTTCTCGGTAAGGTTAGGAGGTTAGGGTAAGGTTAGGGTTAATGGTTAGGTTTAGGGATATATTCTCCCCGCGCGGTAGCGCGTTCTCGGTTAGATTAGAAGGTTAGGTTGGCAGTTAGGGGGATTGAAACTCCGCCTGCCCAAATCGGGAGTGTGTCGTTAATGGTACGTGTGGATGTGTCCTGTCTTGTACATCCTCAGGTTTGAGGTGGCTGTCTACGATTTATTGCGCTCGGAGCCTAATATCTTGGCCTCTCGCCTGCTTTACCGCCGTATTCCAGTGCAGCACAATGGTCCTAGGCTTGATGTCCCTCAGGATATTGCTGGTCGGCGCTTGTTTTTGTTTGAAAAAGCAGAAGGTGAGAATAATGTATGGTACGATCTCAGCCCAGAGGGGAGGTGTGTATCATTGTCAGTCGCGTCTGCTCCGCTCAATTCAAATGACAACCTGCTCTCTAGGCCAATCTCCTTGCTCAGGCCGCCCGTATTCGCGCATCATTGTTCAACTTCAAAGCCCCCCTCGACTTCGCCTCGCTCTGGCTCCGCGAACGCCTCTTTGAACAGAAACCCAAATCATTTCCCATTCCCGTTGCTCCCAGACGCGATTTCTGTATCGCTCTTCTCACTTCCAAGGTCGAAGCGACAATCGGGAACATAGGCGATATGATTGGGTGGGAGGATGATAATAACACCGTCGGTCCTATTGCGGTGGCGGCCAAGCAGTCCCTCTTGCGCCTCATCCCACACATTGTTCCCCTGGACAGCGACGAGGCCTCTCTCTATCGTCTCGTTCTCGATCACGGCGATTTCGGCATTCACAACATGTCGATTACAGTGGATGCAAACGGTCTACCCCTCATGACGTCCCTGTACGACTGGGAAACTGGGTCCATCGTACCAGCTATCTTGTCTGATCCTTCGATGGCGGTGTCAGTGGATCTGGTGACAAAGAGAAGGCCACCCCATCCATCACTCGAGTGTCTGACGACAACACTCCGGATGAACTTGCACAGTACATGACATGGGCTACGCAATATTTCGAGGTACGTATTTCATTCAAGCATTTGCATGCATAAAGAAGTAACTGCCTTTCGACGCGTAGGTTCTCTTCAGTCAAGCGCCTGATTATGAACGTGCAATTAAGGCAGGGGAAGATGCACGTCACATTTGGTATGCGTTACAAGCGTGGCGAGGTGACGATCCGGAGGGATATTTCGGTGATCTAGGAGCTTGGGCTGAGAGGAGGATGAAGGAGCTTGGTTGCGACCCAATGCACTGACACACCAGCCGATGCCTGGCCGTATTGTGTTAGTCGAGCTGTGTGAGCGTGCCAGTTTCAACGTGGTTTTATGCGTTGCGCGGCCCCACGTTCCACTGATAGTGGTAAGGAAACGTTGATTGATTTTCAATACACACGCTTACTGGTATAAAATCAGTCGTCAATCCAGCTCATCGAATTGCCTCCGTTTTGGTCGTCAGCTGCCAACTCAATGTCCCAGGAAGTAAGTATGAGCGGTTTGATTCGTTGTGGGTCCAAACAGTCCTTCTAGACGACGGTTTCGCATCTACGCCATCAACACGCCCCATCTCTACCATATCACCTCCTTCTTAGCCAATACCCAACGATTCCTCAGCAACCTACTCCACCTATATATCTACCATTGCCCAGCCTCCTTGGGCATGATCTACCACCCAGCTTTGGGCGGCCGCCGACGGAAGAGCTACTTGCGAGTGTGAGGGAATCGTGGTGCTGCGGTCGCGGCTCGACTACGACTTGTGCACGGGGGCAGTACGTCTGGCTGGATCGGGGGTTGTCCTCCTGCTGCAAGACGTTGAATGGACTTGATACGGACTTTTCTCCTGACGTTTTCGCTGCGCGCTGCCCTCTCTCTGAGCACCAGTACAATGTTCAAGAGGTGGGGAGAGTACACCCGGGTGTAGGTACCAAGTTAATGTTGAGAGTTTGGAGTGTACCGGAGGGGGCGGCCGTGTGGCTGAAGGCTCGGAGGTCCTCGGAGGCGTAACTTCAAGTTGCGCTGCCATCTTGATCGGTCGTTTTCTTCCCAATTTTTTGACGGAGTTTTTTCTTAGAAGTAGGACAGGAATTTGCTCAATTCCATTCTTGCTTCGGATATTCACACTCGATACAAGGTTTGTTGGAATTCCGGGAGCTGTGCGAGCATGTGCAATGCGCCCGATACCCAGATTAAGGTACATTTATTGTTTTTCCGGGCATTTCATCTGTATTCCCATTTATTTCATACTCTACAGTATATATAGGAGAGCTTGTATCGTAGTTACTCATCCGTTTGCCTCTGTCACCTCCAGAGACAACCGGAAATCTTACTCCCCTGTTTCTCTTGATCACGAAGAATTGACGCTTGCTGATTTGATTTCAACAAGGTTGTCGTTGAACGTTGAGTTGTCGTCTAGAAAGATTACTATTTCAATATTTGGACCTGTTTGACAAGAACCTCTGAGAACCGACTGACTTCGGAGGGTGACGTAATGCGACGTTCAACATTCCTCTTGGAACCTTCCCATACCTCTCTGGCTGTTCTCATTTCTACCAAGTTTCCTCCGTGGTTATAGAGCATATAAAGCAACAGAGACGAAAGCTTGACATTGGAGCAGAACGCAGGGATAGTGAAATGACAGGGACATCCAATGTCAGCGGCAAGATGAGCTCTTTAGGTAGTCCGCCTCACTTACTCACGCATGTGCTTTCGCAGATGACGATTGGGCCTGAAATTTGGCATGCACGCCGCTTCACCCCGAGGAGGTCAGTGCCGACGACGACCATCGCATGAAGTTCTATTTCGACTGATACAACTTACCATCAGACATCCTACAAATATCCCGGGGGTGGCAAGGCTGAGGAAACAACAATTGCACTTGAACGAAACCGGGGGTAATCCTGTCTTTTGAAAGTTTCTGTTTGACACCGATTTGAGGACGTCAAGTTTGATTTGTGACACTTGATGCGCCGCAGGATGCAATTAGATTTACCGAATCGATCGAACTCGAAAGCGGCAGGACGAAGATGCTCCGTCACGACGTCTGGGTCCTTTATTTCCAGTCTCGCCGGACCCTAAGCAGCGTAACCGTACAAGTATCGAGATAAAGACCGACCCCAATAATTGAGGCGGAATGCAACAAAAATTTCCCAACACGCAACTCAAAAATGGTAGTCGCGGAGCGAGGGCGCTCCTTCAGAAAAGAACGCATAGCTGAGTTAGTCCTCCCGCTTTATAGACCCTGAGCAGAGTTACTTAGTATTTACGAGATACAGTATACCGTTCCCAAGCGAAGTCCCTTAAACTCACGCGGGATGCGTCAGGAAAATCCCTGTGGTGAGAAATCAAAAGGCGGTAGGGGGAGGGCGCTCCGTCAAGGAACAGACATTTTGTTGGGTCCTTATTCTGAGTGCTGCCGCGGTCATGCCACGCGTCAGCAGGTTTCCTTCTCGTATACAAGGTTTTGCGGCCTGCCGTCTTCATTCCCAAGCTACTTCGAAATGCGAAGGCGGCCCCACGCTGGGAAGGGAACACATGATTGGACCGAGAAACAATGCTTCAGGTCATACTTGGTATGTTACGGTGAGCCTACACGACTTCTATATCATTCGTTATAGACTGACGCCAAGATCTCGAAATATCCACCAGAGGAGCAACGTCTGACTCGGACCGAAAAGCAACAATTCAGATCAAAGGGTGCTGTGACAAGGCCTAGAATAAGTAAGCTTAACAACCTGCCCACTCCATTCACTCTTCCTAAAACGTCCCCCTTTGTCATTTCCAGAATTTCTCGATCGCAGGGAGAAAGGTCACCTGTCGTACTGAGGTATCTCCTTGACAGGTTTGTTATCTCCAGCGTCCACTAGGCCCTATCCCACCAGTCACTCGTGAGTTTGGATCTCATTTTCAGCGATCCAGTGGATTTACTGTGGCCTACTCTCCTGACTAGTTTTCAGGATCGTTATCGTATGAGACTTTGCAAGAGACAACGTGTGTTCACTCAGCCTATTGGGTACAAGACTCAGAGATCCAGTACCGGAAGTAAGCGCAGAAACGCCGCACATGTCAAGTCCCCGTCCAGATGCTGTCACCCTCATTTTTCACAGACCCCGGTTCTTACAGCGTTCCTTGAAACGGCCGCTCGTTAAACAAGGTTCAGCGGTGGATATATGAAGTTGGATTAAAGGAGATATCCTCCTGAACAGCACAAAAGGTGTTACTCCGGGCTTGTTTCCATTACGACTGCCCTCCATGATCTTTCTCAATGAATCAACAGCAGATTTTTTCCTTTCGTTTTCGCTCCAGAAATAACGATCTCCTTCGCTCCGCTGTTTGGATCAATTTCTTCGTTTCGTTTCAATGTCCAAGTTCCGCGTCTCAGATTTACGAGCTGAAATCATGTATTTCGTCACAAGTCGAGGATAGTACAGAATTGAGGGCCTGTATGTTTTTTTTTGGCTTTGTGGTTTTCTCGAGAATCCTAAAGCTCTTTCCCTCCTCAACGATCATAATAGAATACAGAACCATTTCTTCCTTCGCGAATGCAGACCCGTGGAACGCGTAGAATACTTGGACTTGACTGGGTGTTTCTTGAGTTCTTCTTATTCTCGGATCTGATACTCAAACGTCTTCAGTGAGCAATGCACCTAGACGCCTTTCGACGTCTTCGATGTTGGGTCGATGCACTGGGTCAATCGACCAGCAAGCCTGAAGCAATTGCCACAGGCCATCCGTGATGCCTCCAGGTTGAGGCAAGCGCAAGTGGCCATTGCGAGCGACCGCAACAACGATGTTATAGAGCCGCATGCCGTCGAATGGAGTCTGGCCAGACATGATCTTCTCAAACCTGAGGTCATTAAACTGTTTGTGACTTTTATGCTGTTTCTCTTACCTCATACGTTGAACTCGCAAAGCTGTAGACGTCGTTGGCTGCATTTCGAGGTGGCACATCATCCGAGCAGCACACCTCCCCAGGCGACTTGTATCGCGTCGTGGGCGCAACTGGTATACGACCAAATGGTACACAGATGAAGTCAATAACTGCAGTATGAATCCCAATGTCCGTTAACATAGCATGGCCATCGTCTCCAATCAAAATATTCGTCTGGAAGTAAGAGGTATTTTTTGTAAATCTTATTTACGTTCTAGGTTTAGTACTTACTGGGCAGACATTTCCGTGGACGATACCCTGCGAATGAAGGTAGCCGAGAGCACTGGAAACCTCAGCAATCTGATGACCGGTATGAATACTTGTTTCCCCAGAATTGATGGGCAGCTTACGAGTCTCAGCTTCACAGTAGATTGTTGGGGGCGTGCGCTTAGGTATTCCAGGATATTCCCTTCGTTGAACAATGGCCTGACGACGAATCCTATAGCGTCCTCAAACTCTCGTCGGGCGGGCAAGCGGCCATCGGTGCCATTGATGATCCTCTCTTGAGCAATATGGCGGTGCTGTAGCGCGGGTCGATTTGCTAAATAATCGAACATCTGCAGAGGTACTTTCAGCCGAAGGAAAGATCGTATCGCACTCGTGTGATCGCTAAGCCTACCTCACGAGTCCTCACGCTAGATCCATTCGATAGTCGAACAACGACTTTCTTGTAAGTCAATCCGGACTATCGGAGAGCGATCAGCATTGCTCGCTGAAAGGTGCAAGCAACCTACGTCTTGCAAAATACGGGTGACCATAAGGCAACCGTCAGAGGCGTTTGAGGCAACCTTGCTTGTGCCTCTCAGACGATGTCTAGTCAGAGAGGCGTCATATGCGATGCTATTCATCCCTTCTGAGAATAGGTGTAGGTTCATTCTATAGGGGGCAGCTGTCAGGTCAACGACTAGGAGAAGTAATCAAGGCGCTTACCTTTCCAAGCCTGGTCATAGAAGGGGGGAAAACGAAGAGGATGAAACAGCGCTGATTCACATAGACGGCGTTGTGACCCGGCCTTTTTATTACTATCGGGCCTGTCGGTCGATTGACCCCTCTCGGACGGTGAACTACTATGACCAAGTGAGAAGTCCCTTCATCTCTTACCTCTTTCGCTCATCGGCAGAATTTCCCGGACGAAACGGCACTCACCCCTTACTTGGGCGTCCCGCACCCAACGTTTTGGGGTCATTTCATAGATCGAACTCAGACGGCCTCCCGAGACCATGCTGACTTCAAACCACGGCCCTTGACTGCTAAACATCATCTGCCCCCCATGCGGCGCGACCCATTCAAGTCAAGGTTCTCCGACATCCCGGCCCTCCTAATATCGAAATCATACAGCTCCTCAGACTTTGCCTTGGGTTCAATGATCGCTACTACGCCTATCGGAAGGATGTGGTACCGCCCGTTTACTTGGAAACTCCAGCTTTGGACTTAAAAAAAGTGGCCAGCTTACCAAGCCTCAGGAAAAAATGGACTTGCGATATGTTGACAAAAGAAATTGTGCAGCGTTATCCGGTCTGGCACCGTCTGAATCGCATTTTTCAAGGACTTGGCATGCGTTGAAATCACATTCACGAATCACGAAGGATAAACACAAAAAGTCATTGCGACCGCTGTCTGGAAGAGAATCTAACGCAAAGCCTTTGTAGTCACAATTCGAGCTTTCGAAAAATGTTCAGAATTGCAGTGGTTTGAATCACCTTGCTTGTCAAGGTCTCCCAAGGTCATAAATACCAAACAGATACAAACAAACTACCCAGGGGCCATGGGGGTCTTTTCTTGCATATCGCGCACGCGAGCGGGCAAGCATGAACAAACAAACTTTCTACGGGCCATGGGGCTCTTTTCTTGCATATCGCGCACGCGAGCGGGCAAGCATGAACAAACAAACTTTCTACGGGCCATGGGGCTCTTTTCTTGCATATGGCGCACGCGAGCGAGCAAACCGGTGCAAACAACTGGTCTTTTCAAAACATGATATCGTCGTCTCTTTCTTAGCACCAGCTCCAATGTTTATATACATAACTATGTAGTGCTATAGCTCTTGAACACTGTTTCCTTTGTTATGAAAAAAAAGTCGCATCGTATTGGTGCAAAGCAGTGTATTTGTCAGCAAGCAAGGTGCCTGCTGCCGCTGCTAAGTGTCAGCCTCTAGTAAAATTGGGCAGCACATTGAACGAAAGGCTGCCTCGGAGGCTTGTGTCTTGGGTTTGAGCGGATGAGCGCCAAGAAGGAAGGATGCGTGATGCCATTGCCTAAAGAAAAAAAACCGTTGCCATGCTATTTTTAGCTTGGCGTTCCGGGCGGGTAAAATAAATAAATATATATAAGTAACGTTCTTCTTTTTCGCCAAACTTCATTTCGGACTCACTTGACATTCTTCCAACACCCACACACATTGACTGTGTGGATGACCGTTCTCCTCCCATAATACCATACTCACGTCGCTCTTTTACAAAACTACTACAATGCGTTGGCTCTCTACGGCCCTTGTCATCCTCGCGACGAGCTTGGCAACGGTGTACGCCGCTAGCGGACCCACTCAATGTCTTGCTTTTGACATCAACTGGAACTTGCTGGCACTGCACCCGTACTAAAACTAACCATCATCGTCATCGTCGGTACCAGTTTACCAACGCCATCTACGTCATCAACGGTGACTCAAAAAACCCAACCACCGTCTACATCTACGACGCAACCGCCAAATCATGGTCCGCCCAAACGACCACCACCACGCCCGCCACTTCCGGTGGTCCCCAATTCGACCCAACTAACTTTGGTGGGATCCTCGATCATGATACCAACGTCTTTTGTACGTCTCCTTTCCTTTCCTTTCCTTCTCCGTTCTGTGGTAATATGTTGATGTGGAATAGACGCCTACTCAGGCTCCAATGAAGAACTCTTCTCACTCGACATGGGCCTCCTCAAATCCGCCAATTCAACCGCTATCCCATGGGTGGACGTCCAAAAACCGAATTTTGCGACGGGCCAATCGACGGCATCGTATCAGCCCGTCATGGCGCTTGCTCAGAACCATATCCACTTTTTGGGTCTTCCAGGACTGCCGGCTGGGGATGCGATGATTTTTGTTATTCATTGTACGTTTCTGTGCTTTTTTTTTTTTTTTTTTTTTGTGACCAGATTGATGATGGGATGCGATGGACAGTCTCGTTCTTGCAACCTACCCCGCAGTCGTATGGGACCTTCCCGGCTACGCATGGGCGTGCTGCGAGTTTCTTCCAGCAGACTGGGGTAAGCATTTTTTTGTGTTCGGGAATGCGTCGCCAATCTAACACGTCATCCAGGTACAAACATAGTTTGCGTTCATACCAGAGGACGGTTCGGCAACGTATGCCGTCAACGTCGTCGTACGTCCCTCTTCTTCACTCTTTCTTTCCTCTCCTCTCAACTCCACCCCTCCGTCATACAAACACAACAAAAACCCTAACAGGCCCGACGACGAAAGACTCTTCAGCAACATACGCAACCTCCACATCAGCCCTTGTCCAACTCTCTACGAGCGCGGGTGTGAGTTGGATGGGGTATGATTCGTCTTCGGGGACTGGAACGGCGTGGTCGGCTGTTAACGCTCTTCCTTCTGTTAATTTGACGTCTGTCACCTCTGGGAGCGGGGCGAGTTCGACGAGTAGTGGCGCTGTTAAGCCTAGTGGGAGTGCTGGGACTGGAAGTGGAAGTGGGGGGAGTACGAGTAAGTCTGGTGCGGTGAGTGTTCGGGTTGGTGCGTGGTGGGGTTTGGTGGTGGGTGTGATTGGGGTGGGGCTTGGGTTGGTGGTGTGAGATGTTGGTTGGCGGTGGGCGGTGAATGGACTCGATGCGATAGATGGACGATTGAACACACTCTTTCTAGTTTCTTTGCTTTGCATCAATCATATCATATGGACAATGTTCGATACATTTAGAGTTGAATTTGATTCGAGTAATTTATCGGCTTGGTTTTACATAAGTCCTTTTCTTGGCTTTTATTCTGGAGTCGAGTTTAGTTCGATGAGAATTGATAATGCTGCATACAGATCTAGAGCGCGGATCCGTCACCGTGCGTCAAAGTTGCAGTGACGACTTTATTGCCGGCAACAAGCCGACACTACATGACCGTGATGACGAAGTCGTGTTCTCGTCGCTCCCCCAGACGCTTGGGTGTTCTCTCGTCCTGGCTCAACGTGGTTTTGCCGTGAAGAGTTTGTGAGACTCGGAGGTAAGCAAGCTCCTTGCTCTGCCCCGGTTCGGTTCCTCACAAAGTGTTTCCCACTCTCTGCCCTCGCAAACTGTCAACACAGATGGTCGAGCTAGAACTCTACCCAAAGGTGCCCACATCGCTCACTCCCTCGTTGATTGCTGCTAGCGGCACTGGTCTTGTGCTGGATTTGGGGCATACATGATACTGTTTAACAAGGGAAATTTTTGGTAAGTTAAGTTGAAGTTTTCTGTGCCATGATCATGGAGTCCAGCTCTGTTCTATAGACGATCCCAGAGCGATCCAGCCCCGCGACCTTGAGGCTCCCGACTTTCGCTAATAAGGTGCGTTAGTATGATCGTCGATGTTTGGGTGATTTACTTACGAGTCTCCGTGTTCAACATGTCGTCAATTTTACTGTTGACGCGCTGTTCGGCCAGTTCCGCCCGTTAGTGGGTAGGCGCAATGGCAGCGGAATTAAAGCTCCGCCGCGGTACCTTCGCGTTAAAGTAATGGGTCAACCATGCCCCATTTCCCAAAACTCTCGCTCCCAATACCTCCATAATGGCCTTCCGTGATGATTGTCCCAAGATGCAGAATGGCATCGACTTTGACGGCAAGCAGCTACTCACCTTGGTCCGCAGCGGCAATAGCCCTTTTCACGGAGTTTGGAACGTAAACCTACTCATTCAAGAGGTCGAGGAAAATCTTAACACCCATGTGGTTGATATCCCAATCGTCAACAAGGGCTCAAACAACTATGTACGTGTGTTCTTGCGTTCAATCTTCAGAATCCGATTCTGTGGTGAGACTGAGGTTGTGGGACGCCCAGGGTTTCCACCTGAAGTTATCGAATCAACCCGACATCGTCGCGCGTTTGGCTCGTGGCGATGTTAACATGCCCAACTTTGATGGGTTCCCCATTGAAGCCCAGGTTCCCGAGGCCAGGTTCGAGGTGGCTGTCTACGATCTATTGCGCTCGGAGCCTAATATCTTGGCCTCTCGCCTGCTTTACCACCGTATTCCGGTGCAACACATTGGTCCCAAACTTGATGTTCCTCAGGATATTGCAGGTCGGCGCTTGTTCTTGTTTGAAAAAGCAGAAGGAGAGAATAATGTATGGTACGATCTCGGCCCAGAGGGGGAGGTGTGTACCATTGTCAGTCGCGTCTGCTCCGCTCAATTCAAATGACAACCTGCTCTCTAGGCCAATCTCGTTGCTCAGGCCGCCCGTATTCGCGCATCATTATTCAACTTCAATCTCCCCCTCGAGTTCGCCTCTCTCTGGCTCCGCGAACGCCTCTTTGAACAGAAACCCAGATCATTTCCCATTCCCGTTGCTCCCACACGCGAGTTCTGTTTCGCTCTTCTCATTTCCAAGGTCGAAGCGACAATTAGGAACATAGGCGACATGATCGGGTGGGAGGATGATAATAACACCGTTGGTCCTATTACGGTGGCAGCCAAGCAGTCCCTGTTGCGCCTCATCCCACACATTGTTCCCCTGGACAGCGACGAGGCCCTCTATCGTCTCGTTCTCGATCACGGCGATTTCGGCATCCACAACATGTCGATTACAGTGGATGCAAACGGTCTACCCCTCGTGACGTCCCTGTACGACTGGGAAACTGGGTCCATCGTGCCAGCTATCTTGTCTGATCCTTCGATGGCGGTGTCAGTGGATCTGGTGACAAAAGAGAAGGCCGCCCCTTCCATCACTCGGGTGTCTGACGACAACACTCCGGATGAACTTGCACAGTACATGACATGGGCTACGCATTATTTCGAGGTACGTATTTCATTCAAGCATTTGCATGAATAAAGAAGTAACTGCCTTTCGACGCGTAGGTTCTCTTCAGTCAAGCGCCTGATTATGAACGTGCAATTAAGGCAGGGGAAGATGTACGTCACATTTGGTATGTGTTACAAGCGTGGCGAGGTGACGACCCAGAGGGATATTTCGGTGATCTAGGAGCTTGGGCTGAGAGGAGGATGAAGGAGCTTGGTTGCGACCCAATGCACTGACACACCAATCGATGCCTCACTTAGGTGTACTTCTGCTCAGTCAAAGAGTGTCGTCGTCTATTCCCTCATTGTTGGCATTATTGGCCGTATTGTGTTAGTCGAGCTGTGTGAGCGTGGTTTTATGTGTTCCACGTTCCACTGATAGTGGTAAGGAAACGTTGATTGATTCTCAATACACTCGCTTACTGGTATAAAATCAGCCGTCAATCCAGGTCGTCGAATTGCCTCCGTTTTGGTCGTCAGCTGCCAATTCAATGTCCCAGGAAGTATGAGCGGTTTGATTCGTTGTGGGTCCAAACGGTTCTTCTAGACGACGATTTCGCATCTACGCCATCAACACCCCCCATCTCTACCATATTACCTCCTTCTTAGCCAATACCCAACGACTCCTCAGCAACCTACACCTATATATCTACCATTGCCCAACCTCCTTGGGCATGATCACTAAGATTTGTACCACCCAACTTTGGGCGGCCGCCGACGGAAGAGCTCCTTGCGAATGCGAGGGAATCGTGGTGCTGCGGTCGCGGCTCGACTACGACTTGTGCACGGGGGCAGTACGTCTGATTAAATTGGGGGTTGTCCTCCTGCTGCAAGACGTTGAATGGACTTGATACGGACTTTTCTCCTGACGTTTTGGCCACGCGCTGCCCTCTCTCTGAGCACCAGTACAATGTTAAAGAGGTGGGGAGAGTACACCTGGGTGTAAGTATTGAAGTAATGTTGAGAGGAGGGGGCGGCCGTGTGCGCGTAACTTGCGCTGCCATCTTGATCGGTCGTTTTCTTCCCAATTTTTTGACGGAGTTTTTTCTTAGAAGTAGGACAGGATTTTGCTCAATTCCATTCCTTCTTCGGATATTTACACTCGATACAAGGTTGTCGTCTGACGGTCTAGAAAGATTATTTACAGCGCTTTCACAATGTAATGAGAATCACGTTTTTTTTTTTTGTGTTTCCATATATGGAATTTAGAGAACCTTGTCAATTTATTTGTCTCGTCTTCACTATGGGCAACCGGAAAATCAGCGCGGACCTCAAAGAATGTGCACTACGACTCTGGGAGCTTGGCTACGACCTAGGCTTTATCTCGGAAAGTCTATGTATCTCTAAGGCAAGCATTTACCGGTGGCGCAGCATCTTTGCGGAATTTAGCTCCGTCAACCGGCCACCCTCTCCACTGCTTGGAAGGCCGAGAATCATTGTTCGCGCTGTGCTCACTGCTATCAAGGAAGTCTACCACAATGAAGCAGATGCATACCTTGATGAACTTGTCTGGTGGCTTGCCATTCACCACGATATCGTGATTAGTGTTTGAAAGTCCGGTTCGGTCCGGTTTTTTGATGCCCAGGGGCGTTAACCGTAACCGTAACCGGTCTGCCTTTTCCCCAGAAGTCAAAAGACCAGACCGGACCGCAAAAAGACCGCAGACCGCGGTTTTTTGCGGTCTATAGACCGGTTTCGGTTTGCATCGGTTTTAACCGGTTTATGACCGGTCTTTAGGCCAATATTTTAAAATTATGAATCGGTAAATTTATTAACATCTCTAATAGCTTCAAAACGAGCCCAAGAACGTTAAATTCCGTTAGGAATTGGTGCTTCTATAAAATAAGTCTGGTACATCTATTATTCCCAAAAGTAATTTACATTTTAATTCATATCTCTCTCGTTTTTTTACCAAATCGTACGTTCTTGGGTGCATATTAAAGGGTATTTAAGGGGATACAAAAGACCGGTCCAAACCGGTCAAGACCGGTTCACGTTAACCGGTTTTTTTGCGGTCTTTACATTTCAAAAATAAAAGACCGTAACCGCAGGTCCGGTCTTTTGCGGTCTTGGTCCGGTCTGGTTACGGTCTTTTTCCAGTCACGAGACCGGACTTCCAAACACTAATCGTGATCTCACGCAGCGCGCTTCACAAGAACCTTCTAGATGCAGGTCTCACTCGAAAACTGCTCCACAAGATTGCAAAGGAACGTGATGAAGAGATGAGAGCTGAGTACATGGATGTGATTCGAGATTGCACAGGTGGGCGGGGTGCAGAACCGGTGTTCATCGACGAGTTCAGCAAAAATGACCATGATACTGCACAACGCTACGGACGGGCACCATCTGGACAACACGCAGACTTCATCGACAACTTCGTGCGTGGTGATCGGTATTCCACAGTGGTGGCGATTAGCATCAGTGGCTATGATGCAGTATGCTCCGTCCTGGGATCATTTGACAGCGACCAGTTTCATGATTTCATCGTTGAGCAGGTGGTGCGTCAAAATTCACACTCTTTCTCCATTTAGTGAATGTTGGATAGCTCCCGGGAATGAATGCCTGGCCTGGAGAACAGAGTATCTTGATCATGGACAATTGCCAGATCCACCATAATCCCGAGTTGGTTGATCTCATCAATGCGGCAGGTGTGATTCTCTCCCATGATCTTTCCTCACTTTACTGAGGATAGGCAGGTTGTCTTTTGATATACCTTCCTCCTTATTCACCTGATCTGAACCCCATTGAAGAGTCCTTCAGCACTTGTACGTCCTTTGTGAGCACTTAGATATGTTCAGCCCTGACTTCATTCAGTGAAAGCATTCTTGCGTCGCCATGGTTTTCAAATCAGGGCGAATGATCACCCCAAAATGGCTTTGATGGAGGCTTGTGGATGCATTACAGCTGAGATGGCACAGAGTTGGTTTAGGCATGCGGGGTACATCTGGAATGTGTGATTGCAATTGAAATCGGTATTGATGTACATACAACATGAGAACAAGTGTTGAAAAACTGGTCTAAAATGCAACAGACTACAGTACAATTGATGGTCCAAAAGAAAAGAGGTCATTTGAAGAGGACTCGATCAAATCTCACTGGTGATGGAATCCCATTTTCCGGACTTCACGTCAGAGATAAACGTCGGTATAGACCAGAAGCGAAAACGAAAATATCTTCTTGTGAAATATTGCTCCGGATTTTTGTTTCTGGCTTTTCGCTGCCGAACCGATTCCGGCCACTTTCAAATTCAAGATTTTTATAATTATGGTATTTATTTGTATTTATTCAGATTACTGGTCTGTCAACATGTCACGCAGGACACTCTCTTCTGCAACAAGTGCCCACCATGACCATCGACGATTGGTCACGAAGACCCACCACCACGTTCGAGGAACGGCGACGACCGCCCAGCAATGTCCACAGGCGCCCAGCACCACCATCGACGAACAGCAATGACGGCCCGCCACGACCTCTGACGATTGACCATCAGGACCATCGACAAGCGCCCACGGACGGCCACGAGGGCCCACCACCGCCATCGACGGATGACGATGAGCGCCCACGAACGTCTACGGGGCCCACCAGAGAATCGACAAACAGCCATGAGGGCCCATCACCGCCATCGACAACCACCACCAGGATCGACGGATGGCTACGACCGCCCACAACCACCATCAATAAATGGCTACGACACGAATTGCCACGAGGGCCCATCACCACGATCGATGAATGGCCATGTTGTTGAAGGGGAGAGGTGGTCCTCGCTCCTTCCTTCCCACTTCTACATAGTTTGTATATAGTACCCATGTAAATGTTTTTTTCGTAGATAAGTACATATACTGCCATTTACCCGAGTACAGAAGGACTTGTGAAAAAGAAAAAATGTTCAATGTTCAAGCCTGTGACACCGAGAAAGGCAAGGTCACATATTACAAGTTTTCGGATTACAAACAAAAAATATTGTATTGTTTGTAATTGTTGCCCTGCTATCAAAAAGCTCATTTAATTACAAAATGCAGCCGGCGCTCCGGCTAGATAACAGACTGGCATCTGACGTTATGTTATGTATGCCAGATTTTCGTTTTCGCTTCTGGTACATACTCGATAAACGTCTTGTGTTTGGCAAGGAAATCTTCCCAGGCGAGCTTTGCGAAGCCTGCATGCCCCTGCCAATCCTCACGATCCAACTTCTCCACACGTCAATCCCCCGGCTGCACCTTCAGTTTTGCCAATCAAGCCTGATCCTCATTGTCGACTGCATAGTGAATGCAGAATTCCTCCAGAGAGATCGGGTGTGGAAGGATCACTTTCAGTGGCGAGCCAGGGGCAGATCCAGGAGCGGCGTCACGTAGAATGCCTGGAGTTCGGGGCCTAACACCTTGGGCGTATGCATGGTTCAAATTTGGGGCATGTGTGGGGTTCAAGGGCACGTTCAGGAAAGGAGCGGGGGCCGGGTGTGGAGCATCAGGGTATTGGTTGGGATATACGTTGTTGGCAGGATGGGGATTATAAAGGGGAAGCATGGGGTAAGGATATGGTGGCGGAAAATAGTGCGGATGTGGATAGCTGCCGTAAGGTTGAAATTGTTGGTTGAGAGCCGGTTGAGGGACAGGGGTGGGAGGTACTGCTGCGTCAACGGAATTAGATGCAATAGTGGCCGCAGTGGTGATTCGGAGCCTTTGCGACTGTGCAAAGTGGGTGCTGTTGGGTGGTTCGGTCAACGATGCAGTTCCCTTGTCCTAGACAGGAATGGTAGGTCAGAAAATTGAATGATAAAGAATATATATGCGCACCAAGTGACTGGCCCAAACTTGCAGTCTGAGGCCGTTCAACTCCCAGACATCAGATCCCGAAGAATAAACACGTTTATCTGGGAAACGTGGATCGGACCCAATGGGGTACTTCAAGCGAAGTTTTTCAAGGAACGCGCTGGTTCCCTCACAAACTACCTGCTGCAGAAATGCATCATTAGTCAGTAGTACGAGGTTTATGGAATGATACTCACCTGCTGCTCTCGGATCGTTGAGCCCAGTGGCCCTTCCCTGAATTCTTCCCTTTCCAGATCGACACCTCGAGTCCCAGCTGTAGTATCGCTCGGCTGACATCGAAACTGTAAGACGTTTGTTGGAAAAAAGGATTGAACCTCACCATTGCCGCAACCTTCGAAAGAGGGGGAAGTGACAAGGTAATTGTTGTGTCCTTCCCTTTCTTCGTCAACTCCTCAAGCTTCGCTATCATGGCTTTGTAGCCCACCTCGTTTGTGAGCGGCTTCTTCTTGTCGTTTGCCGGTACCTGCTGCTTCCAAAAGAGTTGTTCCTGGTTGATTGATGCAATTGTTGGTGCGTACGAGCCTTCGACAGAACAAGATGCGAGGGACTGTAGGAATTCAATGCGTGGGGTGCTGAGAGTGAAGAAAAAAGGTCCTCGCGATAATGGCTCCGGCTTGTCCTTGAGAGTGCGCGGTGGGCGATTGATTTCGATGTATGCGGTGATATTGGTGAGAGTCTTTGTCTTCTTGGCAGGGCGCTCGTTCTCTTTTTCGGTTGACTGTTTGTCATCATCGTCATCGCTTGAGTGAGTCGACAAGTCGTCGGCAGGTTCCTCCACATGACTGGAGGAGGGTAGGGGGGTGCTGTTCGTCGTCTTCAAGGCTGCTTTGGAAACTTTCTTCTTGTCCTTCTTCTCCTTTTGTTTTCGCTTCTTCTGCATGAGCTCTGGAGTGGCCATGAACCATTTCGCTACTGGAGAATTGCTTCGGTTGCGTGAGTGTTGAGTGAGCAAATGTGACGACTTACAGTGCGGATTATCTACGGCAATCTGCCGGATATCTTCTTCGATGCCCTGTATCTCGTCGTTGATGCTGCCGTCCATGGCGACAGTCGTGGTAATGGCAGTGAGAAGAGATTTGACCATATTACTAATTTAGGCAAATACAAAAAAAAAAACGTGATTCTCATTACATTGTGAAAGCGCTGTAAATATTGTTTGACAAGAACATCTGAGAACAAAGAACCCTAAGCGAAGTACTTGGCCCTAGATCACAATTCGGGTGTGTGATCTCGCTGGCAGATCACAATCAAACTGTGACTTGGATTAGGGTCTGGAAATCACCAGGCCAAGTCCTCCCGCTGACTTAGCATACTATGTAGATAATTCAATAAATATTATTATTAGTATTCTCCACTCCAAGGTCCTCGTCGTCGTGTCATATGCTTAGTGTTTGAAAGTTAGGTTAGTTAACCGGAAAATAACCGGAAAATAACCGGACCTAACCGCAACACTAACCTAACCGCAGTTAGGGTTAGTTGATTTCGAAAATGGAATAACCGGTTATTTTGCGGTTAACTAACCGTCAAATAACCGGTTATAACCGGTTATAACCAGCCCTATTATACACCTTCAAAACGCACTTTAGAACGTCAAAAACACTTAAAATTTGACTAAGTTACGGTCAAATCTCTAAAATATCACTCAAATGTGTAGACTTTCAAGGATAATTGCATAAATATGTCAATTCTTCACCGATTTTAGCGTTCTTGGGCTCGTTTTAAAGCTAGAATATGCAGAAATAATATCTATCAAGATACATATGAGCATATTTGCCTTGTTATAACCGATTCTTTATTTTTCGGTCCTAACCGGTTAGTAACTGCAAATAACCGACCGTAACCGGTTAGTTGTGGTCCAGTTAGGTTATTTTAGGTTTTGGGACAAAGGCTAACCGGTCTCGGTCTCGGTTAGAGCCCCTGGGCACCCAATAACCGGACCTAACCGGACTTTCGAACACTACATATGCTCATGAGCGCGCCCTTGTTCCGCTTTCCAGACAACTACACCCCTCAGCAGACGGACAACTTCAGCATTGATCCAGCGCTTTTTCCGGAGTCTGCCCATCAAAAATCGGCGTCTGTAGCCGCACCTTCCCAAAGCGTCGCCACAGCCGTTCCCGAAGCAGAAGGTGCGTTGGGCATCAGCGCTCTTTGAACGTGTTCGAACCTTGTTCCTTCCCCTCAGCCCCGCTTTTGCCATCGAGACAGCCTGCCAGTGGACCAGCAAGAACCTCAAAAGGACAAGGCAAGAGCCTTCAATGTGCCGTGGTACATCGTTCAATGGGAGCTCACATCTTGTTTTCATTCAGGCTGGGTTTCAAATGAGAAGAGCACAAAAAAACTCTAGTAAGCACCGCAATGGTTAGTACTGAACGTTTGCTGATTTATTTACTTTCTACAGCTATTCTTTGAATGTCCCTGCTCTAAAGAGCCTATGCCGTGAGCGGAACCTCAAGGTCGGTGGGAAGAAGGGCGAGCTTGTTGAGCAGCTTGTTGAGTGGCTTGAAAAGCATGACCAGCAATGCTTGCCCAAACCCAGGTATGTTGTCTCGGCCTTCTGTGCAGGAGTCAATTCACGCTAATGAAGGATACCAAGCAGTAACGAGAGCCAACAGACAGAAAGAGAGACCCCCAGTCTGTCAGCTGCAGGCGCCGTCGTTGCTGGGATGGACCAAATGGTTGACGTCGCAAAAGCGATGCAAGAGTCCTTCAACCACGGATTCAAGAACGCAGACAATGGTCCGGGTGAAGAGAGCGATGATGAGGATGACCACGGTGACGATGAAGGCGACAATGGGCCACACGAGGATTCTATGGAGATCGATACGTTGGGTGAGTTCAGTTTCATCCAGCACAACGTCTTGAGTAACATCCCCTTTCATCACAGGCACAGAAAGCTCGAAAGCTTGGGTACACGCTTTCCGCCTCAAGCTTCTACCTGCCGATCATGACCAGTTTTAGATTGATGCATACATCATGGACACAAGGCGAAAAAGTGGGCGGCAAACAGAGAAGAGCATGCTCTCTCTGTGGCGGGTATGTTTTTTATCAGTTTTTATGCAAGGGGACATCACTAACGCCTGCACGGCAGTGCTGGGTACCCATAGCGATTGCTGCGGGCACGATCCCTGACCACATCGTCGATGCCAACCACACCATGGAATACCTCAAGTATGCTGCAACAAGGAGCCTCTTTACAACCCGAGGTCACCCAAAGGAGGGCCCGGCATGCTTATCATCGGTCGGTGACCCCTGTCTTTGTTTGAGCCTCATTAACTGACATATTCATGCCATAGTCATCATTGAAAAAGAATATGACCATGCTCGGCCACGTTCAGCGGCGACAGTGCGACGACGACCCTACCCTGCAAGCACGTCGGCCCACATCTACATCGAGGAGCCAGGATTTTTACAAGGCTCTTATGGTAGAATCCCAACGCTTGCGCCTTGAGTAAGTCAGTTTTCCCCACCTACATCTTCCATTTCTCATAACTATACTTTCCAGAGACGAGTTTTTCAACATCAGCGAAAACACGATACTGGACTCACAGCTGCACGCCGTGCACTTCGAGGAGATCACATCCACTATCTTCACGAAGCTCGATCAACGTGAGTTCCATTACATGTCTTCTCTACCATCGCTAACGACATTATCTCACTAGTCCCATCAGTCATCAAAGCACATTTTAGCTGGACTTGGCAGTGCACCACTCTCAACCGTGGCGATGAGCTCATCAATCTGCTGCTCAGCTGCCTTCAACCCCACTCCCTGCTTGTTCCTAACTATACAACACCTGACGGGCAACACTGTGGTGTCGGTAAATATTATTTTGGTGTACTTTCCCTTTATCATGAGACAAAGGTCTCAAAGCCAGGAGTCTGTAGTTTACTTGTATTGTTGGTTTTATATCTTACTGAGATGAGGATAACAGAAGCAGGAACCGGACTACAACTTCGTGCTGCCACACCGCAATCCGCTTCGTTGCTCTGTTGGAGCTCTTGCTATCCTTTTGCATTATATATTTGACCAGGAGAATGTGTGCGAGAAGATTGAGGGTTGGGACTGGTCTTACCCATTGACCTGGCGCAAGGCAAGTCTGCCCTCATCTGAAATCAATGTTGTTCCTTACTAAACCAAACTATCAGGTAAAGCTTATGTTTAGAAAAACAGTGGGGAAGGCCTGTGGTGATGATGCCCTCCGAAAAATGTACACAAAATTCCTCGAATCGACATCCATCAAATCGAAAAAGAAGCTCCACCTCGCCCGCAAGACTATCCCTACCCACCTTGAAGAGATGGGGTACGTCATGACTTATTTGTGTGCTAGCCGCTGCTCATCATTTTTAGTGTTACAATGGATGAAATTGGTGCCATCGGACACTGGGCAAGTACCGTTCAACGTGAGGTTTATTCCGCCAAGATCCCAAAGTCTGTAAGTTTTCTTTAGGCCAATTGTTCCTTGAGGGAAACTCATTTAGTCATTAGGCGGTTACGGCGTTGGCAGGTTTCTATGTTGGGGAGGCTTATCATGTTCCCTGGGCCACTGTTGCTGTTCCCGATGAGCTCCAAACCCAATTGTTCCCTTTTGCGGAGAGGGTACTTGTTGAGCTCAAAGGGAAGGCATGCGTCAACCAGGGCTTGGTCAATTTTGTTGAGCTGTTGCAACAACTTCGCCCTTTCTTCTGGCGGGTGCGTCTACATCTCATTGCTCTGTTTAGTTTTTACTGATTCTCACTGTCTCAATCTTTGCTAGGCTAGTGCTGCCATCCACGAAAAGTTTCCTGACTCACCGCTATTTAGCCGCATGCCAATTTTTAAGTCGTCCCTGGCTTCCGAGTTTATTTCACGATGGCCTCATGCTCGGAAAGAAGTTGAGGCCCACTTCCAAGTAGATACCGAGATTGCAGCGAACTTTAAGGAGGTCGCAACACAGAGCGCCTTCCTCTCCCTTTCAACGTCACAAAGAGAGCTGTAGCCTGTCGGAAGCTGTCAAGTCATCCCACTCATTGCTTGAAGTTCTTGCACGTCGAACTGAGCCGCTCTCTCCATCACGTAGTGTAAAAACTCATGTGGCCGTTGTTGGCTCTCGTTCAGCTACCCCCAGCCCAACAGGGCCACATTCCAACTTTTTGTCGCCGCAGCCTCCCTTGATGGAGACTATGGTGGCAAGTGTGGGTACCCCACTCCATGCTGCCACTGCAGCCAGTCCAAGTCAAATCCCACCAACCTCACCACTGCAAAGTGTTATTCTACCACCTCCTGTAGTCGATCCAGAGCTGCTTTCTGTTCACTCCCAGGGAGCTGTGTCACGATATGTGGTGTCTGTGAACCATAAAGGCAGTAAGTATCATGTGCTACAGCTCTCACCTGGTCCCTTGGCACCGCCCACCCCCTTCGACATCATTCTTCCCCCAGCAGCAGCATTTGTGTCTGACCAGACTACAATGACTGCTTACCCCGACTTTTCTGTGTCATCATGTGGATGGCAGGCTCTGTTCAGTCTGGTTGTCCATCCCGATTTTCTTTGGGATTGTTGGGGCCCAGGCAATTTGGGTGAATTTTCTGATGTCAGCTCTCTCTGGAAGTGCTGGGATGAGGGCACGGCTATTGAGGGAGTTGGTCGCAAGCCTCCATTGCGGATGGTGGAGACTGAATGGGGTTCTCGCAAGGACAAGCGGTCAAACAAGGGACACCATGCTGCATGGCGTCCTCGCCAAAACACCACTGTATGTCTTTTTTCACATTGTTCACCTCTCAACACAACATTAATCTGCCTCTTCAGGCCTGTCAAAAATGGTCTCAATTTCAGTTTTTCATCAGTCGAATAGAGACCTCCATTAGCACTGGGCTTACAGCCTCGCAAGCTGTCCAAGTTCTTGAAGATACACGTCTTACGTTCTCAATGCCGCAGCTTCATCGCAAACTCCAAACAAAGCGGCAGAAGAAGGGCAAGGTAGGTGGCCCTTGCCCTGAGTCTAGTGCTCCCTCCTCTGGGGATGTCATCATGGCCACTTAAAATTTAATCATGCTTTCGTTGTATCATTAACTTTTTTTCTTTGTCTTTTCTTTTTATTTCTTCATTTTTTTTGTTGAGCCTCTCATCCACTGTAGCATACAAATATCTTCAAGAATAATCTCTATTGCGTTGTCTTATAATCGTTCCCAGTTACTTGGTCATACACACATACTGTACTCAGCCACATTAGTAATATGTACCATACTTCTCTACAAAACCAAATGCTAAAGTTGAACAAGGGTGTGCCAAATTTCATTAATTTGGCAGATCACTCCTGAAGCAATTCCTGTTAAATTGAGCCCAAAAACATAGAATACGAGTAAGAACTTCCGTGTGAGCCGCAATTTCCAGCAAGAGACCTTATTTCCCCACTGCAGAACCAAACACTGAACTTGAACGGTTGGGCGCCATATTTCACAAACTCGGGAGGTTGTTCCTGTAGCAATTTTGGTCAAGTAGAGCCCAACAACGTAAAAATCAAGCAAGAACTTACCTGTAAGCCTCAATTTAGGATAAGAGACCTCATTGCTCTGCAGAACCGAACACCGACTTTGAATGGTGAGGCGATACGTTTCGCAAACTCGGGAGGTTGTTCCTGAAGCAATTCCGGTCAAGTAGAGCCCAAGAACGTAAAAATCGAGAAAGAACTTACCTGTAACATCAGGAAAAAAAAAAAGTATATGTAGTTTTCTGATTGAATATGTACCCTCAGTAGTTTTCTTCAGAAAGTCAGTAGCTTCCATTGCTCCAAGTAGTGCTGATAAACTCTGGTTATGCACCCATAGTCCAGGTACACTCAGTTCATTTGTTCATAAACTCAATAGCTTCCAATATTTTCAACTCATTTCCCCATAGACCTTGATTGTTGTTCCTACAGTGTCAGTAGACCAAGTAGTTTCTGCTCGAAATATTGAGGTTGCTTGACTATTTCAGTAGACTCCATGGATTTCACCATCTGTCATATACATTGTCAAAAATAGTGCAAACACCGTGAATCGAACCCTCAGCTCCACAAGACATCTCGGGGGTGGACAAGAGAGCAATCTAGCAGCTGCACCATACAACTTTTTAAAGCAACTAAACAGAGCTCACTAGATGCTGTTGTCACATAGCCACGCCCAAATCTGAGGTGAGGACTTAGACAAAATTTCATTCATTGATTGTCGGTGTTTGGCCACACTTGATTTGGGCATCCCACAACCTGCCCACAAACTCCTCAACCACTACCATCATCGATCATCCATGACGCCCACTCACGACCGCCGCACCACCACCGTCACCAATGGCCAACACAACCCACAACCCTCATTGACCACCCACAACCAGCCTGGCATGCCCCAACACCACAAGAACAACACAGCAACGCCACGTCACCAGCTCTGGCAAGAAAACGAGTGCCTGCAACATCGACGTGACAACGAGGATAGTGACAACGTTGTGTGCCAACCCAGGTGAGCTAACACAACCCCTGCCCCCCATTCCTTTAGTCATACAATGTTCAGGTGCCACGTCGCTAGAAGCGACATGGCAACCAAACGACGAATGACAACCAATTCGCTGTTCGTCGTCCGGACTGACACAACACAACAACGGTGCAACGCCAACACAGGACAGCGACGACTCAACAACAATACGGAACTACCATGCGACTACGACACGGGACACGGATGTGCCACGTCAT